TGTACCTTTACTAAATGATTATAAAAAAACATACAGGGTGCGCCAGAACTCGCGCCCCAGAGAAAAATTTCAAGTAAGGTAAGATACCAGGAACATGAAAAAAATGTTTAAAAAATTCTACTGTGAAAAAATTTTGACATTTATTTTTTGACATTTGACATTTTTTTATATCTATTTAAGGATACTGATGATCTTGTATATGTTTTTTTACAATTATTTAGTAAAGGAACAAAAATTTTGCCAATAAAAGCCACAAATAACATTGAACAAAGTTACAATTTAGGATACAGCTTTTTTGCTTCCTCTTTTAATAGCCTATATCAAAAAAACTTGGAAAATTATTTTTGCAACAGAAATAAATAGAGTCAAAGTACAAACTTTAAACCCTCATAACTTCGAAATTTTTATAGATAAAATTTTTTTAACATTTTTTCAATGTTCCTGGTATCTTACCTTATATGGCATTTTTCTCTGGGGCGCGAGTTCTGGCGCACCCTGTATACAAGATCATCAGTATCATTAAATAGAAATAAAAAAAAATGTCAAATGTCAAAAAATAAGTATCAAAATTTAATAATAGTGGCTCTAGATAATTTACACAAATAACGCTTATATTTATGTGTTTTTCCTCAATGAAATGTGATGTATAAAAATTAATAAGTTACCACAATCTTTGTCTTTGCTTCTTTATACACGTATTAATTAATTAAATTCTTTTAAATAATTATTATTATACTCGTAAATATTAGAATTTGAATAAAGTTTCTTCCAATTTAATTATGAATCCGTAATATAATTCTATCTATAAAAATTTCAAAATTATGGAAGTTTAAAATTTTGCACTTTATTTATTTCTGTTGGAAAAATAATTTTCCAATTTTTTTGCTATTAGAAGAAACAAGGAAGCTGTATCCTAAATTGTAACTATGTTTAACGTTATCTTGTGGCTTTTATTGGAAACATTTTTGTACCTTTACTAAATAATTATCAAAAAACATCAATAATACTTAGTAGACATAAAACAAATGTTAAATATTAAAAAATAAATGGCAAAATCTTTTGACAGTATTTTTTAAACATTTTTTCCATGTTCTTGGTATCTTATCTCACTTGAAATTTTTCTCTGGAGCGCGAGTTCTGGCAAATCAGCGAGAAAATGATGACTTTTGCTATTGGAAAAATATGTAAAAGCCCACAATACCTATGTGGTAACTTATGTGGTAACTTCAATATCTAATAAATATTCTATGGCAGATTACGTCTATAAAATTTTTATTGACTGCGATTTTTGTTGGCCACAGCTACTTTTACGACTTTCTAAATCTGATAATGCTTTTAAATGGAGCTGATTATCATTTTTGTTGGCGCCTTTAGCAGGTAGAAAAGTTAAGCTATTTGGTGTGAAAGAAACTAATGTTTAACACCTTCCAACTGGAGTAAACACTATTTTTTCGTTTTTGATTGATTTAAAAAACCTCATAATAAACCTCATTGCGTTTGCAAAGGATAAAAAAATAAGAACTAAAGAAAAGGTTTAAAAGCTTACAGATTAGATGATACATGGTGATTTGTAAAAGTATTAGGTAATTATTAGGTATGTAAAAAAACTTTTTGTTTTTCAAAATAATAAACATAAAATCTTGCTAATAGTGAAAACTTTTCTAAATAGTCGCCCGATATAAAGATAACCCACTGATAAATCAAACGAATAAAAATAACGACCTTTTAGGAAGATCCAACTTCCTGAAAGCTTCGTTGTTTTTAACATCTGAACGTTGACATCCTCTGATTTAGAACGGCTGTAAATTACAAGGAAAATAATTTGATGATAATAATTTCAAGGCGAACAATAGGCTGAAGTAAAATTTCCGCCGTGAGATAATGATATGTAGGTCCACACGGAAATGCAACGGCGCGTGCTCGCCTCTCTCTTCAGCCGTCAGTCTACCTATAAGCTCTAAAGACCTTTGCATTTTGTAGACAAAGATATACCGTGGTCCTTTTCTTATATGTGCATCTACTTTTCCACAATAAAATCTCATTGCACAATCGTCCAAATCTCCACTATCCTGCCGCAATCCGGGCGGAATTTTTATCCTGATACACACATCCTTTTATATTCTCCTTACAATGCGAACTGCAGACTGGTATGAAAGACGGACTGTTACGTAAGAAACCAAGTCCAGGTGTTTTTATATTGATTTGCCATAACGCACTGCCAGTTTTGTGTTGAAAGCCGGATAAAATTGTACAAGGCACAATAAGGATAAAGAAATTTGGAGCAGATCTGGAAGGAACCCCACATCATACAAAGTTCCGCATCAGAAGGTCAAAATGACAGTTTGCCGAGGGGGATCTGATTTTTATTAAAATTCAGACGTTTTGGTGCATCGGCAAGCTGCAAGCAAATTAAAAGCAAAGCCATTGGATTCGATGACTTACAGGGTGTTTCACATAACTTTCACTAACTAACTAAGTAAAAACGTTGTAATTTTTGAAAGGGTGAACAAACTAGAGAAGATAATCCAATTTTTCAAAATTTGGGATCGAGTTCGTATCGGAATATGTATTATTGATTGTATCTGTATATGTATAGTTAGTTTTTAATATACTGTTTATGAAAAAAACAACAAAAATTAATACAAATATGTTTAAGCAATTAAGTGTTTTGAACAATAAAAATCAAATTATTTTATTTAATTCAAACGTATTATATTAAAAACTTAAGAGAGAAGAAATGAACAGCAATTAAAATGGAAATTTTAAAATGGCAAAATAAGAGGTGGCAAAACAGGTTACATTTAAAACACTTTTTCTCTTTTCATGTTACTATTATTTAAAACAGTAAATATGTACTTGTAAAAAAATTAAATAATTACTTTATTAGAATAAAGAGTATCTGATTTTATATTCTTATATAATGTGAACATTGTCAAGAATGATAATAATGATAAGAGTGGGAGACCATGTGTTCAGCGCTGTGAACAAAATTACGTTTTTTTACACAGAGAGCAACAAAATTATGGAATTATCTTAATCTGAAAATATTTTGTCTTGGCAAAAAGGCTGAAAGAGGTTAATTTGTTTTTTTAAGAAAAACACAATTCTCAACTTGATTTAAAATTTTACACTTTTTGATTTGTTGATACCTAAACTTACCTTTTTCACTTTTTGAATATTTTTTTTTCGAAAACTTTGTTATGTAATATTTATTATTTTGGTGTCGTTATTTCGACAAATAAAAGATATCAAAAGTATATCAAAATTGCTAAAAAAACGGAGATTTCTAATAAAAAACTATCGTAATCACTATCTAACTAAACACGTTGTAATTTTTGAAAGGGTGAACAAACTAGAGCAGATTATCCAATTTTTTTAAATCTATAATCGAGTTCGTATCGGAATATATATTATTAACTGCATCTTACAGGCGCAGGTCTCGTAAAATTAAGTAAAACACCCTGTATAACAAAATAAAAATACAATATACAATTCAATGTATTTTTTTTTACCTACATACTTTAATCATTAATCAGTTTCATGATCGAATTTAAAGGAGCATTAAATTAAATGTTGCTACGGACTTGTTAAGAAAAATTTCCATTCTAAACTAATATTAACTTTAAAGTCCCTTTAATTCGATTAACTAGCTCTATTTTTTTTTAAATAACGTATTAAATAATATGTTTTATTTTTCGACATCGTCAAAATTTACGTTTTTTTCCCGTGTAAGACATTTCTCAATACAAAACGTCGGATTATTTTTAACAGATTTAAAGCAATTTTAATTAAGAATAAAATGTTGTAATCAATTCGTCTTTGTGTAAATCGGTTCATTTATTCTACCTTGTGGATGATAAACTACTCGTTAACACTCGTGGTTTAATAATCCTCTCGTGAAATAAAACGTCCGATTTACACTCAAATTCGTTAAATAAATAACTATAAAACGCGCTAAAACCAAAATGTTATAATTTTGGTTAAACCCTCATTCAAATTGAATTTCTTGTTTACTCAAGTGTAATCATGTAGGAAATCACTTTTCCTAATTCTATCAAGCTTTATTTACTAAATTGTATGTTTGATTAATGGTTGGGTGAATCTAGTGTTATAGAATATCCGTAACGAAGCATGAACATTGCTTGATTAAAATCAAATTCACCCTTAACTTGGCATTTAATATGTTATGTCACATTTTTTAACCGTACAATAGTGAAAGAGTAAATAGAAACAGCAATAAATCTAGTAAACACAAATATATAAAATTAGTATGATTATTAAGGTGCTAAACATCTTCAGCCCTTATGTTTGGATTAAGAGTAGTATTGTTACAAATCTCGAAAGTACACGCCCCAAGCACCCATCAATTACGCTTATTACCAACAATTGTTAAAGGACGTCATGTGGTCTAGAAAACGTACTTTAGCTACTAGACAAGTTTCTCTGTTATAAAAAGTAACAAAACATTCATATAAAAGGGTTGGACGTAGGATACTTTCTTGCCAACCCCCATGCTTAAAAAACTAGAGATAAGCTAGACACCCCTACTTTTTATACGCACACTTGTTCAATTCCCCGGCAAAATTATCTGTTGCAACACTCCGGAATTTCAGCAAAGGATTCAACTTAGATTTTTGAATATCGTTTTTTTTTTCAAGTTTCAAGAGATAGTAATAAAAAAGACAAAACTTAATAATACAAACATATGAACCAATTTCATCTATTGCGATAATTTGTCAACTTGTTGGTTCTGTCGTCAAGATGAGATTCTTCTTGTCTCCAAGGAGTAAAAATCGCGGGCTCTGGAGTGCATCCTCGAACATTTGGACAAGGTCGGCATTCTGCATAAAGTAGTGGGGATTTTGGTTCTTAAGCTTCATGTGTCTGTGGCCTTTGCAACGCAGGGGGTGACAAGAGGGTCTGTAGACAACACGAGGTCGGCCAGGTACCCCAGGTAAAACCAACGGCGCGCCAGACACTTGCCGGATCAGTTCGCGGTAACTTCGGCTCCGGTTAGATTTTGATGCATGCGCGAGGATTTACGCTCGTATTTAAATGAAATAACGCGGGAGAAATGTTTTGCGATAGATTTTGTGTTTTAGTGACGTGATTTTATCGAATTTGGATTATAAATTGGTAAGTGGGTTGTTAAACAATTGCTTTGTCGTAAATTAAGGGTAGTTTGTTTACTTATTCGATTTATTTGATTGTTTTGGGTGCTGTTGATAACGATTAACCTACAAATATTATGCCGGTGTCAAAGTAGTAGAGTAATAATTTATTTTAACGTGATTAGGAAAATATGATGTTTTCTTGTTCAAATTAGAGAGAAAAATGCAGAGCTGTTAATTATCTGTCCTGTCAATTATGGAATTTTAAATTAAATTAATAGTTTGAGGTGGGACATCCGAATGATCATAATTAATTTGATTTATTTGTTTTTCTTTTATTAACTTTTTAAGTATGTACCTAAAATAGATATTTTTTGATGTAAAATATCTGAAAACATACTTATTTTTTTAACATTTAACATGTCAATAAAGGCAGTGTTTCATTATTTTGTTAGAAATTTAGTTGCTAACCTTTATATTTAAAATTATATTTTTATTTGCTAGGATTCATTAATTTCAAATTTTATAAAATTCTATTATTCTCTATTCTAAAATTTTTGACGATACATACCAGGTGAATAAAAAGTATGGAACCAAACGTTTTTTGCTTAAAGTCTTTATTTATTGAAAAAACTAATTGATGAGTGATAAAGTACTATAAAAATGTGATGATTTAACAAGAATAAAATTTTTCGAAATTTCCTTTTGTTTGTGAGTTCTACAAAAAAAAATATTTTTTTAAATGGCAACCCGCTATAAAATCATTTTTCTCATAAAAGCTATACTCTAAAGATTACAACTATCTACTTTATATTCATTTTTTGAAAAACATTTTTTTACATAAATTGCAATTTTGACAAAAAAAAATCGCATAACTCAAAAACAAAACAAAATTTCGTTCTGAAAATACGACCACATTTTTTATATTACTTTAATTTATATTAATTATTATTTTCTGGAGACAAATGATTGAAAATAAAACCGCTTGGTTCCATACTTTATATTCACCCTGTACTTTGATGTAAGAAATATGTAGTAAGTAGTCTAAAATAATATATTTATCACTCCAGTTTTTCGCATTTTTAATGGTTTGTTATTAATAACAGCGACAGTAATTATGTAGTAGTGTGGTAGTAATTTTTAACCTCATTTATTAAAAAATATTATAAATAAGAACAAAATTAAATGCTTGTTGTTGCGTAATAAGTAGAAACTTAATTTAAAGTATAACACTTGCAAATAGGTATTTGTTTATGTTATCAATTGCAAGAAAATTGACTGCGTAATTAATTACTAAAGCAATTAACACTTATTCTAATTTAACTTTGATTCACTCTATTTTGAAAATCTTTGAGGTTTTAAAAGACATATTTTTTTCTACATGTACAATATGTAGGTACACTATTTTATTTTGTTGTATTTGTACTGTTTTTACAAACTACAAATAAATTAGTTATTTGTTGATAAGTTACTAAAAATTATAATTTATATTAACAAATAATAGTTATTTATTGTAAGAGTGTGTTAGGTAGCGTTTTATCCACGCAAGAAAGTTTAACCGCGATAACGTCAGTTCGGTACTTGATACATCTAAAGTGTGGAATAAAGTCTTTTTATAGAGTGATTGTGGATAAAGATTTTTATTTTTTTTCGAAATCTAATCAATAAGTCTACGATTCTCAACGAAGGCACTATACAAAAAAAAAAAAATGCTAATTAATAAACTTTTTTTTATATTTTTAATGACCGATGAGTTTCCAAATTAAAGTTTATTAAATGTTAAACTTAATATCAAGAGATATAAAAATGTAATAAGACATATTCTTTTCTACATGTACAATACGTAGGTACACCATTTTATTTTATTGTATTTGTACTGTTTTTACAAAATACAAAATACAAATAAATTAGTTATTTGTTGATAAGTTAGTAAAAATTATAATTTATATTAACAAATAAAGGTTTTTATTTTTTTTTTAAATCTAATCAATATGTCTACGATTCTCAACAAAGGCACTATACAAAAAAAAAACAAAATGCTAATTAATAAACTTTTTTTATATTTTTAATGACCCATGAGTTTCTAAATTAAAGTTTATTAAATGTTAAACTTAATATCAAGAGATATAAAAATGTAATATTTCTTTTTCTAAATACATATATAACGGGTGTTTTTTTTTTAAATTTGGCGTTAAAGCTATCTATGAAAGATCGATTGTGAACAAACCATCGTATTGTTATTAATCTGACGTCTGACACCTCGCCGAACGTATTAAAAATTGTGCTCCGTTCACAACACACTCATATCACCGCCAATTATGACGCCAAATTTAAAAACACCTGTTACTTATAAACGGACAACTTGAAAGTCATAAGTAGGTATAGCATAAATTATATTAACAAACATTAAGTTTATTTTGATTTATTTTTATTATCAATTTTATTAAAAAAAATATTATATTTTGAATAAAAAAAAAATATTTTATAAATGAGTTGGCAATATTTTAAAATCAAAACACTTTTTGCATTTTTACTGAACTAACTGAACTAAACTTAACTTGATAAAAATTTGACGTATGTTACAACTAAAATTAATTCTGTATTCATTATTTTCCCTTTGTTAGTTTTAATTAATGAAAAAAAAGTATTATATTAATTAAGCACGTAATTTTGTTGAAACAAGGGGAGTTATGGGCTGGAACACGGACTAACACAATAATGAATGAAGATTATTAAGCATAATTTAATTCGTAGTGAACACTGTAATTAGTTAATTAGTTTAATCCTTTAAATTATTTTCCAAAAAATAAACTCTATATCGTTTGCCAAATTACACGTAGATCTACAACCCTTTTCTATTCAATAAGTGACTATAACAAAGAATTGGCGCGCTATTTTCGATAAATGTTTATTTAGGACGTTTAGCTCCAGAACGGTATTATCCAAGAACTGTAACAATTGTATTTATAAAACAGGGTATCAAGATTAGCCACCCTTGTCGGATGAATTAATAACCGTAAAAATCGTTTGTAAATATTCATTAAACCCACATACCAACTTGCGGAAACTATTTCCTTTTCAACTTGCTTAATTAAAGGCATTCTTACAAACCCACATTGTGGCTAAATTGATAAAACCACAATTTCCCTCAAAAAAAAAAACTCAGAATAGATGAGGAGTGTATCGGCGATTAGTCGCACTAAGACACATCAGATTGATTTAGAGCTTGAAAATTTTACACCACTAACGTGGCTTGAAAAAGCTTGCCTTACAAGATGAATGTGTTTAGTAAGTTAAAGTTAAAATCGGCCCCTTCGCCACGGGACCGTGTCGACTTTTCCCATACCATTTTGTGACCAGGTTTGCTTTTTCCCGACCCTTCTAACGACAAAAGGGGCCCGTTTGAGAATGTTAGACGACAAGATCTAGTTTTGATTACGAAATGCGTCGTCATCTAATTTAAAAAAGGTCCGGCCCCTCTTATAATTTTAACGACATTAATAAGCGCATCCCGTTCTGCAAATGACAATAAAAATGCTTTTTCATTACGCCAGAATTGCCACTCAAAATTTATGTTTTTAGTGGAGATAGGGGCGAGCTGTGTTTTTTACAATGGTCAACACATTACGAAATTAATATAAAACTCCCCTGGGGAGTGGACAAGTCATATTACTATCGATTTCGTCATTATTTCAATTCGGATTTTTCCGCTACCAGTTCCCTCATCCATGGGACTAATTTTGTAAAGCTCCCACCCTTGCTGTTTCTATAGAAATCGTTACGATTCGTGAGAAAGTGATTGGTTTCAAAATATTCATACCTTTTTGTAAGTATTGTGTTATTTAAAATTAGATCACGTATTGTTAGCTTGCGAGGGTAAGAAGGTTAGGTCAGGTTAGCTTAGACGAGTCCTATCACCTGGTAGGTTGCTGAATAACCCTCTTTCTTACGGAAGTTGCAATAAGGCCTCTTTTTCTCTGAACTTGGCCAAGACTGGAGGCCGCTGCACTTATACAAAAAAAATATCGGAGAACAGTTGCAAAAACTGCACTCTTTTATATCTTCCTTGCTCTTGCGGAACTGTCAAGATTTCCGTTAAGAAGAGCAGTTGTTCAACTTCCTCATTATCCTGCCACAGGATAGGATCACTACAGAAAAGTGAAAATTATTCCGCTTTTGATTTTTATAAATCTGGTTGCTTATCTGAGTTGGTGCATTTAAATAAATTCTTTACGTGCACGAAATTTGAATGCACACTTTACTGTTTTTTAATTAATATTCCTGTTGGCATATGGCACTTAACGTTTTATGATATAATTTACATAGAAGTCTTAAATCGGCGAAATGCCCCGTTATGGTAGCTGCCCATGCCATATGGCACGAACCCCTTCGAATTTCTGATGTTGTGGATACATGTTAAATAGCTATTCCGCAAGAACGTTGATCAAAGCAAAAATTATTTTACCAAAATTAAAATACATTCAATTTATGTTCAATTTTAAATACAATAGTACGTTAAATAAATGGAAATGTCCCCATACACTTTGTCTTTTATTTTAGTATTAAGTGCTATAACAATAAAACACTGAAATAAATATTTATTAGACCGACCACCGAAACCATCGAAGGTAATTTCGATAGGGGTCTTGAGGTATGGTAATGTAAATTTTTGTAACATGTGGAAAACGTTAGAAACACGTGTCTTAAGCACCATGAAATTTGGCGGATGAATTAAAATTAGGAACTGTTGCTAAAATTTATTTTTGATAGATACCTAACGAACAAGAAGTTCGTTTTATAACACGGAAAACTCTTCTAGAAAACTCTATAAAAAGCACCAACATTTTCATTCAGTGATATTTATGAGGCTTTTCATTTCATTGGGTTGTCTTTTTCAACCGATAACTGCCATTATTATGGCCATAAAACCGACGGACTCAGCGTGAGGTCCTGATCAAGTCAGAAATATAGAATATAATAAAATCAATCTATAGCAGTTAATTTGATTCATAAGAAAAATTAAAACAAATTGTAAATGAAAGAAATGTGTGTTACAAATAAACAAACTCTAACATTTGTCTTTGTTGTTGTTGTAAACTTTACAAAGAAATAAAAAATAATAGGTAATAAAACCTCACAACTGTGGTTATAAATTTTAAAGTTTTGTTATTGAGGCCATTCATTTTAAGCACCTTGTTTTAATCTCTAGTCAATAAATCGAATGCGAAAGAACTTTTTGGATTTTGGATTAATGATCAATTTATTACGCCTTCGCCCACACTATAGTTTTATAAAAACATCTTCAAAATACAAAAGCGTACGACCTTTGACTTTATTAAAACGTGTTATTTTTTGAGTTTGTAAACAGTAAATACAATCCTTAAGTTTGCATCAGTTTAATGTTCTTTTTTAATTTATTGAAATTTTTTGGGCAATACATTTGAATTCACATGCAGATAGTCATAAAATAAATGTCGTACATGACTCAATATAATATTAAGGACTTTAAGACAGTGATTTAAAAAAAAACAATAAACCAAAAACATGTCTTTGGATGATACATAATGAAGAAAAAAATATTTGTTGAATTCAAAAAAAACAATACCAGATACAAAATAGCAATAGTATTATGAACAAAAACACGAGTAGCCCATTACACCAAACTTTTTTTTAGTTTTTATTCTCACCTGAGGATGACCACTTTGTGGTTGAAACACGTTGTGTTTTAAAAAAAGTTTGGTGTGACGGGCTACTCGTGTTTTTGTTCATCGTTTCCATACCAAGAAGATCCAAGAAGAAGTAATAGAAGTAATATAATTATTTCATGTTTACATTAAGACAATGATTTTACAACACTGTTATAAATGTTTGCAATCCACAATACACCAAACTGTAATATAATGAAATACTTTAGTGCCGCTTTTAGACTCTTTACTGACGGTTTCGGAAAAAATAATTATAATGCATAAAGACATAGCTGTAGCTTTAGTACATCCTGTTAACTTTTAGAATAATGAAAAATGCTTAAATTCTGAAAATTTAGGGTTTGAGGGTGTTATTAGATTGAGAACCAGATGTTTTGTAATCTACTTTCTAGCCACCTGCACCTGACTCAAATGGTATTCAAATACGTTTTAGTAGTTTTTATTCACATTTAACAAATTATATAATAGGGGTGAAATGTCCAAACGTCCCTCATTAAATCAATTCGATTCGAAAAAAGCGACCGGCTGGTAAAAAATTCATTCGTGCTGTTATTTCCTGATTATTTTAACAACACCGCCCTGCTACAAATGAATTTTTAAGCAAGACAGGTGATCCGAATCCCATTCAGCACCTGTTAGTAAATTATAGATGTTTTAAGAGATTAATTCGTGTCTAGTCAAATATTTAAAGACCCGGCTCACCTTCTGCCGTTTCAGACGCAAACCATGCTGAAGTGGACTGTAATGGCTCGGCGAGATGCCGAGAAATCCGACGCCTCGCGCCGTCCAACGGCGGATGCAACAACCAGCGAAACCACTACTCCGAAGAGTAACAAGCCGAAACGACGTCATTCCAGTGGCCATCGGCGGTCTGGAGGTCGGCGTTCGAGTCTAGGACTCGAAATGGATAAAGAGAATCAATTCACGTCCACTCCGATCAAGTCCTTTGAGGATCATCACCAATTTGACGCTCTAAGAGACGTCAGCAATCTAACACCAAACCGACGAGTCCTCTCTGCTAAAAAATGCAGACGGAGTGCGTCGCCGTCCTCCCATAGGAAACATAAGAAGAAAAAACTCTGTCTCAACCCTTCGCACAGGAAAGAGTTCGGCGAGGGCAAATCCGGGAAGAATTATTTCAGACCCTTTGAAACGGTCGATTCGCACATTGAGGGGGTGCTTGTTGATGGGGTATGCGAATGCAATAGTGGAGAATTGCGGATGAAAAGGCGCATCGAGGACACGTACGCACCCACTTTACCCACTTTCGCCATGGAATACTCACCCTGTTTCATGAGAGATGCACATTGTGTAGCAAAAGCAACCCCACTTGGGAAATATTTAGCACAAGATCAAGACACGCCCCATCCGAGTAAAAAACCGAAGATCGATCATGTCAGTGATTTTTTACACCAAATTAATTTCATAACGTCCCCGGAAGACGATAAATTGACGTGTTTTACGATGGAATCAAAGTCAACACTCAAATTACGCGAGGATTCCAAAGTCTCGCCTCTAGTCAAAAAATTAGTAGATCTAAGGTTCAGTCAATTAAGTTACGATAAGAACATTGTAGATACTTGTAAAAACAACTCCTCCCTAATTAACGACTTATCTCTCGACCAAATCGTCGACGCCATCCTCAACTCTTCCACTGAAAGCGAGCACACCAACAAAACCAACACTAACAAAGACAACGAATCAAATGAAACGCAAGAAGAAAATTTAATAAATATAGAAAATGAGAGACACGTCGCCAGTTCCTTTGATCGATGCTCTTCCGATTCGGGCTTTAAGAGTTCCACAACGGAATACTCACACCAGCTCGAAGGCAATTTTCAATGTAAGTGCAAGACTTCCACCCCAAACGCCGTACTTTGTGATAAGACCATTATCAACATCAATGAAACTTTTAACGAACGTTGCGTGGACGTGATAAACCCGAGAAAAAGGCCTTCGTCGACGCCGAACGACTCGGTTAATAACGCGAAACGAGTTTATTTGGACAAATCCGAGGAGGACAACGTTTATTTTACTCTAAAACGACAACGATGTATTCGCCGCAGAAGAACCGACGACGAAAAGAAAACGAGTGCTTCGAAACCCAAAACGGTGCAGAAATCAAGCAAAGTGGACGATCCTCTAATCGGGGATGAATCGTTTGAATCCAATATTTCGGGAAAAATTGCCGAAGATAACATAAGTACGCCGTTGAAAGTTGCGTCACTGAATGAAACTTTTACGCTATTAACGCCAGTGGACAACAGTCGGAGATTTCGAAGATGTTTGTTATTCGAATCGCCCACCTCTTTATCTGAAAGTGCTTCGACCACAAATAGCAGTCTTCGGGACGTGAGAGGAACAATGGATTTGAATATTCATGGCGAAAACGATGAATTATATGTTAACAGTGAGTAAAACAATAGTATCTAGAAATCAATTTGAATTTGGAACAGTTCCAATCCAATTCGTGTGTGTAGTAGGGGTAGTTGATTTGTCACTAAAATTTTTATCATTTTTTTTTACAGTAATTCGCTGCAAGGATTTGTACAGACCCAACGGGAAGCAAATAAACGCTTATGTGAAGGTAAGTTATCGAAAAATGTTTACCTCTGTTGGGTAAAAGTATCTTTTATTTACCCATGTCACGAGCTAGAGTGTTCCTCTGTTCATAATAGCAATATTTCAAATAGGGTGACAGCTGCTTTATTAGAAACGTTTTGATTGTGTTATTTGGCGCTAAATGAGATGTGGGAAGAGGGTTTTAGCCATATGCTGTTATTTATATTTTTAAAAATAATTGAGTTTTTAACGTCACACCTTAAATTTATATTTGGAAATCACGAAATATAACGAACTGATGATTTTAACATTGTCATTTAATAAAACAAAATTTGAAGCAAAATTCTCCAAGTTTGTAAACCAATTGCTGTTACATCCGTTACACATGTTCTATAAACGTTAGTCGTAATAGAAACTCTACTATGTTCTAATTCTTTATTTTTATGTAGTTTTGAAGTCAAATAGAGCAGATCAAATTTCCTCCAACAAATGTGATTTACTCGAAATTTTCACGTATCCAGAAGTAAATAAGCATTTTTAGAACATACAAAAAAGCGATACTCGATATTTTCACATAGCGTGTAGATGCTAGACATCAGCTGGTAGGATATGTTTCTCGGTGTAATTGCCGCTGACAGGACATCTGAAACTGAAAACATGCTTGACTGGATTCAGGTTTTCAGCCACGTTTACATCTTTATCCAATAAAATCTTATTTGGCAGAGAGAAGATATTTAGTGCCATCTAACATAATACGTTAATTTTTTCATTTAATCTTGAATTAGGAATTATTTAGTATAGCCATTTGCAATAAACGTACATTGGGGTAATAAAAATTGAAGATGTATGTTGCCATAAAATAATGTTTGCTTCCGAGGAGCTGAGAAAATGTTTATTTCATTTATATTCGGGATGGTTCGGAGGCCAGTAGGGCATATGAGAAACAGGGGTGGATCGATATCATTAGTTGCGTCACGGGTACTTCTTACGTCATCATGACGGTATTCCAAATCTAAAGCTTTATAGCATCTACTGATTACAATAAATCATGATCGTAGATTCGTGCTTAAAAATACATAGAATACAATTAAAAACGCGATTTTAAGGCAGGGCAAGACAGTAATGTCGTTAGTTAATAAGATTTTATGATTTAAGTCCCAGAAATTCCTCTATAGCGCTGTGTCCAATATCTGACCCGGACGTTATTACATGATTATCGCCCTTTTGGTCGGTAATTACTTTTCATTAAATCGTTAAGTGTTAGATCCGGACGTTTAAATGTTAAATTTGGTAGTTTGTATCACGCGATATTCGGATTGCATTTTTCATTGTTATAATTCCAAAGGAAATGTCCTTATCATTCGTGAGAACTAATTCTATTTCGACGTTTGCCCACAATAATCGATCGAGAATAAAATTATGTTCCTTGGCACAAAACTGTTGAATTTAATCCAAAGGAAATAAAACGAACTGCTATTATTTCAAGACTCTTGTCCAAATCAGAGTTATTGACAATGTTAAACAAAAATATTAATTTTGCGCCATTTAATCGATTTTGCGTTTCTTGCAGGTTGCTCTAAGTGATCGACTAGGAGATAATCGCAGGAAACGGCACGGAATATTACAACGTACTGCCGTTCAATCCGACTCCAGCAAACCCTTCTTCAACCATACTTTTAAATTTCCTCTTCAGAAGGAAAGTCTTCAAAAGCGATTACATATCGAAGTTTGGCATCGGGATCGGAGTTCAAGGTAAGATCGACCGCACAATGTTTAGAATATCTTGCTTTAGCTGATTGAAGTGGTATTTTGTCATGATCGTTCTCCATCACTTGTACTAAATTTCTGCGAAGAAATTTTTACGGAAATCGAGCTTGGGAAAGTTTATCATCCTTTTTTGCACTTTTCTCGCAATGACAACTTGTAAAGTATAACTGAAATTTTTCAAAGTTGAAAAAAGAAATGGCATTTCTAGGTGGTGATTACAGAAAATTACTACAAGGTTCACAATAATCATCAGTAAGACACAATAAGCCAGACGCACGTGCAGTGGCACTAGCATTATTTACCTTCAAAAAACTGTCAAAAATGACAGTTTATTTTGTAATTTTAATTAATCTAATTACGAAAGATGCTTCTTTAATGTTAGCCAGACTAAGGAGTTATAGTTATTTTGTAGATTTGTGATAACTCTAAAGACCCCTTTATCAGTGTATCACAATCATAATGTTACAACATAGAAAAAATATTGTGACATCACAAATTAATACACCTTTATATTAATCGTTTTTTAAAAGATCATAGAATTTTAAGTTTTGATGCAATAAATAATGTATTTGCCTTGCCACCTTAGTCCTTGATGCAAGTACACTTTATAAAAACGCAATACATATGACATGTTTTAAAAACTCGCATTTGCTGATGCAGTTGGAACAAATAATACCTATTTTTCAAAACTACACTACTCAAAACAATTAAAGGAACAAAAATATTTCCTACATTTTTTGGTGATTTTTGAAAGGCTGTATCTCATCGAAAAATAGTCGTATCTAGATTTTTTAAAAACCATTTTAAGGCTTTAAGTTTCTAGTTTTGACATTTTTTGTCAAAACATTTTTCTGTGCTACAGTTATCACGCAAGCGCAAGAAATAGCGCAAGAAAACAAATGTAAATTTTTTCGTTTTTGTTTTTGGTCCACGGACTTGGAGATTTTTTTTTAGTTAAATCAATGGATGTGCCAAATAGCCTGTTCATTCGGTTTTGATATGATTTTTTTTATATTCTCTTATGTCGTTTTGTCATTGAGCTATCTGACTTTTAATGAAAAAGGATCCTTTTGTCTTTGATCATCGATATCTCAGCAACCACTAACGGCACAGAGAATGTAAGAGTAGTTCCAAAAACTGAAATAAATGTACTACAATATCATTTAATGATTTTTTCAAAAACATTTTTTTTTACTCTAGAACATTGATTTGAAAAAAAGAGAAAAAAGTAACTTTCTGCGTTGTTTAGTTAATCTACCGCATATTCACAAATATTGATGTGGAGATTAATGTTTTAAGGTGTTTTTACAGCTTAATGTATCCTGCATAGCCCCGTAAACTTTTAAATCGATCCATCACACCGTATTCTCGGACCAATTCAAAGTTTTACAAAAGAATTAAAGGAACAATTGTACATATTACTTTAATACTTTAATACTTTTTACTATTGTTTCCGAATATCGTTTAATCTTTGTCAAAATGAGAAAAACATTTTTTCTCAGCTTTCTTTTACAATTTTGCGTTAGTTAAATTTGAAAAAAAAAAAATCGAAAAAAAAAACTGAAAAAAATCTTTTTTCAAAAAAAAACAGTATTGTTTCTTGAATGTTCTTACAAATTTTGAAAAAATTTTTTGATTTCTTTTTTCAAAAAAAAACAGTATTGTTTCTTGAATGTTCTTACAAATTTTGAAAAAAAAAAAAAAAAACAATTACTGTCAATCAACGCAGACGACGATTTTAATTAATCTAATTACGAAGGATGCTTTTTAATGTTAGCCAGACTAAGGAGCTATAGTTATTTTGTGGATTTGTGATAACACTAAAGACCTCTTTATCAGTCTATCACAATCATAATGTTACAACATACAAAATATTGTGACATCACAAATAATACACCTTTATATTAATCGTTTTTTAAAAGATCATAAAATTTTCGATTTATTTTAAATATGAATTAAGTTTTGATGCAATAAAGAAGGTATTTGCCTTGGCACTTAAGTCCTTGATGCAAGTACACTTTATAAAAAAACAATGCTTTGAAAACTTGCATATGCTGAAGCAGTTGTAACAAATAATATCTATTTTTCAAAACTACACTACTCAAAAAATTAAAATTAATCAGTATTGTTTCTTAAATTTTTTTACAAATTTAAAAAACATTTTTTGTTTTTTTTTTTCAAAAATCAAGCAGTATTGGATGTTCTTACAAATTAAAAAAGAAACACAACAATTTTTGTTTATTTTTCTTATTTATAGCAAATAACCAATGCAGATTAATTCAGGATTGTAAAAAGAGTCGAAAAAAAAATGTTTTTTTTCATTTTGATGAAGATTAAGCAGCAATATGTGAAATTGTTCCATTAATTCTTTTGCAAAACTTTGATCAATCGGTCCGAGAAAACGGTTTGATGAATCAATTTAAAAATTTGCAGGGCTATGGGGAGTACATTAAGATATAAAACCACCTAAAAACATTAATCTCCCCATCAATATTTGTGAATGCGCGGTAGATTTACTAAAACAATGCAGAAAGTTACTATTTTCTCTTAATTATTAAAAAATATACATATATACATATATTTACAAATATGTAAATCTGCAAAATCACAGATAAAATTCAGTCTGTTTGATAAATAACAGGAAATAATGCAGATTAGTTTCGCAGAGTTATTGCTTGACCTTTCTGTATTTCAATTTGCTGATGGTTTCAACGTTTAGCACTTAGACTGCCTTAAGCAGTTACCTGCGTTCATAAATATCGAACTTCAAATTGATAGCCTATTAGACGAACCATAAAAACCGCCTCTGTAAAAAGGGGTAGATTTTCGGCTTTAATTTTTTTTAAGCTACAGTCACTTGGCTGTATGTGTGTATTTTCCTACTGTGAAACAATATGTGAACATGAGAGCAGTCAAGTGTCTTAATGTTTACACTCCGCTGCTGCGTAATTGTGCGTAAATGGGCAATTGTTTGCAATTAGGCGTCACGTTTCCTGTTCGTCACGTTATCCTCTTCATCGACATGATATTCCCAAGTGTTATATCCGAAAAAATCGTACGTAAATCATCCTTCGCGCAAGCTTCTGTAGTCCCGCGACATGTAATAGCGCAGTACGCAAAATCGCGCTTGCTTTCGATCGATGCCCAGCTTTCCTCTTTCCGGGAAAGCACACAGAAACGCATGCAGCGTTCTTGTCGGCAACGCGACTAACTCCGGGGAAGACGGAATAGCGTGTGGGCGTGGAGGAAGTTTCATCGCGTGACGTTTCTTATAGCGGGACCTGGAGCTCGATCCTCACTCGATGACCTCCTGCTGCAGACGTTGGGGTTCGCAGTGCCAGTGAATTGTGATAATGCGTGACGTTTAGGTTTAGTGAATTGTGAGCATTTGCGGTTTGTGAACAAATTGGCGAAGCTATCCCGAGGGGAGCCAAATTTGCGCGACTCAACAGATTGCAATAGAAAATATAATCACAAGACGGTTTTATAACGCATTTAGATAAACTATTAATAAAAATTCGAGATAAATTAGGGGACCGCTGTTTTTCTAATATTTTCCATTTTCTCGGGAATTTCCTTTGCAGGAAATATCGCTTCGAGAAAAACATCAATCTTATTCCTTGACAAATTGATGACTCTCCCTAAACAATATCAAATGAGGCTCCAGTCTCTTATTATTTTTTAGGTTTCAATAGTGAAGCTTTTTATACAGTAACCAAGTGCCATGTACTGTACAATTTGTGACTAAATGTATTGTGATTGTTTGTGACTTTAATGAAATTATCTCAAATCGAAAAATGATTTTTTTCAATGCTAACATAAATGGTGTTAAAAATGATCATCAAGCTTCGAAGATTTTAGCCATCAGATTACGTCACTTCATCTAGATGGAAAAAGTAAGTTTTGTCACGCGATTTTTTGAATAATGTTTCACTGATTCGAATTGCATTGTAAATCCATTCAGGGTTGATTACAAGTACTGTAGCGTGGATAGTTTAATCAAACAATTCGTATAACTTGTCGGAAATTATTATTATGTGGTGAATTGATAACATGAAGTAGCCATTGAGCGTTAACGACCATCTGGAAACCCCAAATTGTTCCACCCGAATAGATCCAATCAAAACATCTGTATATGGTAGGGTTACTTACCGGGGCGTTTTATCAGTGGATTTGAGGGCTAGAGGCAATGCATTTGCCCGTATATTCTACATAATCGAGATTTCTATCGAAATAACACAAACACGTTCAGCTGGGGATTCTGAACGATAACAACATATATGCGGGTGGTCAACCAGTTTATTTGGGGGCCGGAGGGACTAACGTGTACTATGGTGTTATTGTTGCCCTAGAGGGTGCTTCAAATGGTGTCGATTGCCAATTATTATTCAGATGATCATTTCAAGCTCATTATTCTCTCTTGTAGTGGATTTATTTTGATATAGTTTTTTGTTTGTTACAGAACAAGCGAATTTTTGGGGTGTATGTCCTTTGATGTCAGGCATGTATATACGAAGGTAAGATTTTTATCTAATTTTTACATTACACGTTTTTTTTTTGGAACAGGTTTTGTTGTCATTTGTCCATATATTTCTCTATCACATTGAAAAATTTTGGAAAAATTATTCGTGGAAAATAAATTACCTGTCACAAATTGATGGCACACGTTCTTCCGTGAAATGATTCATATGAATGTGTGGAGTTGTCTTGCAGAGATGTTTGTTTCCAAAATTTGATAGAACAATCAAAAGTGGGATTAAGTTTAACTAAGTTTTAGACTCTAATTTCGAAAATTTTGTTACAATCCACATGAGCAGGAAACTTTTATGTTGACATTACGTTTCCAGTAATAATTATCCAGTCTTAAGCTTGTTTCAAATTTCACTAACTTAACTAACTTCGTTGTTTTTACAGGATTGCGATCGCTTATTTTCTTTTTTTTTTTAATGATAGATTTGAGTTTTCCCGTTGCAACAAATTAACAAACATAATGTAGAATTAAGTTTACATATTTATGCTGGAGTAAGGACAACAGTACTAACTGGAACACGAATAGTAACTGTTCTCGCATTATACCGCTGCTTATCAGGGAAAATCAAATGTATATATTCGACATATCGAAGCACTCGTTTTAAATTAAAAACTGGTATGTTGACACAACATGAAATGCAACTCTGCAGGGAATTTTAATGCGTCTTCCTGACTGGATTTCAATAAATTTGAAGCGTTTTTATTATGTTTAACTGTTATACGTAACATGTGTGTTGCATTTAGTTATTGGATTACTACAATAATTTATTGTAACAGTCCACATAAAAACATTTCTCTTTAATTAAACTGTTAATAAAATGGTTATACATTATTTACTCTAAATGCAACACATAATTACAGCCACTACAAATAATTTTATAGAATTCAATTATATGAATATATGAGTAGCATTTAATGATTCACAAAACTACTTATAAATATGTATTTTATGGTGCTTTGCATATTTTATTCAAAAATAACACATACTCGTCAAAAACTGTCAGGGTTTTGTGGTATTTTGTCACGAAGAGAAAAGTAAAAAGCAGTGCAAAGATTCATATACATTCATTTTTTACCTAAAAAATGTTATACAAAAAGGATTTACTCTAAGCCTTTTTTCAGGACTATAATGTGCTTCTTATGACCGCAAATACTAAAAAATAGTTAAATTTCATTCGTATGTCTTTGGAATGTTAAAAATTTATTTTTATTTATCTTATCCAGTATCAAAAAGGGGTGTACCATTGTCAAGTAATAAATCTATGTTAATATTATTTCCAAGTGTTTATATACCTACCGGGAGCTAATCTCAGGTATCGATAAATCCTTTAAGCGGCTTATTGGTTCCTTCTTTAGCCCAATAAAAACTTTCAAAGGTTGACGGAATAAAACCTGAAATAAGAAACCACCAAATAGAAAATGCAGGACTGTGTTAACCCTGAAACTTTATATTTACTCAATCAATAAAGAAATCTCTATTTTTGAAAAAGAATCATATTCAGACTCTTTCAAAGAATAAATTATAATTTTTATTGATTTTTTACAGAGAAATTAAAACACAAATGTTTACAATAATGATAAGCTCTTTCATCTACTTTTTTCCTTGATAATCGCAAAATAAAAGATGCATGGTCGTGGGGGTTGGCGACCTAGGCTGATCGATTCGTTTCATTAATTCCAGGATATCAGTGGTTCATATCGTTTGCTGCCTCAGTCGTCAGGACGCTGTCAGAACATTCCGATAACCGTCGAGCTGTTAGATCTAGAAGCAGAAGAAGACTGTCAACCCATAATGTGCGAGAGTCAGTCGAGTGTGGACGAGATCATGAGTCTTGATGGCCTCGACAACGATTTGAAAAAAGTCACCAACAAAGCCATCCTGAGCGAGCAGCAGAAGTATGCAGATGAGAACTTGTTCCTGCGCTATCTGGAGCTGGACCCTACGGAAGGGCCGGAAGCCATCCCCGCTGCGATGCAGAGAAAAGCCACGGGAAACAAAAACGGCCGGACGCCCTTTACGCAGACGAAGAAGTTGACGCGTGCTCCCAAATCCGGATTCGGATTCTCGGTCGTCTGGACGCATCCGCCGAGGATAGAAAGGGTCGAAAAGGGTCTGCCGGCCGATAAAGCGGGAATTTTACCGGGGGATTATATTATCTTTGTCGATAAACACAATGTCGTCATGATGCCAGAAATTGATATTTTGAATTTAATTAGGTAAGTTGATGTTGATGATTATCCACAGATTGCATTTTCTGTTCTAAAAATTTATATTAAAAGCGATTTTATTAATTAATAAAAAATTTTTGGTTCCAGGTCGTATGGAAGTCAATTAACTTTAGAAATATTTAGAAGAAACACGTCTAAAAACGGTTCTGTGCCAAGTGTCAGACGTTTAAATAGTACCGGAACTTGTAGCACGACGGGGCTTCCTGTAACCTCTAATTTAGTGCAAAGACGTCCCTCCACTGTTTGTTCAACGAATACAGCTTCAGTCGATTACAACAGGAAAAAATTGCATTTACCTCAAGTTACTTTTAGTGCCGAGGTTGGTAATGGCGTCATTGTATAGTCGTTATAGAATACAAATTTTCCTGCTTGGTATTGTTACGGCCAGTGTCTCTTCTATTTTATCGTTTACTTTGGTTATTTAATTAAGTTTACTTTTTATTAGGGTATTAAGTTTAATTAGTGTATCTTAAGTTATTTATTTTAATTTATTCAAATTTGTCTATTTGTTTTTTATTGATAGTTATATTGTAAGTCTTTGATTTATCATTTTTGTTGAAAATTTTGTTTACGTTATGCCTTATGAAATACATGTTTGTGTTTACTCGTTTTTTTTTTTACTTATTGTACACACTTCAATCATCAGATATTTATTTATAAAGAGCATTTTCTTAATTTGTTGGCTTTAACGATTTTTTTATATTTTCCACAATTATTTCAGTGTTTCGTTTATAAATGTGCATGTTGTATAAGAAAAGACGAATTCTAAAAATAAAAATACAATTTTATTAACTGAATATAGTCATGAAATGCAATAAAAGGTCAAATATAAAATTGGAAGGTACAACAGGTAAGTATCAAAAAAGACAAAGCATTCTTCTCATTTTGTTATACATCTCATTGAACTTTATACTGCATTATAAAACAGTAAATTAACAAATCGGTAACTTCCAACACAGAATAGAAACATTTGTTATCAATCTCAACCAAGGGTCCATTATTTAGTAGATACTCTAATAATGAGGGCAATATACATATACGTAGTATAATCATTTAATGTAGACTCTGTGGAAATTATTCCAACTTTACCTTTTAAAATAGTTAACAACAGCATAGCCACAGATTATCATAAAATGTAATACCTAAAGTAATAATAAGAGTTTACCCTACCGCTATCAACTGTGGTAAACTTTGTTTGAGCTTTGATGATTATAATAATAATATGAGACGGGTCAACTGAGGGAGAGTTTTATGATCTCTGACTTATTTCTTTTCAATTTTGTAAATGTAGATTTTGATTTATCCTATTTTTTAATTTATATACTACTTCCTATATTGTATTTTTCAATAAATGCTTACATTTTTTGCTTATTTTATGGTTTCTCGAATTTATTGATTATTTTATTTTAACTTTTCAATGTTGAATCATATTTCACACATTCAGTAAACTTATTAAAGTCAAAAGACTTTCTAGAAACCAGAATTAAATCTTTATTTTTTCATTACTTTTGTTACTGGTCTTTTGAATTTGCTATTTCCTTATTTTGTTGATCAAACATGGCAAAAAAATCGCCTTTTGTTGCATTATACTCGCATATAAATGTAAAATATTTATAGGTATCTAAGCGTACGTGTTAATTAATGAATTAACTTTAAAAAAGTACAAAACAATAAAAAATACCTGTAGGTATATGTTATGTTGTTATTGTGGAAACACAACAATAATCATTTATACTTAGTTTATTATTATTTTGGTTCCGTGTTTTTGTTTTCAATTCTTCTACATCTTTCTAAATTAGTAATTTTTTCTACAGAAAACCAGTAATAATCAAGAAGAAAACAGAACAAAAGCCATGTATCAACTAATACATAAAGAACAACAATATGCAACGGGGTTACAATTTGCAGTTACAAGATTCGTATCAGCATTGGCTGAACGCCGAGACTTAATTACACCTTCCGAACATAAAATTCTTTTTCAAAATTCTGAAGAGGTAAGTTGCAATTGCATTATTGCTTCTACAATTAAAACAAGTTTCTTTTCTTATTAAACAAAAATTTATCAAAAAATATCGTATTATTTCAGATTCTTAGATTAACAGAGGATATCCTTGACAATTTAGTTCAAGAAGAAGGTGTTCATAATTTAATTCGGACGTATCAGGCAAAATTGAATGAAATTACAACAGCTTATAGACGCTATTGCTCAGGAATTAAAAAAGCTGATTGTGTATTGGCAAATAAAACGAAAAATTCCAATTCAGAATTTGTTAGGTTTTTACACACTCCATCGATTCCTAGAAGACGACCAGATATTACTGCATTTATTCATAAGCCTCTAGAACATTACAGGGAAGTTTTGAAAGCTTTCACTGTAATACAAAGCTACACAAAGCCTAATCATGAAGACTATCCTGTGATAAATCAACTTGTGCATGACTTGCAGGTAATTTTTATCGATTGGTTACGAAAAAAAAATTCGAGTCAATTTTCTAATGGATTGATTTTGCTTCTGATGCAATGTCAATCTACATTTAATATACGTTTCATTGGCTTATGATTTTTCAGCATACTTATAAAGAAATGACAGTAGAGGCAGGACTCATGGAACCGATGGGAGAAGGTAGACCTCTTTTATCAGTACAAGATTTAGAAAATCGTTTAGTTTTTACAAAGTGTAAAGTAGGTGATATAAAATTAATCGGTACACAAATTAAAAATCAATTTTAGCCTTTCGTATTAAATAAACCCGGTCGCCAATGGATATTCGGAGGCGATTTAGGGCGAGTAGAAGGACGAAACATACGACAATACTGGACGCTTTTATTTAGTGATTTATTATTATTTGCCAAAGTTTCAAGGGATCGAGTTTTATTTATTATGGAAGACCCTTTGCCCCTAGCACACATAACTGACATGTTTTTCAACGTTAGGAAAAAAGGTCTACCATAATATGTTTGCCATTTTAGTATATTATCCTGACTCAGGGTTTTTAGATACTGAATTTAGGATAACAGTCTCACCTGGAGGAAAACATGCTACTAGCCCAACTGTACATTGTGGACCTGATTTAACAAGAACTCCGAAAAAAAATACGGGTAAAAGAACAATGCTTTTAAGGGCACCGACGACTGAGTTGAAAGCCGTTTGGCAAAATCTGCTCCAGAGACAAATGTAAGTCTGCTTGCTTTTAAATGGCACCGCTGTCTAGCTCACTCACCATTATGGTTGTCTACATATTTTAATGAAATTATAGCATAGGTACATACTGCGTATCCATAAAGTTTTCTTGTTAGAGTAGAGATCTTAACAGCATGTGGTAGCTAATTTAGAATTTTTAATATGTAAACAAGCAATCTGCTGAAAATTACATTTACGAAAACATGGTTACATCTTGCTTTAGGTAGTAAAATAGAAACAGTGGTCAAGTTCTATCGTATTCAAAAATGTTTTGTGTAGAACTCACACTACATGTCGAAATTATTGTAGAATTACACAGGGCGACAAAAAAATGTCACGTTGTGACAACTTGACAAATTTTATATCATTTTGTTCGTCTCAGTGAGACAAATCAAATGCATTAAAAAAAAATCAAAAAGTCCACACACTTTGAACTAAATAATTTTTTTCTAATTTGAATGAATTTAAAATACTTTAACTTTAAAAATCATTACTCAATAACTATTGGGCCTATTTTCTTCAAATGAGACCATTCTAAAGGGATGAACTTGCTTTTTAGAATGATATACAATTTGAAATGGAATATTTGCAAACTTTTCTTCGAACAGTGTTTGAAGTAGTTCGAAGTAAGTGGAAGTAATCTAAGAAAAACCCTATGAGTAAATTTTTTTCTTCATCACCATCGTGTAGAACATCTTTTTATTAGTAAGAATCCAAATTTTTAAAATAATATACCAAATAGTTTTTAAGATAAGATTTTTTGAAGTTAAGGTTTGCTGTTCAGGTATTGCGCCATATAAGAGAAATACATGTTAATCTTACTTAAAATTGCATTTTTATAAAAGTATTTGTTTTAAGACTCTTCTTTTGCTTAAAAATGGTCAATTGCACCTTCTTTGTTTTAATTAGAATAAACAAAAACTGTTTCTTTACTTAAAACAAACAAATAGTGTCTGCGTACTTATTAAAGCAAATAAAGAGTTTTTTTGTTCTATAAATGATCACTGATCATTGAGCAAAAAGGATCTAGAAGTTTAAAGCAGTAGCTTTAAATATAAGGACAAATCTTTTTCAAATTAAATCACTTTCCATTCAGATTCCAACTTGTTCACTTTATTCTAGCTTTCTGAACATTTTTTTGAAAATGTTCTCATCAAATGCTTTCTCATCACTTTCTACTGATGTTGAATGCAATAAGTCAGTTGCTTCGTGTGCAACTGTTATCACAACAACAACTACCTACAAGCTAACTGAAGCTAATCGTAGAATGTACCAACAAAATAAATCAGGTGACTTATTGCATTTAACATCACTCGAATGTGATGAGAAAGCATTTGCTCAGAACATTTTCAAAAAAAGTTCAGAAAGCTAGAACAAAATGAACATGTCGAAATCTGAATGGAAAGTGATTTGATTTGAAAAAGATTTGCCCTTATATTTAAAGCTCGTGCCTTAAACTCAATGATCAGTGGTCATTTTTACAACAAAAAACCTTGAACAATAACACGATTAGCCCGTCACACCAAAAACTCAGTTTTTATTCTCACCTGAGGATGACCACTTTGTGGTTGAAACGCGTTGTGCTATTAAAATAAAAGTTTGGTGTGACGGGCTAATCGTGTTATTGTTCATCGTTTCCATTCCAAGAAGATCCAAGAAGAAGAACAAAAAACCTCTTTACCTGCTTAAATTAGTACGCAGGTAGGTACTCTTTATGTGTTTTAAGTAAACAAACAGTGTTTGTTTATTCTAATTAGAACAAAGAAGGTGCAATTGACTATTTTTAAGCAAAAGAAGAGTCTGAAAACAAATACTTTTATAAAAATGCAATTTTAAGTAAGATTAACATGCATTTTTCCTATATGGCGCAATACCTGAATAGCAAATCTTAACTTCAAAAAATCTTATCTTAAAAACTACTTGGTATATTATTTTAAAAATTTGGATTCTTACTAATAAAAAGATGTTCTACACGATGGTGATGAAGAAAAAAAAATTACTCATAGGGTTTTTCTTAGATTACTTCCATTTACTTCGAACTACTTCAAACACTGTTCAAAGAAAAGTTTGCAAATATTCCATTTCAAATTGTATATCATTCTAAAGAGCAAGTTCATCCCTTTAGAATGGTCTCATTTGAAGAAAATAGGCCCAATAGTTATTTAGTAATGATTTTTTAAAGTTAAAGTATTTTAAATTTATTCAAATTAGAAAAAAAATATTTAGTTCAAAGTGTGTGGACTTTTTGAATTTTTTTTAATGCATTTGATTTGTCTCACTGAGACGAACAAAATGATATAAAATTTGTCAAGTTGTCACGACATGACTTTTTTTTGTCGCCCTGTGTTATAAATTGATTCTACTTTTTGAATAAATGTATTTAAGCAAAAGATTAAGTTGCGTGATTGCGTGTTGGTAATATACGTTATTTTGAAAACAACTAAATTTAACCTTTCACTACATTGTTCGACTATCTTAAATTGTATATAATTTATCTAAACAATAGGTATTTGACATAAAAGATTGGTCTTTTTTCGAGTACATTGATCTTAGCACCACAGTGGGTTGCAAAACCACAATTTTTTGTTAGTTTTAGTGAAATATATAGAAGCAGCAGCCTAGATGTGTCCTTTTTTTTTACAAAAGTCTTAGACTTTATGGATATTCTGTAGAACTGATAGTGTTGTTGTTGCGCACGCAGCTTCCACGTAAACGCGGGCATGGATGGCAGCTCATTTAGCAGCCCGTTAGAATCTCCTGACGCTCCAATAACCTCCTCTGTGGCCACCCTTCAGTCTGCAGAATCGCTCTCCTTGCGTCGGCAGGTGCGTCTGTGTAGCGGTCACTGCAGCGAACCAGTAGATAACTCCTGCCTACCTGCACAAAATCATTCCCCACGGCATCATCACCCCTCATTGCCAACACAAACATCGCTGACCAAAACCCCTGACACACCCTCGGCGAACATTTCCTCACAATCGTCCTCCGAGCAATCTCAGGCTTTCACCTCGCATTTCACTTCTGAAAGTAGTTTGTTGCCAAAGTACTATCTACCTGAAGATCCACAATCCCCTTCTGCTATCCTTACTCCTTCAACGGAGATCTCATCCGACGCTGATGCACAGAACTCGGAAGATATAGACTTTTTAAAATTTGACGAGGATCCGTGGGATATTGCAAATTTCGATTACGATCTGAGTAGTATGAATATCGATGGATTGTCGACCAAAAGTTGCCAATCTGATTAAAGTATAAATGCGATTTATACTTTATAGACAATCTGAACTTAAATGTGCCATCAGTGTTTTCCTTTGCTAAAGCACTTGTACCAAATTGACTGCCTCTTTCATATAAAGTATCTTTTATTAAATTATATATGTCTAAATTTAAAAAGAACGATTTACTTCTTTAGCGAATTAAATTTATAGTAGTTGGAGTTTAGATTGAGATTATCTATATTGTTACAGAATGTAATTTATACAATTATATATTTGCAAATAAAAGCTTTAGTTATTAAATTTGCTTTTTTATTTCCTTTTTGCCATTTGAGGTAGAAGTACAAATTAGAAGTTTTAGATTAACGCTGGACATTTTTCAGACTCCACAAAACATAAACGAAAATACAGAAATGCAAAAGCAAATAGACGCCCTTATAGAGCATAAGTGTAAACAATTGAGCAAAAATAATAGCGGAAAAGGTAATGCTATTCATTTAGAAAAATGGATGAAAAGTCATCTTGATACTGATATTGCTGATGAAGCAGAATTGGAACCTTTATCCGAAGAATGGACCGAAGAAATGCTTCGAAAACGATCAGAAGAACTCCAATTAATAGACGCCCAAGGAAACGTTACTTGTAACGACACCAAACGAATCGAAAGCAGATGCGAAGATAACAATTTATCTGACCACGACCAAAGTCCGTCCAAAAGTACAACAACAGAAAGTCAAGTAAGTTACTTTATTCTCTAACTCTTTGAACTTGAACAATAACTTTAGGTTACCGTGCGCTCAAGCCCTTTAGTGCCAGAAACTGTGCCAGTGTGCCGACAGTGCCATAAAAATTGCCTTCCATCTGTAAACAATAATGTTAAAAGTGCTCGATCCAATAATAACACCGAAAACTCTAAAGAAAAAAAAGACGAAAACGATAATAAAGATGATGATGATTGGAGACCCTTACTTTTGATGGGTTTAAGTGCAATCAACCCAGCGGCAAGTCTAGTAAAACTAGATCCGTTTTCTACACCAATTCCACAAATAAACGTCGCGCCACCAACACCAGAAAGTTCCACGAAAACCGGAAGTACTTCCGATCAAAAACAGAAAGATGGTTCTTGCAGTTGCCGCAATAGCAGACCTGAGGTACTACTGCACTTCCAATTTTAAAAATTCACTGACAACATTTTTCTTTTCAGTTAAATAATTTAGAACTATGCAACGAAGTTGATATATCACCAGACGATTCACCTCAAACTGAAGAGCATCCATATCACTCCTTGAGTAGTTCAAACTTAACGTTACGACGATACGGTACAGTTTCTAGTTTAGAGCGATTAGGAACAGAAGAACATGAAGATAACTGGGATGAACGTTACTCATCTGATGAAGATCACGAAAAACATGGAGGTATTGACAACGAAGCATTTTATCATTCATCAATCAAAAGTTGGACTGCTAAAGCTGGATCTTTTGTTGCTGAAAAAATGTCATTTTTTGAACGACTTGGAGAGGATTATAGAAACACTGGACGGTTTTTTGAAAAGTGTGTTGAAGATATAAATGGTTCCACATTTTTCCTATATTACTTCAATTTTTAGATATTTAAAAACAACAGAAACTACAGTCAATGGAGATGACGTTCAAGAAGATGAAACATCTGGTGCCACTTCAGGTGAAGAAATATGGGGGACACCCACTAGTGGTGGTGAAATGGACGACCCTTTGAGTTCTCCTAATTATGAAGGAAAACAATCGGTTGGGTCAATTTATATTTAAGTGATAACAAAATTAATTTAAATTTTGTTTAGCCTTATGATGGTTCCATATCGTCCGATAATGGAGACGACACAGAACTCATGATGGATGAGCTACTTATGACTCCTCCCATCACTGGTGCAATAATGAGAGGTCTCCTTCCTCGAAGGACATTAGAACCGTTAATAGAAGAAGACTTTTCAGAAAGTTGTTCTCCAACTTCATCAGGAACACCAACCGAACCTTCAGTATCTCCAGAACAGGTAAATATTAAAGCGAATTTGTGCTTTTGTCCTGGAAATGTTGTTTTTTAAAACAATATTTTATTACATTGTGGGCAGGGCAACGGAACTGGCGATGTTGCTGACAAATGTTCGACTGCTGTAGAAAACCGGATAGAGTCTCCAAATACAGAGATGGAGATGGGGTCGGCAGTTACGACGTCCGAAACGACTGTTGTTCCGAAAATTCATCGATCAGAAAGTTACCGGAAGATTATAGAAGCGGCAGAAGAAGACTACGACGACGCCCTCGGTTTTTTCGAGAGGTTCAAGCCAACAGTGAAGTTCATAAATATTGAAAGAGTGCCGCGAGCAAAAAGTGCAAAAATGTAAGTTAATGTAACCAAAGTGTAACTCAGTTAACTTCTGATTGCAGTTTTGAGTTTTTTAACATGCGTCGAGAACGCAGAATTCACCAAACGATTCCGGAAGGAAAACAGTTAATCAAAATTTTCAGTAAAGAAGGTACGATTTCAGACAATGTCCCTACGTCTTATTCGGAAAAACCGCTTTCCCCTAGACTACTAAAGGTAGGTTTTAGTTTGTATTTTACTGTTTATAATGTTATTTGTTTAGGATAAGCAAATGGATCGAAGATTTTGGAAACAGTTAAGCAGACGTCGTGGCAATAAAATGTCAAACCAGCCGGCCTGAAAATATTGCAATATTTATAGGTTTTCAAAATTTTCATCACAATTTCGTCATTTCAAGCTCAACTCACGTGATATTGGTGCTTTGAATACAAAATGTGCAAATTTCTCAATTTATTAATAATTTTGGCTTAAATAATTGGCACTAAATATTATAGTTGTTAACTAATGTAAATAGCTTTAAATCGTTATTCAATTTTTATAAACTATTTACTGAATAGTCAAAAACATCGTTTCTATTTAAAAAATTCTAGTCGTAGGAATCGATTTAAATGCAGGGGTGTAAAGTAGTTAAAGAATAAAAAATCCGTCACATAACATTTGTGATAACTACAATTTTGTATACTGTTGAAAATAAATTTTAAAAACTAAACCTTTATTTATTCTTAACACAAAGAAATAACACCTTTCAAAATTTGCTCGATTTCACCAATACTTATTTCAGTTTCAAAAGTGTGATCGCCCTTAATTCCCTTATTCTGCACTGGTATTTTGATTGTTATTTTGTCATTTTTAGTCTGACCGTTGGCTTTGGCCTGATTCCATATGTTCTTCCACAAGATATCTTTCTGATGTTGCTTTGCTTTAGTAACAATTTTCAAAAATTCTTGTTTACCTTCAATTTATTAAAAATATTTTTTTATTAACTATTCAATTCTAACCACTTACCTTGTTCACAACTCTTTTCTTCTAACATTTTTTGACTAGTTTTAAATTTCCCCGGAGAAGATTTATACCACTGAGACGAATGTGCGCTACTTTTATTCTGCGATACTTTGTTATTCATTTTACATTTAGCTGGTGAAGATCTGTCCCAAAAAGATACTTTCCGACTAGCGCTACTTTTCTGTGGGAACACATCTGGTGACTCTTTTCGCCATAGAGATATTTTTGGGTTTACATAAGATACATCAACATTTTTATTGTATTTATGGTCACTTCTAGAATAATGAGACTTTACCTTCTCTTGATTACCTTTGGGACTTTTCTCTCGTGGACTTAAGTAACGAACATTTTCGTGGGGATCGTAATTACCAAATCTGGTATTCATGTGTCTCATAACATTTTTGATAGTTTCTGCTTTCACATGTTCGGCTTGTGCTGCTTGCAATGACCCTTTCTCGGTCAGAGCAAACTTAGTCAAAACTTCGTTCAATAAATTTACTATTCTATTTTTTAAATCAATTCCTGGCTTTAAAATTTCTTCACCCCATTTCCAGATGTACCCTCCGTAATACAATTCTTCATCGGTGATAGTGCCTTTGTCATCTTTTAATGTTACTTTTGGACAGTTTTCTTCATAACAACCAAAACAATGTAAACCTTCTGAACTTTGACATTTTAAAGATTTATCAGTAGAACGTTCTTGTATGTCTTGTAATTTTGAACATTTCTTAAAATTTTTAAGTGGAGAATGCAAAGACGTGTCACTTTTAGATTTCATAATTTTAGGAGATAATCCAGTGACCATCTTAGAAATAATTTTTTTAAAGTAATCTTTAGGAACGACTTTTTCTTCTTGCATTGCTAATCGCTCCTCCAAGACTTTTATCCTGTTTGAAAGATGATTTATATAAGAATCGTCATTGCCTTTCGATCTTATTTTATTAATATTTTCAACATTAAATCTTGCTTTTCTTCTTGGATTCGGAAATTGTTTATGAAATGAAGGTGATGGAGATTCACTAAGTTCAGTGAGAAGTGGATGTTTCTGACATTCAGCAAGCAATCCTATAATGCCACAGTTTTCACATAAACATTTGCCTTCAATTTTTTCGCCCTTTTCCAATAATTTTTGTTTATTTTGAGATAAAAGAATTGATTTTATATCGTGAGGTGCTGTTTCAACTCTATAACAAGTATGATTTCGATTACCAACAGAACTAGCTAAAGAACTGGGCTTTTTATGCCTAGAAAGCACAAATTCTTCCGAGGCACTTTCATCAACTGTTGTTTGACTGATAACAAGGTTGATGTCTTGCATATTAGTTATTCTTGTCTCTACGTTTTTCAGAGAACGACGAATTTCGCAAAATAAAGGTTCTACAGATTCAGCAATTCCGATGAAATCTTTTCGTTCTAGATCATCAACTGGAGATTTTGAAGAAATCCGTTCTTTATTGTTGGAAAATGATTTTTTTTCTCGATGGTTGCTTTCATAATCATCGTTGTGTTTACGAATTTGGAGAACGGTATCATCATACCTTAATTTATCAAGAACTTTCTGTTTTTTTCGTCTTTGTTTTTCCATCGATGTGATTAATTTTCTAACTTCGTCAGCACGAAGTGTATTAGTTCTTCGTGTACCAAAAGCTTCCAGCTCTTTTGGCTTGATTACAGTAACATCTAGCAAAGTAGATCGGCATTTTTGCGGATTAGATAATATCCGTTTTGTTTCTGAATCCACCTGAATTTCTAAACAGAGTTCTACATCTTCTCCCATGTTTCACGAGACACAGAAACGTAGTACACTTAACAACAACACTTAAAAACGTAAAATTTAACATATAAATTTTCATTGTTACATATTTCATAAATTTTGAAATAAAATTTGTTGATCACGCCAAAAATACGAAACGTCAGTTGATTTTGCTTAAAAATTTGCATCAAATGACAGAGAAACATCAAACAATTGAAAAAATTTTTCAATCAAACGAATTTGTGGTTTATTGAAAATTTACAAAAAATTGACTCAGTTCCAGAAAATGTCTACTATTGATACGCCAAGTTATGCTATTTCTTCAGAAAAAGGTAAGTCTTGCCACGATTTTTATCACAATACAAGAAAGTTAAACGTTTCAGACAGTGGTGATGGCGAGATAAACCGTTATAAATCACTACCTTGTGGAAGTTCCAGCTCTCAGATGATAATATCAGAAATAATGAACGACATTGTAGACAACGCATTTGAAGTAATTGTGGCTAAAAACTTTCAGGTAATAATTAGTAACAAGAAGACTCACTTATAATGCCAGTTTATAGCAGCCCCCTAAACCAGAAAAGATAACACCAAACGTCGTAGGTGACATTATAGACAACATTTTGTCACCTTCCTCAAATACAAATGCGTCAAATGAAAATTACCGGCAAGACGAAACAGCTCTTCTCGATGACGAAATCAAACGAATTATAAAAGAAATGAAATACCCTTCTGATCAAAAAAGCCCAATTTGTACGCAAGGTGTTGGTGATCAACTCGGTGACAAATCAAAAGTAGCTCCCGACAAAATTGTCTCAGAACCCGTCAAAAGAAACACACTAGAACGTAAAAATCGACTAACTAATCTTGTAAGACACTCTAAACAGATGTTGGCCAAACTTGTAACAAACGAAACCGAAAGTGATGTACGAATGACCAAATCTGAGGAAATTCACGAAAAACTTCTAAAGGTTATTGACCTTGAAGGAAATGAACACAAGAATTTTGCAGAAGGCGGTAGTAGTAGTGCTACTGGTATTTTGAGAATGCCGCCGGAATCGTCGATGAATATGGTCGATTTAGAACCGAGTATTTCACAAGTAGATGATGATATTAATACGGAAACTGCTAAAAACGAAGAAGATTTTAGAAGTGATGATAAAAAATTTAGCAGTGTCAGCAAGAAAAAATGGAATTTTGGAACAAAAATAATGAAGTATTTTAAAAGAAATAAAGACAGCAAAAGAGAATAGTGTTAAACAAAGCATTCGATCCATGTAAAACAAATATGTGTACCCTTTTTCATTCTATTCTACTAATAAATTACTGACTACATGTCAATCGCACTTTCGTTTAAAACAAGGATCATATGCTTTAATGTTAATTAATCAAATTTTACATTTTTTTATTAAGTTTTCTTGTAATGATTTTTTAATAAATTTTTGGCAAAGGAAGAGTAGGTCTAAACGGGGCAAAAATACTAATAAAGCACAAGACATAATACCATTACTACCGAGATTTGTATGCTATTTTATTCACAATCACATTATTTTTAGACAAAAATTTGAATAAAATAAAATTCTAGCAATGTTAAGGTCCAAACGGGGTAGGCCATCCAAATTGCGTTTTATCTTTGACATTTCAGAAAATACTGAAATAATGTGTGAATCTGATATTAAAATTGTTATAATGGAGCAGTGGACTCCCCCAGAAATAAGAAAAACTGCTATAGAAGCAACTGAATACTAATTTAACAAAATATTATGCGTAACTTGTCAATTTGAAAGAAAAAAATCCAGTTATTTTTGTAATCTTAACGTTGGCAAACCTGCATATTACCGCCCAAAGGATAAAATGATATTACTGCTCACGGCATTTAATGAAGCGCTTCCCAACCTTTAAAAGGTTAGTAATCGGCATATTACATTAGTAGTTGTGAATAAACAATTTTTTACCATTTATTACCATTATAACCAAAATTGTAACACTTCATGGTGCAATTTTCATATAACGTATTCATCTTAAAAATTGTCTAAACTTTTAATTTTACTTGGTAATAATAATTTCACACCAGTTCTTTCTCTAAATTACATCCGGTAGCACACATTTAAAATTTTTATTCTGAACTTTTTATATGATATTGCTGAATTTGTAATGAATTATCTATTATTTATGAATTTTGCAATCAAATCAAATACATCAGAAATTGAAGCAACTGAAAGGATAAACTTTTGACTGTTTGAGTTTGCATCAATATAAATGTTTACTATAGCTGTTAATACAGAAAATAATATTGAAAAGTTGATTTTAAGGTAGAGAATATTGATTAAGTGTACTCTTCTTTCAGCTACAAAAAGAAGAATAGTATATTCCGTAACAAGTTTAGAACTTGGCATATTCCGCTCAAGAGTAAAGGTTCGTCTCACGAGCCGAAGGCAAGTGCGGAATATGCCGTTCTAAACGAGTTACAGACTATACTTTTTCTACGACTAAAATCACAGAGAATTCTGTAATTACAAATCAATCAAGAATATTGTTGTTTTTCTAAGAAAAAATAATTTTGCGTTAATAATAGTTTCATTTACTTTGTTTCCAATGCGTTTCCAAAAGAAATTTTATCTAATCTAATGATTGTCATTATATGTAGAGTGATTGATGTTTACCAATTAAAGTTTGTGTAATATTTTGCTGCCAAATTTAGCACCTGAAACATTCTTTAGTTATGTTCTAAATCCATTTGTTCTTGACCACTCCCACCCTTTTGCGTGTGATATTTTTGGGTCTCTTTCTGGAGCAGGCGGGATTGGCATCACCGGCTAAGACAGTTTCACTAATTTCAAACGAAATAACGGTGTTGCCAAAGTTAGAGGCGTCCCAGGACCAAGAAAGAGGCTTCAGTTACAGAAACATCAGCGCCATCTACACATATAAAACAAGAGACCCACCGTCCTCCGAGCCCCACTTCTGGTCCATTTACTAGAAGGCAAGTTACAGTTACATCATCACAATGGTAAGTACTTGCAAAGTTAGTGCACGTTATTGAAGCATGCAAGCTGATAAATCTAGTCTTGGTGAACCTGCCTATGTTAGAGCCTTTAAGTACTGGAAGAAGAAGATTAAGAAAGCCCAAATAGTAGTTACCCTTTTCTTTTACCCATCACATAAATCATACATTTTCCATTCCAGATTTATTACGGGTATATGCATAGGTAGTGAAATTTTTGTGATCGGTTTTTTACTCAGTGTCTGTCCTTTTATGTGCTTTTTTGTAGATTTTTGTGAACGTCTATATGTCTTATTGTCTTAACACCAACTATATGTGTAGATTCGTATTTCTAGGCATTAACTGTGTCGTCTCGTAAATAATTCGTTTGTTCATGTATCGTAAAAACTAACATTTTACTAAAAAGCTTAAACAAAATCTAATCACGTGTTCTTTTCACAGGCTGATCTTAGCGCCAGGGACATTGAAAGTGAGTAAAAAATATAAATAACAATCACCGACATTTAATTCCAAAGCATATGCGTTTGGCTAATTTTAGCCTAGAACTTATATGGCCACACTCGCCATCTGAATCTATTTTTACTTCCCATTGATTTCTAAAATTAGGATTGCGCTCCGCTTCACGCTTTCCGCGATCTGTTACAGTAACCCAATTATTGAAACAACCCCAAATAAATTACAAACTAGTTAAAAGATGCTAATCTTGATTTGACTTAGGAGCGAACTTCGTGTTCTCGATCTACGATTTCGAGGGTAATGGTACCGTCGATGCAGTCAATTTGGGCGATATGCTCAGAGCCCTCAACCTTAACCCAACCTTGGCCACCGTTGAAAAATTGGGAGGAACCAAGAAGAAGAGTGAGTGTTATTTAAATAAAAATGAAAATCATGCATTGGGGAAATTTCAGACGAGAAGAAACTCAAAGTAGATGAATTCCTCCCTATCTTCAGCCAGGTCAAAAAAGAGAAAGAACAAGGCACATTCGAAGATTTCTTAGAATGTCTGAAATTGTATGACAAAGAAGAAAATGGTAAAATGATGGCAGCTGAACTTTCCCACACCCTCCTCTCTCTTGGTAAATACATTGCTAAAAGATTATTATAATTAACTGAAATTGGTTGATTAGGTGAGAGGCTGTCAGACGCTGAAACCGAAGAAGTTCTCAAAGACTGTATGGACCAAGAAGATGACGATGGCTTCATCCCTTACGAACGTAAGTTACCCCTTTGTTTACTTGTACATAATTAGTTTAAATTATTTTGTTAAAAGTACTGTAATTAGAGTTAGAAATAAGCATGTTATTTTGCGGATTTCAGCATTCCTCAAAAAGATGATGGCGTAAGAAGCTAAATTTAGATTTTATTTTTGAGTAAGTAGGAATTTGTGCATACTGGCCGCCGTCGCTTCGCAAAGAATTTTTACTGTCGTAATGCTTAGCCGCCTTTTATTTAACATTTTTCAGGTTTTTTACTGCTATTGCTACATACTATTTTTATTGTTTTTGCATTAATTGTTGATGTTGATCTAAGAATTATTTTTGTAGCAACTTGAAAAACTGTGCGTTCCACATTTGGGCAAAAATTATCATTCAAGACCGGAAGCCATCACGCACACATGGGCCTTAACATCTAGACGCCTCATTGGGAGATATTCACACATAGAAAAAATAAATTTAATTTTTTGTTGAGTTTATTTCTTCTTATGTTCAATAAATTGTAAAAATTCGTTTGATTCATTATTTTGGTTAATGTATTATTATTATTGTCATAAAAATAAACTGTAAAACACCTTTAAAGTTTCAATGAAACTATTAAATAAATAATTAAATCATTATTCTAAGAGATTTAACTAATAAAATTTAAGCAGAAAAATTGAAAATAAAATTTTAAAATTTTTAGATCTTTTAATAATGGAATACGGTTTTAAATTCCCTAGCAAATTCTTTTGCTAATTTTATGTTTATCCTCATTATATACTCAAATATTTAATCGTTGAAAGATAAGTTTCTTCCTTCCAAATTACCTGTTGACGCCTCAATCGTGAAGCGTTGAAATCTGTTTACAAGTTTTAATTATGTCTATAATCTACCTAAGAAATAGGTATAGGTAGCGATTCAGGGCGGTTTAAAAAAAACAAACAAAACAAGAAATAAATGTTCATTGTATTTATGTGCAAAAAAATAACGTAAATGTTACCTCAATTGTAATATAATTTTTAAAACTAGCCTTTTAAACTGTCACATACATAAATACTCATTCATCTCAAAATATTCGTCTCAAGAAATTATAGAATTGATAAAATTTGGACCGTAATACCTATTGCTTTGCATCCGTGAAACGTAAAAAGATTTCTCCATTGATTTTTGGAAAATTTTTTTTTTAGTTTCAGATAATTTTGTACTTCACACTTGTTTTTCAAATTTTATTTTTTTAATAAATATGTATTTACAACAACAAAAGACTAGAGTAGTCTGTTTGCCATTGTCATATTCTAAAATATGATTATAAAGTCTTCTTTAAAAATTAAGACTAAAATTCTAAATAACAATGTTTTATTAAAAAATATTATACTAAAAAACAAATTGCAATAGTATGCAGTAAATAATAGCAAAAGTACTGCATAAAATGTTGCCAAAAACAGTGGCAACAAAGTAGCAAATGTTACTTACAGTTACACATTGTGACACCGAAATAGAAAAAATAGATTTATTCTTCGACACTGTCAAAATTTGCGGTTTTTTTCCTGTGTAAGAAAGTTTTGACAACTGTTTGACATTTCTCAATACAAAACGTCACATTATTTTTAACAGATTTAAAGCAATTTTGAGCTTTGTTTAGTCTAACTCGTTAACACTCGTGGTTTAAAAATCCACTCGTAAAATAAAGCGTCCAATTTACACTCAAACTCGTCGAATAAATAACTATTTTCAGTTTTATTCTTGTTTTTTTATTATTTTTGTTGAATACTTGTTGTGTGCCTCTGCATTTTATAATTCTATACACACATTTTTTTTAAATACTTAATCAAACGTTTAATACAAAAAAGAAATGTAATTTTTGAAATGAGACTTTTATGATGCTTGAGAATGTTAATTTTCGTATTTTTATCCTTTATTTGAAATATAAAAATTTTAAAATTTTGTAATAAAACAGTAAGTATTAAGATTAAAAAATTAATTACACTAATTGGATGCTTCGTACTCATGACAATCCTATTCGTGGTTTCTGAAATACGAAAAACTTCGTTATAAACAAAAAAGATTGTATTTCTTGTACATACCTACTTGTTTTAAAGAGAAAAAGTTTTTGGTTTTTTAGTAATGACCTCATCAACATTTTTTTAAATAAAAACCCCTAATTTTTTTAGCCAATTCTATGGATCTTTTAATTGTCGAAATGACAACACAAAAATATTAAATATTACATAAAGTTGTCGAAAAAAAGACATCTAAAAAGTGCAATATTATCAACAAAAAACAAACATACAATTTCAAATCTAATTGAGAATTTTGTCTTTTTTCACCTGACCAAGCATTTTTGTCAAATCAAAATATTTTCATGGTGAATAAATAAGATTATTTCATAATTTTGCCACTCACTGTATAAAAAAAACATCAGTCTTTGTAGGTGATTAAAAAAAAGGATTCAAATATACACATAATTATAATAAGCAATGCCGATCTATTTGCGTGACGTTACTGCAGTAGTATTAAATTGCAATTGCAGTTTTTTTTCGGTTAGTCTGCAACCAATGAAAAGTGACATGCTGGCAGTCTTAGATACTGATTTAGATTAAGATAGGTGTGCTATATAAAACATCGGGTTGACATTATTGAAGCCTCATTCGTTGCGCATCGACAAGAAATTGCAGCCAAGCGAATCACAATGGTAAGTATTCAAAAAAATATATTTCCAGTATCATACAAAATATTACAGGCGGACTTGAAAGAGGCCGAAATCGAAAGTAAGTGAGTTGATAAAAATATTATAATTATAACATTTTATGTAATAGGTGCAAAACTTGCCTTTGATATTCATGGTGAAGGCGATGTCTTGGATGGAGTAAATTTAAATAAATTTTTGTATTGCTTAGACGTAAATCCGAGTTTGGCTAGATTAGAAAAATTTGGTGTCACAAACAAGCCTGGTCTGTCTCAAGCTAACCGTTCATTTAACATAACTGAAATTTGTTCTTGCAGGTGAAAAAAAGTTCAAATTCGAAGAACTACTGCCAATTTACAGTGAACTTAAGAAAGAAAGAAAAGATCAAGGATGTTATGAAGACTTCATCGAGTGTCTTAAATTATACGATAAAAATGAAAATGGAAAAATGGCTGCAGGAGAATTGTCTCATTCGTTACTATCTCTTGGTAAGTTTTTGAATTTATTTTATGTTTTCTAAAAAAATGATAAAGGGGAGAAATTAACCGATCTGGAGGTCGACGAATTGTTTGAAGATTGTCTTGATGAAGAAGACGATGAGGGCGAAATCGAATATATACGTAAGTTTTCAATTTCGACATTAACAATATTAAAAAATGTTTTGCAGCATTCTTAAGACGGATGTGCAGTTTGGATCCTCCACTTAAGCCCAAAAAGAAGAAGTAAATATGAAATTATGTTAAACTAACATTATGAAGAATAAAATTATATATACTTGCTTGAATTTTTCTCTTCCTATCACGGCTCATTGCTCATTTGCATAATTTCCCGCTCCATGAGCATTCCTCAATGCGAGCTTTCACCTTGGTCGCGCAGGCGTGAGCTTTCATCTCAGAAGACAAGATTCGATCGACCGCCTGGGGAGCGCTGCAACCAGCCTCTCAACAGTGAAAGGAAAAGCTTCTTTCGTGCCGAAACGTAAACAATCGCTGACACTCGTTCGATGTAAAGCTTTGAACGAATTAGTCTGTTCGTGCTATCTATAACACAATAATAAACGCCTGTTAAGCTCGCGACTCTTCCTGCTCCTGGGCTTTAATATCCGAGTGGTTTCTTCTTGCAACGAGGGTGATTTGTGGTGTGCCTGAGTAAATTTCTCAAAATGACTGACGTGCGTACGAATGGTGCTCATGTGCCTGAAAAAATTCCGGGGGATACCACCTCAGGAAATGCAGGTAAGGGATTTTGCAACAGGAAAAAGAGCAATTCGTAAACAACATTTCTGAGATTCGGGTGCTATAAATAAGATGAGCGAGAAGGAGATGCAATTTGCAAAAAAATACTTTTTATCTTACCTGCGACAGTTTGTTTTTATTTTTAGATTTTAAAAATATGTAGTTTAAACGGTGACATTTGTAAATCAAAATGAAATGTGAATATTTTAATGTTTTGTGTGTATTTCATTTTGAAGTCATTTTTTTTTTATAAAAGGTCATTTATTTTAGAGTGTATACTGCGAGAAAAAGTTTACCTCCAAAATGTTGGTAAACAGGTGACTTCTAGTCTTGAATATTCAAATAAACATATGTTGCGCAATGAAGTGGATGACATCAGATAGATAGCCGACGAGCAGCATTGAAATGAATTAACACATAATATGGGGAACTGTTGCATAATTATCAAGTCACATTTATATACAGTGCCTGAGCAGAAATTAAACTGATAAAAAATTTTAAACGTAGATATTGTGAGTTACAATTATAAAAATACTATAAGTAACGATTTTAAAATAATGCTAAACGTACTCGTAATGTTTCCTAATCTTTGCGGAAGTGCATTTTATGTAATTACTGGGGAATCAATAAGGCAATAACATGTCCTAAAGGTGTCGTGCGTGTTAATACTATTATGTGGGACTACAAATAAAATTGGCAGAAAAATACATATGATATGTACCTATAATATTTGGCATCAGTTAAACTACTCAATATTCGTATAAGCAAACGAGTAGTTTGTTTAAATATTTTTTGTAATTTTATCTAAGAAATGTTTACTTTTTTAAAGGTCAACAAACTGATGGTTATTTTTCTATGATTTATTACCAACTTTGTAGGTAAATAATTGCATTCATTATGGAGAAAAAAATAGTAATAGAGCTTACCAACGACAATTTTTGCAATAATTACATTTCTAACATCTTCTGTGCTAGTTAGACCGCTTTGATTTAATGGTCATTTAAATTTCATTATAAAATCGGCCCTTACTGAGGTTAAATAAAACTACTTAATATTGTTGTAGATTAATACTTTTCTTTCTTTTAGGTTGTTAAGTATATAATCAATTGTACATTTTCAAAATACATTTAACATTGCACTAAATTTTTCACAAAATAAATTGGAAAAAAGTAACATCTACAAATTTAATCATGCATTAGTTTTGATTTAAAGTTTACTACTATTTTAACATACTAAACATATGCATGAAGAGAAAATGCAGATGTTTACTCTTCAATGATGAACAAATTGTAAATGCTGGCCTCAATACTATAATCTTATTCTATGCAAACATATTTGTATAATCTAAAGTAATTTTTACTATGTAAGTACGAGTATAAAATAAAGTCAAAATATTAATTTCATAAGACTTTTTATTTTATGATTTTTATGTTTGATCTTATAATGTTTTGTTGTATAGATTTGTTTTCAATTATGATGTATTGCAACTGGTTTGTCACATACACATTTTAGTAAAATAGAATTTTTTGTACATAGTACATGGATAATAAAACTGAAAATCGACTTAATAATCTCTTGCCAACTTTGCAAACTAATGAAGAAACTAACCAGAAATTAAACAATAAATTATACAAAAATAGTCATTTTTTCATTTTCGAAACGATCTAAACGATTTATATAAATGGCAACTTGCACGCGAAATTAAATGAATGATGTAATCCGACAGATTCTGTAAATAATAACAATCATGGCGTGATGCTATTTCTTAAAAAATACAAAAATGTAGGCCTTTATTAGCCTAACCAGTACAGCCTGGTACATAATTTTGCACTAAAAAATTAAAGCCGTATTGATCCATTATGAATAATAACTTATGGTAGAATTCATTTAGGAGCAACTAACAGACAGGTGTCACATTTTTGGAAGTAAAAAATAAAACAGTAAATATTGCGTAAAAGTGCTAACACAAAAAGCAAATATTTGTTTGGTAGGAATACCACAACCGATGTCACAAGTGAATTTGGTGGTTAATTTTTAAAAATGAATAGAAATCGTGCACGTTCACGGGTCAAGATTTTTATTTAATCAGGAATCTTTAAACATTTATCCATATTTCTTATTTTTTGCTAAGAGATTTGGCACATCACGTCATGTGGGAGCGGTGGAATTAAGACAATCGTAGGCTTGATTTATTGTTCACTTAAAATATAATTATAATTACTTAGGGAGCAGCGTGCTCTTCTGATATAATTCATCTTATTACATTGAAACAGATATGTGTGTATAGGTCAGTTATTATTGATTGAATTACAATTCTAATTTAGCTTTAATAGACATTAAAAGACATAAAAAATGTAATTGTTGTATTTTTAGAATGTGAGTAAGATAATAATGTTTTATCACTTGTACAATAGCCATTTACTACAAGGTTGTATTTATTTAAAAATATGACTGGTTTTGTGCCTCTTATTTAGCATTGGATTTTGGTTTTAAATTGATTATATTTGATTGTATTTGTCTTTTAAAAACCTATTGCTTCTTCTTTAATTAGGTATACCTATTAGGACTGTCTGCGAAATGTCACAAGTCAAGGATATTTGGGTCGCTGTTATTTTCGATCGGTCCAATATAAAGTTTTATTGGAGTTCCTCTAGGACTAAAATGTTTATCACATCATCGTTTCATTTTATAACGTCAATTTTCTTCCAATTTAAAATTAGGTATAATTAAAAGAGATAAATCGGTTTCGATAATTTTACTTTTTGGCAGACTTTAGAGACCGTTTGCTGACTAAGCAATATTACAAAACAATTCCATTTCAAAAATAAAGCCAATATACCTGCTTGTTAATTTAAAAATAGATCGTATAATAAAATACATTTCCAAAAATAAGCGTGGAATGTTTTGAAAAGAGTGCCCAAAAAAATTAATTAAAGCTGGGATGACTCGGCGATTCTTAAAAGTTTTTTGAACAATTAATAATAGAAAATAGAAATAAAGACATTAATATATGTTTTATTATATTTCCAAATAATTAAATTTTTGATATATTGATTAAAGCAGAACAAAAGTTAATATTAGGAAACTGTATAAGAAACAACTTAAACTTCTAGATGGCGCACAAATATAAAGCTTTGAAGCTGAACAGACCTTAAATGTTATTCTACTGGCGTAAATATTAATGATGTGCGATAAATTGCAAATTTAATATAAATAATAATTAACTCATTAATAAAAATAATAGTTGACTCAATTTGCAATACTGTCAAACATGTACTTATTCAAATAGTATTATAACTATAGATAATAATTTAAGTATTTTTTTTAAATAGTCAACATAATTAAAAAAAAAATAGTTGACTATTGGAACTGTTTTTCAGAGTCCTTCATTATCTAGAAAACAGAGGGCGGTTACTGAAGCCTTGTTAAAGTTGCGTGTTTGTAGAAAATCATAAAGAATATAATTTATATTAAACCACAATGTGGAGTAACCTACTTTTTTTCTGGCACACACCCGGAAACATGTATAAATAAAGTTGTTTTGTCATTATAATTATAATAAAATATCTTCAACATACTTGTCGTTTTTAATAAGAGGGAATGTTTTATTCATGTAGTGTATGTTGTTTCTGAAACATTTTTGAAACAAAAACTTGATACTATTTAGACGTAATAATAACATAGATATCTAAAGCAAAACAAATATTAAAAATCAAGTTTGTATTTTAGTTTTAATTGCCTTTTTTGTATGTGATCCCGAAAATATCTGTTTAATCAGGACTCATTTGAGTCTAAATATCTAAAAAATGTTCTAGAACGTCAAAATATTTTGGCGAAATTTTGAATGCTTACCGCGTTAGCAACAATAAACAAAACACTTACCGACGAGTTTGGGATTGTAACGCGTAAATACAACTTACTGTCTTGGAAACAAATGTAGTAAACAATCGAATAGAGTATAATCGCACAAAAACTATTTTTTTATTTATTATATTATTGAGGACAGTAGTAGGTAATCTCTTATAAAATAAAATTAAAAACATAACAAAGTATCTATAAGATCTCACACTTAATAGTGTAGGTATATTTTGTGTACATTCTAAATAATAATATCCTACAACATTTTTTAATAATAATAATTCTACAAAACGGTTTTCAATGAAACTAATAGATACAATACGATTAAAATATGGGAGTATATTTTATTTAAAGTAAAAAACAACTAAGTAATAATAAAAATATTTTTAAAGTTGAAACAGAAAAGTTTCGTTAGTAAAGAAGTCAGCTTTTGCGAATATATTTGTAGACTTTGTGTGATCAATATAAAAATTCTACATGCCATAGTAATTGATTGATTTGTTTATTTCTGGCATATAATAAAATCACATGTTGTAAATACATAATACATTGTGATCAAAACTGGTTTGAAATATACGACACAAACCATAATGTTTTTAAAATATGATTTATGCAACAATTTCTAAAAAATACGCAGTTGCTACAATGATTTTAAATAAGCAATTTACTTTTGTATTTCAATCGAAAAATAGACAAACTTTTCCTTACTTTGCCTAATTGTATAATAAGGGACTATAATAATATTAATTATAATTATTAATTCTAGGATAACTAAAACAAAATCTACAAATATAAAACAAGAAATTAAAAAATATATCCCATAAAACTATTAATTTTTCAAAATTTCATCTTCTCTTAACTTGGCTAGTTGAAAAAAAAAAGCACAAAGTGAACAAACAAATCGACCAGCCTAGAATAAATACCTCAAAGTAATAACTTTTATTTAGCAAGTTAATAAATAAACCTACTGTAAGAAGAAAAGGATATTCGCATCTAATGAAAACATTTCCAATCTTAGAAGGTCTTTGGGCATTGATAAGAAAAATTAATAATGTTCGTCTATTTTCATAATTCCAACAAGTCCATCGACAACGTGTGGCTCTTTCTACAAGTTTTTCAGCCTATAAAAAATCAAATAATAATGAGTAACACATATTCAAAAAGTAAACCTCATTTTCAACAAACTGTCCTGAAACTATAACAAAGGATAATGTTATAACTGCAAGAAATAATGTTGAGAAAACTCTACAGTAAAAAGTTTCCTGGCGCTTCTAGAAAAATAAATGAAAAATTACATTTACACAATTATTAGAAATACTGACTACAATAATGCTAAATAAAATACTGACTATCGCAAGTATTGCTAAAGCCATTGAAATTAGAAGTGGTATGTATATAAGATCATTTACTTCTTTTACTAAACTGCAAAAATAATAAAGAATATTGTAGTTGATTAAATTTAGTTTTTTACCTTTGAAAAAGACGGTGACGTTCAATACACTTCTTCATTTTTTCAGAAATCATTTTTTGAAATAAACTGTTATGTATTAATTCGTAATCACTGTATCTACTCCATGCACCCATATTTTTAAATAAATCATGAATATCTAACAAACGAAATTTGATGTAAGTCGTGATATACAGGAGAAGATATGGATTCATCGCAGCCAGATACACGACACATAACACAGACAAATAATATAAAAAGCACAACAAACTTGAAAATGTTGGTACAACTTTCTCAAATAGAACAACAGCGTAATAAATATTATTATTTTCACCACTTATAGGCCAATGAAAAAATACAACTACTATTATTAGGATATTATCAAAATAAATCGCTTTCAGTATTGTTTTAGATTCTCTTTGAATTGTTTCCAATAATTTTGAACTTGACTCAGTTGCTGGTAGGTAACATCTTTTCAGTAATAGTTTAAGTGTTCGTTGAATTTTCAAAATCACAAAAGATGCTCCAACTCCCTATAAAAAAAGTTAATGCAAATCATATGTATCTCCAGTTTTATAAAGAGCAAAACATTGTTCTTCAAAAACTGCAGTTTTTTTCAAAGTTAAATGCTAATACAGTGCTAAAAGTAAAAATTACAGGACCGTATGTAACCATTAAATTTGCATCAAATGTTATAATTAACTCCCAAATAAAAGCCAAACTCACAAAAGAGTGTAAAATAAAAGTCAATAATATAAAAAATTGCATAAATTTGTAGTCGACTGCATCCAATGTCATTTTGCGTATAAATTGTAGTGGATCATTGACTTTTTCCACTAAAACAACAGCAGGTTATAAATTAACACAGTGTGGTACTTACTTATTAACTATCTTTGAACTTTTTATTATAAAATAATAGACTATTTTTTGGGACAAGGGATCACAAAAACAACTAAATCTTGATGCTCTACAAATGTTATTTTATAACATGACAAATGTTGATTATACATAATTTTGTTAAAAAAGCTGACCTGTCCTTAATTTACTAAATTGTACTCATAGTTACTTCTTGGAAATAAAAGTTCTGTTCAACAATAATCGAAAATTAAATCCAGTTACCTTGGTCAAAAACTGATGATTAACTACTATTAGAATAACTACACTTATACAAAAGTTTATATTATTTACCAATATACTACCAATATAATAATATTTTATAACGCTTTTCAATCGAGTTTTGGGTAACAGAAACTAAAAATTAAACATCTTGGGCTTCAAGTTAATACAAAATCATATTAAAAATTTTTTTTAATAAATCATAAAAAGTATACAAATTTTTAAATTTCAAATATTATTTACTTTTCATTATTTAATTATAATGACCGTTGTTTAAGCGCAACATCGAGTAAAAATACTAGATTATTATAAATGGATATAATAATTAGACAAAAACAGTTTATACAAAAATGACACTTTTATGACTAAATAAGACAAGTAAAAATTTTACCTTTCAGGCAAGGAGTAAAAATACTGTTTTTTCGCCTAAGCGTTTTTTTATTTTTACTTAACACTTACTTTGACATTTACCAATGTTGTTTGATTCTTGTTTCTTTCGCTGCTTCAGCATTTTCTGGAGAAGTACAGTGTAGATTATTGGCATTCGACATTTTGCACTATCGCGAGAACGATTAGAGCTAAAAACTTGAAATTTGGTATGTAAGTTATTTGTAGCAAGGGGACGTAGCAGAAAACAATTGGTAAAAATCGGTCGCACCGTTCGGCCGCAAAAAATTCATGGGGATAAAAATTATTTAGAATCATGAAATATACCTTATTAAAATGTGATAAAATAAAAATAATAATGGGTACCAAACTAAAAAAAATTGCACCCCAGACTCGAACCCGCGGCAACTATGATCAATTTCGTGTAATCCGGCAGGTGGTACTAACGGTTTGCTACTCGAATTTCCAACACCGTAAGGATGTTTTCCAAATAAGTTGGATAAGGAAAGTCGTGTGATGTTCACAACAGATTTTTACTCCTAATAACATAATATACTAGTAACACTATCTATACTAATCTTGAAACAATTTTATTATTAATAAGAAGGTGCCCACATTATTAGCATAAAAACCCGTAAACACCTACAGACACTAATTTACTTAAACGTATTTCGATATTGTTTTATTAGCAATATTGGCATTGCATAGGGGACTATGATAACTTTGATAACACATGTTCCAGAAATAACAGTATCGATTAAATTTATAAATTGTAACCAGTGTTAAAAAACAAGTTCAAATCAATTGTAAGTAATTAATTTTTTTCCTTTTAGTTAATTTCATGTTTTCCGTAAAATTTGAAGCCATAACGTGATAAACTCTGACTCATTTTTGTTAGATTTTCCATTCCCCTGATAGATTTAAAAATTTTTGATAAACTTGAAGCATCGATTAGTTTGGGTTGAAAAAACAATCCTTTGTTTGCCGCTGAGTATATCAGATGAACCATAAAAGCCGTGGCAGACAAGAACATATTTGGTTGACTTAAAATTAATTTACCAAAAATTCTTTCCACACTACGTTTACTCTTTCATTAATGTATTTATTTTGTCTTTAAAATATTAGTAAAAATATTCTTCTCATGCTCTACTAACCCGGCGCATCCACCATTTATTAATATTTGAAATGATGAAAAAATAAAACTCATTTTATTAGAGTTTTGTAACACTGCATTAACCCAAGAACATTACATGGCCCATTCAGCTTATAGAAGCATCATTATTATAAACGTAATATAATGCTTCTGTAATGCAGAACCTCTCACATAACCGAGAACAAAGCTAGTTCATGGATGCTTCCACAGTTTTTCCCTAAACATCTACATCTCCCCCTAAACGAAAAAATAAAAAAACCCTGTACTTTTGAAAAAATAAACAAAACGGTTTCCACCTCTTTCAAGTACCTAAGATAGCATAAATTTTTGAAAAAGCAAACGAATGTCCATGTTGGTAGTATCTTGAATGGGTCGATCGATGTCGCGGCAGCGCAATAGCGGGTGGTGGGCTTCAGCTCGAGCAGTTATCCGCAACAGCACAGTGAACTCACCCCGTGTTGCCGGTAACAGGTAATTTTACACCTGCACTAGGCCTGCACTTGCACTTTGCAACAGATACAGTAATTGTTGAGTAAATTAAGCTATCCGGTACACCCATTTGATACACGCAACGTTGAAAATTATTGTAGAGACCGCTTTTAAATGTGAGTAATTGTAGCAACCATAACTTTATTGCCGGTCAATTAAAATCATTAAGAATTAATGCGACGCATTAAGCACCCCTCTAGAAAGATGTAAATGGTAGTGCTAATTTTATTTTTAGACTCGTTTTACTGTTGCGTTTATGAAAAGGTGGATGTAAACAAAGACCTAGTTCTATCGTGACCAGTTGTGTTTTACACATTTTATGTTACTTTGAACACAAAGTAAACAAAATGTAGCAAAACCAGGTTATCTGGACACTGATATATTGACGAAATTAACTTGTCATTAAAGCGAATTTTACTCTCTTCTATTGCTCTCCATTTCTCTATTAAACGCGCATATAAGCTATTTTATTTAATATTAATTTCTATGACCTCATTTTCACCTATTATTTACCAATTTTTATAATGGCTGTTCGACTGCTAAAAACTTATGTATGTGAATTATCAGTTTAACTAAAAATAGAACATTACGTATAGAAGGTAAATCAATAAACCTTAAATTTTTAAAGTAATTTTTAAAGTAAATAATTAGGCTTTACGTCAATTTTTAGCTAAAAAGTTTAACAAAAGGATTCTCATGTATATGCTTGATTATTAAATACAGTATTTACCTGTATTTCACCACTAGTAATAATAACGATCATTACACACTCATCACTCATTTGTAAAATAACAAGAATTTAAAAATTACATTTATTCCTAATTTTGAATAATAAATTATAAACAGAATTTTGTATTTGTATGGACATATCTAAAAATATTTGTTATATCACTGAATCTATTCCCCAGTTAATATGTATATACTCGTACCTACTCAGTCAGTGAATATTTTTCTTTTACTTGATAAGTAAATAAAAATAAAATTTTTTATTTTTACATAATTGAAAGAAGCCATGAAACATTTGTTAATCTTTTGCTGTAAATAAATGACTCACTATCAAATACATATTAAAATAAGAAACCTACACAATACTCACGACAAAATCTGAATAAGAGGATTATTTTTGTTTTATATAAATTATTATTTTTCTTTTCTGTTTTCTTCAAAATACACTATGTCCCCGGATTGAGTTTACAAAAGGAAAAAAATTGTATCTTTAATTTTACTCCAAAACTGCAAAGAAAAAACATTTTTTGGTTCACCTGAAACGAACAAATCTGTACTTAAAATTTCATTATTCTGATTCAGTGAAGAGAAAAGTTAATTTTTCTCCTGATTTTCGACTTAAAATATTTTATCCGCAAACGTCACAAAAGTGACCACTTTTATGACTAAATGACACAAGTACCTTACTTTTCAGACATGGAGTAAAAACACTGTTTTTACGCCTAGGCGTTTTCACTTTTACTTGACACTTACTTTGGCATTTACCACTGTTGTCTCTTTCTTGTCCCTTTCGCTTTTTCAGCATTTTCTGGAGAGGTACAAGGTATATTATCAGCATTCGACATTTTGCACTATAAACTACACCAGTTATTCACCAGTTAAATCAATCCACACTTGTGAAATCTCAACACAAATTCCGAAACTGACGCGTGACGTTTGTTATGATTTTATTGCAAAGCGTCCTGATTATTGAGGTGATTTACTTGATTATTGGTGTGTTGCTCTTTTCGTTCCATCTGAATCATTTGCAGATAAAATAGTATATGTTATTTGGAGTGAATCCATTTGCCTCACTCCGTTCGGCAAAATGAACGTTCAGCTTCGCCACATAAACAATCACTTTTACTCCTAATAACATAACCTACTATTTTCTCTGCTTTTCAAGTCCTACCACATTGTCGGTTTTATTTATTTGACAACTATATGTCACTTTGACAATTAATTTATTAATGAAATAATGGTAGTTCTTGTTAAAAATGACTTTGGTTTTTTTGAGTTGCTATTTCTTAAAATTATGTTTTTCACAAATATTTTTATTATTTAACTTGCGTAAATTCATTTATTTTTATTTGTCAAAATAAAAAAACCGCCAATGTGATAGGACTTAAAAAGCAGAGAAAAAATATTCTAAATCCAGAATCTGAGTTAGAATAATGAAGTTTTAATTACAGATTTGCCCGTTTCAGGTAAAGCAAAAAATGTTTTTCCTTTACAGTTTTGGCGTAAAATCAAAGATAAACATTTTTTCCTCTTGTAAACTCAATCCGGGGACATACTGTATATAAAATTAAAATTACATTTAAAAAAATATAGGCGTAAGTAAGATAAAAAAATTTACATATTTCAAAATAGTAGTAGGTACCTAATAATAAATTGGAGGTACTTATACTATAATCTAAAATTTAATTAAATATTGCAAACACAAGAATGTTGCGATTGTTGCGAGCACAATTTTATAGATTTTCTCTGACGTTAATTGATATAGATACGTTCAGTTCTATTTTAAGAAAATTTTATTTAAACTAACATCGATTTTATTCACGTTGAGTCAGTATTACGATTTAATAATGTAGTAGCATTCCGTTAAAATAAAAAATAAATTATGCCAAAAATACTGTCTGTTATTAATATTGATAAAGTTATCAAAACAGTAAAAAAGCTATTATTTGCTTTTCCATTAACATATAAAATATCTCAACTATCTTGCATATACATGCACACAAATTTGCGTGAGCTCTCCTGGAGCTTCTTTCACAGGAATGAATTTAATTTATTAGAAAGACTGAAACATGAAATTTCCGTTATTCTAAACTGATCGCCTGACTGTATATCTTCAGACATTACCATTAAGGTGTTATCCAATCATTTCTTGTAAGCGAATCTTCCGTTTGCACTAAAAAGTAATTCATATTTCCATTTTGATTAATGACAAATTTTACTACTTTCTTTGAAAACCACCACTGCTAGGGGTAAAATGAATTTCAAGATTGCTGACAGAAGAGAGACGATTATTGTTTCAAGTTTGTTTCAGCCTTTTCCAAAGGGTATTTCGTGTAATTCGTTTGGCATTTAAATTACATTAGCTTTCGCAGTTAATAAAATATAAGTTGTCGAGTGGAACTGAAAAGATTGATCACAAATGTGGTTAACTGTGTATATTTTAGTAATCCTTCCATTATTATTGAAAGAAGATTGTTAGCAGTCATACAATGTATTGGTGATTTATGCATTTTATGTGAGAATAAATGTTCAAAATCCATCTGTTTACCTTTCCATGCACGCATTAGAAACCGCAGTCAAAATTGGGTCAGTTCTTTTAAATACAACTTTTAATTTCTTTTAAAAATTTTCCAAATCCGACATGAGAAAATAGCAATTTAGTAAGTTATTAAGTAGTTTTAGTGTGTAGAAAGCTTTTAAAAACTGATTTAAATAATTAAAATTTCTATTTGGTCACGCAAACAATTACACCAAAGTTGTATTCCCACTTTGTTTAAAATCACTTTTGAGGTAGATATCAACCACGTCAATCTGCACAGTAATTTGCAAACTGCGGTAAAAAAGTTGATTACAGTCAATTTAGCAAAATATAATTTAATTGCAGTATCAGCATAAAATAGCGATTTGCTTTGGAGAATTTTAAGATAATGTCTCAACCACCAAATGCAGTATTAAATGGTCCTTCACCTGAAAACAATGTGCCTTTTAAAGATGCTCAACCCACACAAGACCCGGTAAGAAGATGAAAAAAAGTGCACTGAATTACGACAAATCTAAGTTTAGTTAATTAATTCGTACAAGCCCCGCACTTGCTGCACCCCTATTTAAATTATTTATCACGGTAGTTGTTACAGTAATTCGGCATATTATTGACTTGTTATGTAGATAAAAACAGGCCGTGGTAAAGTTTCGTGGACTTTTGTCATTGGAGCTTTTCGAGCCAGGCACTGGCAACAAGAGAACACATTGTGTGACATTCCTCCTAGAAATACTTAAATCCTTTCTCATAATTCAAGTTTTTTCTTTCAACGACATAAGTATTTTCGTTTCCGATAAACCTTCGCTATTTTTACTCCCATTAAAAATCCATCAATATTTCATGACAAAATAATTGAAAATGAAATCAAACACAAACTCAATTAAATCATGCAATCAATTCGTAGACAAAAACACATCAGAACGGTAGCGGAACTCCCCAACAATTCCCGGGATATGCAACATCTCCAAGACCGCCTTTGACACGATTGGACAGCCGGAGTTCTCTCCCGTTGCGTCCAGGCTTTCCCCCAGGTCCTCCCAGACCCCAACAAATCCGTCAACCTATTCCTGGTCAACAGCAATTCATCCAGAGACCTCCAGGAGGAGCCCCCAGACCTCCAGGTCAACCCCAATTCATACAAAATCAAGCACGACCCATCAATCCTAATTTCCGTCCAACTTCTCCTTTCCCAAGACCACAACTTCCACAAGGACAAGGGCCAAGACAGCCTGGGATTTTCCAACAAAGATCAGTTCCGGCTTTTAATCAACCAAGACCACAACTCGACGATCATTTGATCAGAAGTCAAACACTGGATTCCTCAGATTTGTTACATAAACCTCTTGAAAATGTCAAAACCGCTCAAGAAGATGCGACTAAATCCGCCATAAATGCGATGAAAAACCGGAGTTTTAGTATGAGTTCAAATGTTTCTGAACCACAGAGTGTGTCTGAAGAAGAAAGGAGAAGGTCGGTTAGTAGTATTGGAAGTTACGAAGAGAGAAGATCGGTTTCAGGCTCTATGGAAAATTTGGATAAAAAATATGAAGATTATCCTTCACGACCGGAATCCCGGTCTAGTGTTAGAATGAACAGAATAATGGAAAATGATGATAAAATTAACGTACCCAATAAACCTCCTTCTCCACAAACAGACACAATGCAGAAAAATGTTGATTTTAAATTACCAGTTCAAGAAAATAAAACCAAGTCACATTCTCCTGTAGGTAGAGTTGTAGAAAAAGTTGAAGAAAAAGACGATGTATTTATTTCTAAACCAAAAGAAGAAAAATCTGTTAAAGATATACAAAACGGTATTTGTGACGACAAAAAACCCGATTCCAAAACTTTGGAATTAAAAAATTTAAAGAAAGGAAAATCTCCTTCTCGCTCAGGTTAAATTTACTTTACTAATATCAGTCAAATTCCTGTTGCTAAAATAATTTCTTTCTTTTAGAAGGTGATAACGATAGTGGAGTAGACGAATCTACACAAGGAAATGTAAGTATTAAATCATATTTTTTTATCAATTTTTTATCGAAAATTCTTAGGACCAATCTAGTAATGGCGATCACAGCTCTCCAAGAAAATCATCAGCTAAAACTTCGAGTCGCACATCTTCAACGACACCAACCAAAAACAGATCATTGTCACGAGGATCTAAATCACCGAGTCTTAAAAGTCCAGATTCAACAGCAAGTACTCCCGGAACAACAGAGAAAAAAAGTAATTTTTAAAAACAAAACTTTTTAAATACAAAAATTGCTTTTGTAGAAGTTCCTATGAATAAGATCCAAGTAGGATCAGCTCCTTCTCCAAACTTGAAGGTAGTTAGATCAAAAATTGGATCTCTAGAAAACGCAAGTTACAAGCCCGGAGGAGGCAAAGTCAGAATAGAAAGTAAAAAATTAGACTTCAAAAATGCTGCTCCACGAATTGAAGCTAAAAATGATGCTTACATTCCCAAAGGGGGCGATAAAAAGGTAACTACAGTTTTTATAATTATATAATTGCGCTAATCTTAATTGAATGTGAGTTGTGCTTATTACAAATTTAATATTTCGTGATACGTTTTGTTAACGGTTTAAATTAAATAACAAGGTCACATAAAATAATTTGACACTCCCTGGCACGCCTTCCTACTCATCTAATGTAACACTTTAACCCACTTTAAAAAATTGTAGATTCAACAACAAAAACTTCAGTGGAATGCGAAGCCAAAAGTTGGTTCTTTAGAAAATGCGACACATAAACCGAAAGGTGGCGAGAAGAAAATAGAGACTGTAAAATTAGATTTTAAGGACAAAGCTAAGCCGAAAGTTGGTTCCAAAGATAATATTAAACATGTTCCTGGTGGGGGAGACGTAAAGGTAAGATTTAGTAATTTTGATTTTTTAACATAAACCAAGCGATCACACTTTAATTTTTATTTAACCCAACAAAACTTTTTAGTTTGACGATGATATTGAAGAAGAGGAAGTGAGTAACTATAGTTGTTGTTACACCAAAAATTGCTTTTTAGAAATGACAATCAAGTATAAAAATACGAAAAGCACAAGCTTTCAATGTAATTTGGTAGCGATCACTGAGGCGCTTTCACAGCACAAAATTGTAAATTTGTGATAGCGTTTAAAATAGATGAGAAATAATATAGTTCACGACTTTCACGTAATCATAGAAGAAAAAATAAAAAATTATTTGAGTAAAAATTTGAAAATAACTAGTAGTATTTTAAAAATTTAATTTAATAACACAATACAAGTTTATACAATAAACCAAACGGAACAACCCTAATTACAAATATTCTATATTTTTTCAAGTCCCAGCTAAGACTTTTTTGGTACGGTATGGTCCGAAAGTTTTGGACAAAACTTCAGAAACTGACAACTCTTATAAAAGTAGTTTTATACTTTTATCAAATTTTTATTATATTATTATAACGCAAAATTCAAATATTCTACTGAAACGCTTTGCATGATCCTTTGGACAACCACAACGTTGTTTTCTCTAAATTTTTCCCTTATAATTTTCGCATAATGGCATAAAATAAGTTCTGACCAAACCATTATTTCATCATCTACATAATTTCTATTCAAAAACTGAAGAGTTTCGCCACGAACAACGCCAATGTAGAGCTGCGAAATAAAGCCAGGATCAGAAATTGCACAACATACAATAATTTTATCAATAAATTTTTGTTTTTTTGTTTTTTAATCTCACATCATCAGGGACATTCTCGTAATCGTCTATACAGATACCCTTCATCTCAGAGAGAAATATTGTTCATCTTTGCTCCTTTACCAGAAGAAAATATTCTTATTTGATAAACATCACAGTCTTTCCAACATTAAATCTCCTAGCCAGTTTTCTCTTTGAGATACAGATTTTGTATTTTTGATTGTAATTACGATAAATTGTCGATTTACTTTTATTTTAACTTCTATAAATATCGACAATATTTTGTTTCGATATTCGCTCAACAAGATTATAAACACCTCGACAAATTTATAAACGTTTGCATTGATTATTTAAATGGTATGACTAGTGACATTTTATTTCCATCACCTGCTTCATTACATGCATTTTGCCACTCAATCAAACCAGGTGATTTTTTCTCAAAACTTTCGAACCATACGTTATAAACTTTATCAACCATTTCGCTTACATTCATTTTTTTCTTTTAATAAACAACCTATATAATACATTTTTCTATAAAAAAAAAGAACATTAGTGTGTACTAAATATTTTTTTGGTGTTTAAATCGATAGAAAGTATAAAATTTCTGTTAGAAAAGAGATAGAAATAAGTGAGTGCACGGGGAAATGCAGTGTTTGGCACGCAATTTCAGGGGAGAATTTGTTAGGTGAAGAAATGAGGTGAAAATGAATTTTGCATTTTATTTAGTTTCAAGACTCTCAATGCAATCTATAATTCTAAATTAATTTCACGCATTAAATTGTTGTTGATTTGTTAACAAATTCACCATTAAAAAAATTATAACTCTTGACTTAAATAATAAAAAAAATCTGTTGTTAGATTGAGAACAAGAAATTGGATTTAAAAGTACAGAGTAAAGTGGGCAGTTTGGACAACGTCAAGCATAAGCCTGGAGGTGGTGATAAAAGGATTTTCGACGATAAAGAATATTTAAAACAGAGGTCGGCTATTTCGAGCGAGAATCATTCGCTGTGTGGTTCTCAGGTGAGTGTTTCTTCTGGACCTGTTTTTACCGAAACATTATTACCAATTTTAAAATGGACGTAAACTCCTGTGATATAACAAATTCTAAAGACTGACCAAGTTCGTATAATTTTTCTTCCAGGAGAAGGAATATCTTTACAAATTTTATTGACTGCTTCCATGTCATTTAGTTTAGCGAGATAAAAAACGGACGAAAATCAAAATTTTATGTACACATAATTTTGTCAAATCAATACTAACAAAATTTGAGGCATGAGTTATTCGTGTCGTATGAGAAAGCTCGATTAACGTTTAGCTTATTTGTAATGACGATTAATAACTGCATGATTTTTTACAATGTCTTTTTGAAACTGTAGTTGTACTTTTCGTACGTAAACACAGTTGGGGCTTTTTATTATAGTTGATTTCGTTAATTTTGCTAGCTTTAGTTTTATTAACATTGACAATTTTGTGTAGAATTCCTTGCCGTCCCAGCCGGAAGCCGGAGGTCCAGTAGCTGATGAAAATCTCAACCAAGAACGTTAATTTGTTATTTTTTAATTAATGTGCCGTCTCTAAACCTATTTTAGACCAGTTGATACTTGGATATAGTTCTTTAACTATTGATAAACATGTGGTTGAAATACATTTGAGAAGTAACATTAACTTACTGATACAGCATGAAGCCCGTGTACGAAATGCATGTATTACTTGAAAAATAATAAATTGTATATTCATAGAGTATATTTAGAATCCACTAACACTAACACTGTATTTTCCACTAAAATGCTGAGGTTTAGTGTCACTTTTGCTTAATTTTCCTTTTATTTTAAGTAAAATAAGCAAATGCTGTTCGTTTCAAGAATATATTTTTCAATGTAAAATAATATTAATGTATGATAAAATAGTTTGGTGTTGTGATACCTAGAATAATGACCAAACGATCAACATTTTTGTACTGTTTATTAAAGTTGAAACCTAAATTCTTTCCTATAGTATTAATTTATATTTGTAGTTGATAGAATTGCAATTGTGGTTATTCATTGTGAAAAAGTTATCAAAATGTTTATCCTTTCACAATAAGGAGTTATTAATTTTGAAGCGTTTTGATAATTTTTATGCATATTGTACTTTTCATGTTTCAGTTATGCTGTTTCCAGTAAAAATATTTTATTTTGTTTTGCAACATAGATGGTATTGAATATATCATCACTGTATTAACTTTATAAGAACCATTAATAAAATGTGCATTAGTATATAGTAGCAGCTTTTATTTTCACCAACGTTACAATTTTTGCACCAAAAATCACAATCTTAGATCTGCCCGAAACACTAAACACAAGCCGAAATGCCTTAGGTAAGTTTTACAATTTTAATTTTATATTTCACCACACAGTCTAGCCTTCTCAAACGAAATAGAATATTTTATTACTACTTGAAATGTCCCTGTTTTCGAATTGAAAATATAAGTCTACCTTCATTCCTCACGTAAAAATAAACTTGTGTTTTTAGAAAAATGTATCAAAATCAGCTCGTGACAGATATTTTGATCCGAGTGAAGAAAAGTCAAGAAACCTAGAAACTGTAAAAGAAGAGGTTGCCGGTAAAAATCGTCCAACATCAGCATTTTACAGGAGTGGTTCTCTAAAAATTAAGAAAACCGCAACACCTCGGCCCCCATGGAGATTTTAAATAGTATAAATATAATTGACGTTTTTACGAATTTGTTCTTCAATTAATTTACTAAAAGTCATCAAGTTCGTAAAAGCGTTTATTAGGTAGGTATAATCAACAAACGTAAAAACAACAGAATTATCTAAACGTGAAATTGAAAATTTCAAGTTGAAATTACGAGTATCTTTCAAAACAATGTTTTATACTTTTTTGAATTACTTCATACACTTTTCGGTATCTTTTTTATTTTTTTATCTGTGACTTTATTAAGAATAAAATCCCTCTTATTTAATGATACATACTACACTGTTTAATTCTAATTAAAGCAAAGTGTTTTTGTATTATGTTTATTATTTTGTACTGTCCAACAATCACTCAATATTTTACATAATCCATTAGTTTGTTGCCAATAGAAATCCAAAAGTATTTAAGTTTTAAGTGATGACTGTTGGAACAAGAATATATTAACCAATGTCAGCTCTAGAAATATAGTTAATGTAAATTAAGAAAAACTAGTTTATTAACCGCTGTAGACACTAAATATAGTGAGCAGCAAAAGTATAAAAAAAAAACATAAAATAATAAGAAACTTCTTGTAAAAATTCTGCAGTATCGACTTTTTAAAAGATGATCTTTTGCTGCTCATATAAATCTTGTACTGATAGTAAAAAATACATATCAACATTAGAATAAATATTATTAGAACAAAATTTTCACTTTTATACAACGATATCATTAAACCACAGTTTTCACCGTTCCACGTACAAAAGATGAAATACATTCATGTGTACATTTAAATAGATATTATATTTAAGTCGATAATGTTAAAATTATTATTGCATACGTATTATTTTTGCAAAAAAATGTAGGTAGGTAATCAAAGTTATTGCCTACTAACCTGCTGATTATTCCATATAATAAAGTACACTGATTTATGGCAATACGGATTTATTTTCTGTTTTAGTCCCATGTTTCAGCTAATTTAATTTATTTATGTAAAAATAAATTGCCTTTTGTCTTTAGAATTATCTTAGTTGATAAATAAAATTTATTTTGCACATTCTTGTGTCATATTGTCTAAATTCCCCAAGAACACATAACATCTATACCACAATCACCTGTACTTTGGAATAAATTGCTTACCTATAACTATAAACTTTTCAGAATTGCATTTATTTCTTAACTTATTTAATTAGCGACTGATATTTTTGGGTGATTTATGTTTTGATAACACCGTTTTTTCCAATAAGTAAACGAGTAAACCAAATTAATTATTAAACTAAGTTCCTATAGTTAGGTATTCATTGTTATACAGGCAGCGCCAGAACTCGCGCCACCAGAGAACAAGAACATGAAAAAAATGTTAGAAACTCCATCTATAAAAATTTCGAAGTTATGAGTTTAAATTTTGCACTTTGACTCTATTTATTTTTGCTGGAAAAAAATTTTTCCAAGTTTTTTTACTACAGGCTATTGGAAGAGCAAACAAGGAAGCTGTATCCTAAATTGTAACTCTGTTTAATGTTATTTGCGACTTTTATTGGCAAAATTTTTGTACCTTTACTAAATAATTGTAAAAAAACATAATACAAGATTATCAGTATCATTAGATATAAAAAATGTAAGATGTCGAATTTTGTTTTCCATGTTCCTGGTATCTTATTTTACTTGAAATTTTTCTCTAGGGCGCGAGTTCTGACACACGCTGTATTTATTTATAAATAATTAATTAATAATTTGAGTCAATGATTTTAATTAATAAACGAAATCTTCTGTTCATTGATAATAACTTATTGGCTTTTTTGCCGCTTTCGATTGACCACTTCTACTATTAAGAATAGGTACTTTTACTACTACTTCTATTAAATACTATGTACAGCTACATTAAAAAAAAACGGGAAATGTCAAAAAAATGTAGAGGTTTTTTTTCCAATTTTTCCATGGTGTGAACCTATTTTATTAAAAATAGGTTAAAATATTTTGATGGCACTCTAAATTCTGCCGCTAAGTTCATAATTTTCCTACCATTTTCCAGGTGAGTGACGATTCTGGCTTTCTCTACTTCACATAAATGTGGCGTTACACAAGTTGATATAAATTTAACGACATTGATAGAGATATTTTTGATAGGTATTGTCATGTTGACAATTGACAACCAGAGCCGAATTTACATTAAGAAAAATTTCATTTCCCGTTTTTTTTTTTTGAATGTAGCTATATTAGGTATTACATATTAAGTTACAATTTATGAGTTCCTTGTAGGTACATATTCTGCAGTTAACTACAGTAATTAATTGTTGTTTATAGAACAAAATTAAGGATCTACTCTTCCTTAGCTCCGTTTCTAAACCCTTTTCATATTTTTATTTGTATTTAGAAAAATAGAGAAAAAAAACAACATCTTCCTTTTAATTCAGTAGGTATGAATTCTTCGTAGGTAGTTTTTTTAAAGATCTCTGGCATATGTATTGGTAACACCTATAACCACGTATTTTATATGACACTTTTTCTATCTCTGCGCAAAAAAAATGTCAATACCTTTGTGTCAAAAGCCAATAGTGTCAAAGTTCTGTGGTGTCAAATGTCAAAACACTATCCAAACCCAAACATCGGTCTGTCAAAAACGTAATTAAAAAAGTGTTTTATTTGCAATTTGGTGTATTTTTATCAATAAAAGTGCGTCTTATCCTTCGAATATTAAAAGTAAAACTTCAAAACTGTCCAGCTCCTAAAATATGTCGATAGAAATCGAATCGGCAGAGTGAGTAAAAACATAACCTATATACCAGTTTTATTATTTTCCTTATTTGTAGCGTAATTCGTCTAATTCAGCAATACTTGAAAGAATCTAACTTATTAAGAACTCTTCACACACTCCAGGAGGAAACTGGTGTAACATTAAACACTGTAGATAGTGTTGATGGCTTTTGTGCAGATATCAATAATGGGCATTGGGACACCGTTTTGAAAGCAATTCAATCACTTAAACTTCCAGACAAAAAATTGATTGATTTGTATGAACAGGTGACATATTTTTAAAAACTTAGTTTGAGTTACTACAAATTTATCAGATTGTTTTAGAATTAATTGAACTAAGAGAGTTAGGAGCGGCGAGATCACTCCTCAGACAAACAGACCCTATGATAATGATGAAACAAAATGAACCCGAACGTTACATACACTTGGGTACTCAACAAATTTGGTAGAAAAATTAATAACACTTTTTTACAGAAAATTTACTCGCTCGTTCATATTTTGACCCTCGCGAGGCGTACCCTGACGGCGGCAGCAAAGAAAAACGCCGTGCTGCGATTGCTCATGCTTTGTCAGGGGAAGTATCAGTGGTACCATCATCCCGTCTTTTGGCCCTACTTGGCCAGGCGTTAAAGTGGCAACAACATCAAGGTTTGTTACCACCTGGTACCACGATTGACTTGTTTAGAGGCAAAGCTGCCATCAGAGACCAGGAAGATGAACAATTTCCCACCCAAATGGCCAAACAAATTAAATTTGGACAAAAATCACACGTGGAGTGTGCTCGCTTTTCTCCAGATGGACAATATCTTGTCACAGGGAGTATTGATGGGATCATTGAAGTGTGGAATTTCACCACGGGGAAGATTCGCAAGGATTTGAAATATCAAGCCCAGGTAAAAATTGTTCTAAATTAAATTGATTAATATTCTTATTTGTTTAGGAGAGTTTCATGATGATGGAACATGCAGTTTTATGTATGGCGTTTTCACGCGACAGCGAAATGTTGGTAACTGGGTCACAAACAGGTAGAATCAAAGTTTGGAGGATTAGTACTGGCCAGTGTTTGCGAAAAATTGAAAAAGCTCACTCTAAAGGTATTACGTGTTTACAGTTTTCTCGAGATAACAGTCAAGTTTTAAGCGCTTCTTTTGATCACACCATTAGGTAACATTTCAAAAACCAGTGGTACACATTTCAAATTAATTTTGTTTTAGATTACATGGGCTAAAATCTGGGAAAATATTGAAAGAGTTTCGTGGGCACAGTTCATTTGTAAATGAAGTTATTTTCACTCAAGATGGACACAATGTTCTGAGGTAATTTTTTAGAATGACTGATTAAAAATCAATGATTTTTGTTTAGTGCATCTTCTGATGGGACCGTGAAAGTATGGAGTATAAGAGCTGCGGAATGCATCAACACTTTTAAATCTTTAGGTGCAGGTGACATTACTGTAAACAACATTCACAATTTTGCAAAAAATCCGGAACATTTTGTTGTGTGTAATCGCACTAATACTGTAGTTATTATGAATCTCCAAGGACAGGTAAATTACTGTCAAGTCATAAGAAAAAATCAGTGTTTTTTTTAGATTGTTAGGTCATTTTCAAGTGGTAAACGTGAAGGAGGTGATTTTGTATGTTCAACAGTGTCACCAAGAGGTGATTGGATTTATTGCGTTGGTGAAGATTTAGTTTTGTATTGCTTTTCTACAAATTCTGGTAAACTTGAAAGAACTTTAAATGTGTGTGTTATCATTAGTTTGATCTGGTTATGATTCACTTTTTTTTAGATTCATGAAAAGGATGTTATTGGTATTGCTCACCATCCACATCAGAATTTACTCTGTTCATATAGCGAGGATGGACTTGTACGTTTGTGGAAACCGTAAATTGTAATTTTGTAATCTTAAGAACTAAAGAGTACATTAAGAGAAGGTTTTTTATTTCTAAACCCATGTTTTTGAAAATTGACAAGTTCATGTTATTATCTAAGGACCGTTTTTATTTAATGTTGATGTAAAATGGATAATTTTATGAGTATGATGAATTTTAAGAACTAATAATTTTTAATTATTATTTAGTAGTATCCATCATATTCATTATCTCAGTCTACGTATTTTGGAACAATTATTATCCCATTGCAAAGTTACAAATTGTTGAAAAATAAAAAAAATGCTTTCAAATCTGTTGCTATCGTGGACTTCGTAAAATTGTAATCGGCAAAAATATTATTTTAATTCTTGTGTTTCTTCAGTGATTTATTTTGTTAATTAGTTTAACCAATTTAAATAAATAAGTAACAACTATACATATAAAATGATATCCAAAATTGCGGGAGATTGTACTTTTTTATTCAACTGTTAACAAACTTCTACCTTTTTTATTTAAATGAGGCAAAAAATACAGCTTCAAAATTTGAAATTTTTCATTTAAAGCAGTGAAATCCTATTTTTTAGGATTCTTAGTTTTTGTGTAATACCTACATTTTTAAAAAAATTGTTGAAAAATAAAAAAAATGCTTTCAAATCTGTTGCTATCGTGGACTTCGTAAAATTGTAATCGGCAAAAATATTATTTTAATTCTTGTGTTTCTTCAGTGATTTATTTTGTTAATTAGTTTAACCAATTTAAATAAATAAGTAACAACTATACATATAAAATGATATCCAAAATTGCGGGAGATTGTACTTTTTTATTCAACTGTTAACAAACTTCTACCTTTTTTATTTAAATGAGGCAAAAAATATAGCTTCAAAATTTGAAATTTCTCATTTAAAGCAGTGAAATCCTATTTTTTAGGATTCTTAGTTTTTGTGTAATACCTACATTTTTAAAAAGTATGTTTTCGTTAAACCTTCAAAAATAAATAACGAAACTCACTTTCACTAATATTAGAAACTAAACAATATATAAGAAAAAAAAATTAAACTCTAAACACTTGGTTTCTACGGCTCAAATTTTCAATAGAAATGTCCCGACGTTTTGACGTTTTGTGAGTTTTATTAAGTCAAATTTGAAGTTAAAGCCTGATTTACAGTGTCAAAAATTTTAACTCCTATTTTTTTACCCGGGATGGCACCGATCGTTTGAAGATAAAAAAAATTACAAATATTTTAAATTGCAAACAATTTTTATTCGTGGCTATAGGCAACAATACTAAAAATTTGACTAGTTCTAATCCAAAACTATCAGATTTGGTGATGGTGATGTTAAGAATACTCCTAACATCCTTGTTTTGGTGCAATTTTCTCGAAAAATATCACTGAACATTCCATTTGTTACGCCACTGCCCCAGAACATTCAGGAAATCTTCAGTCACGTGTACCAATCAGAAACGGCCAACAAAAGGGACATTAACCAATCACAATCTCGAACTTTCAAAAAGCAACCAATCAGACATTCCCACGACAAATTCTCGATTTATATTCGGCGTGTCAATGAATTCCAGTCAGTTTTTGCAGTTAAAGAAGTGAACAGAGTGTGTAAAGTGTCTTGTGTTGAGAAAGTACAAAAGTATTGTATTTTTTAATTAATTAACTGGTAAGTAATTAAATAAAATCAATAAATAATTCGGTACGTGGGTTGAAAGTGTCGTCGACATTTATTAAAATTTTCTCGAATGATGCAGTAAAGTGTCATGCCGGTTCAGGTCCATTAATTGACGAGGAAAAACTTTAAAATAACACGAATTTTGTCCAAATTAAACTTGAAATTAGTGGTATAGTATTATTATTTCAAAATATTTCCCCCTACGTGTCTTAAATTTTAGAAAAGTTGAACCCAGACAGTGTACAGTTATTTGCATGTGGCACATTCCACATTGACGGGATAACAGTAAATCTGGTTCATTTGCTACAATTTTTTGATTTGTTCCAGGTAGAACAAGTAAAGAGATGAAGTTGCATCTAGCGTTGGGGGCACTTTGCCTCGTCTTAACCGTATGGGCAAAAGATGACAAAAAAGAGAAGGAAGACGTGGGCACAGTTATTGGGATTGATTTAGGAACCACGTATTCATGGTAAGTTGGAATTTTTACACGTTTAATCTCATTTTTTTGAACTGTTTATGGCGGATTATCTTTAGTAGAATAATAAGATAATAAATTATTTGTAAAAAAAACAAGTTGGCTATAACAATTGACACGTATGACAATTATCAAGGATATTTTGAGGTTATTTTTTTTTAATTACAATTTTTGTTTCCAGTGTCGGTGTGTACAAAAACGGTCGCGTTGAAATTATCGCCAACGATCAAGGCAACCGAATTACCCCCTCGTATGTGGCCTTCACTGCCGACGGTGAACGTCTTATCGGTGACGCCGCCAAGAATCAGCTCACTACCAATCCCGAAAATACGATTTTCGATGCTAAGCGCCTTATTGGTCGCGATTGGAGTGAGCAAAGTGTCCAAAACGACATTAAATTCTTTCCGTTTAAAGTCATTGAAAAGAATTCAAAACCACACATTGCCGTCGAGACCAGTCAAGGAAATAAAGTCTTTGCACCGGAGGAGATCTCAGCCATGGTTTTGGGCAAAATGAAAGAGACTGCTGAGGCTTACTTGGGCAAGAAGGTCACCCATGCTGTTGTAACAGTTCCGGCTTATTTCAATGATGCTCAAAGACAGGCTACAAAGGATGCTGGGACTATCGCTGGGTTGGTTGTTATGAGGATTATTAATGAGCCCACAGCTGCGGCGATTGCCTACGGTTTGGATAAGAAAGATGGGGAGAAGAATGTTTTGGTGTTTGATTTGGGTGGTGGTACTTTTGATGTTTCGCTTTTGACCATCGACAATGGAGTGTTCGAAGTCGTGGCTACCAATGGAGATACTCATCTCGGCGGTGAAGATTTCGATCAAAGAGTTATGGACCACTTTATTAAATTGTATAAGAAGAAGAAGGGTAAAGACATCAGGAAGGACAATCGTGCTGTACAAAAATTGAGACGTGAAGTCGAAAAGGCGAAACGAGCTTTGTCTTCGGCACATCAAGTCAGGATCGAAATTGAATCCTTCTTCGAGGGTGACGATTTCTCTGAAACTCTAACTCGAGCCAAGTTTGAGGAATTGAACATGGATTTGTTTAGGTCGACCATGAAGCCGGTCCAAAAGGTCCTCGAAGATGCCGATATGAATAAAAAAGATGTTGATGAAATTGTCTTAGTTGGTGGTTCAACTCGTATTCCTAAAGTACAACAGTTGGTCAAGGAATTTTTCGGTGGTAAAGAACCCTCACGTGGAATCAACCCTGATGAAGCTGTTGCTTACGGAGCCGCCGTTCAAGCTGGTGTCTTGTCCGGTGAACAAGATACCGATGCTATTGTTCTTCTTGATGTTAATCCTTTGACCATGGGTATTGAAACTGTGGGAGGAGTCATGACAAAATTGATCCCACGTAATACAGTAATCCCAACGAAAAAATCCCAGGTCTTTTCAACCGCATCCGATAACCAACATACTGTCACAATTCAAGTTTATGAAGGTGAACGTCCGATGACCAAAGACAATCACTTGTTGGGTAAATTCGACTTGACTGGAATCCCCCCAGCACCACGTGGTGTCCCTCAGATCGAAGTCACTTTTGAGATTGACGCTAACGGAATTTTGCAAGTTTCTGCCGAAGATAAAGGAACCGGAAATCGGGAAAAGATCGTTATTACAAATGACCAGAATCGACTGACACCTGAAGATATCGACCGAATGATTAGAGATGCGGAGAAATTCGCCGATGATGATAAGAAATTGAAGGAGAGAGTCGAAGCGAGGAACGAATTGGAGAGTTATGCCTATTCGTTAAAGAATCAACTGAATGATAAAGATAAGTTGGGGTCGAAGGTTTCGAGTGACGAGAAAACGAAGATGGAAGAAGCGATTGATGAGAAGATCAAATGGTTGGAAGAAAATCAAGATACCGAAGCTGAAGAGTACAAGAAACAGAAAAAAGAATTGGAAGATGTTGTACAACCGATCATTGCGAAATTGTATCAGGGAGCTGGTGGGGCACCTCCACCGACTAGTGAAGATGATGATGATCTTAAAGATGAGCTGTGAGGTGCAAGACTGAATTTAATTACATTTCTAGCCCAATAGGTGTGGATGAGTGTGGATTGTGTGCGATTTAAATAATAAATTAGGGTCTTATTTTTAACAAATTTCCCAGTAATGAGATGTTCAGAATTTTTTTGTAATGAGTAGTAAAAATCTTTTATATTACTATTTTTATGTGCGTACTGGTAATTTATTTATTTTTTCCACGATCAAATATGAGCGTACGAGTGTAAATTATTGTACACTTGTATTTGACTTGTTAAGTTGTAAATTTTTCAAATAAAGCCTTGGAAAATCTTAAATTTGTATTTTATCACTGGCGTAAAAGGTGAAATAAAAGACGAGGTAATTAGAGAGATTCATCATAATTAACGTTAAAATACGGTAAAAAAATAATAAGAAATAATTTAAAAATACATTAAGTTATCTACATAAAAATAAATTAATGTATTATATCATTAGTCTTAACAATAAATCAACAAAATTCAGTTTAAAAATGCTACTCCACTAACTCGTCTAGTCCGACTCGATATTCGTCGGTAATTAAAATGTGACTGAATTTAAATTTATTGTTAAAAACGCTACTGATCTCCGACAACATCATAATCATCGACAATTTTCTTCCACGTCTGCAGTCTTTTCTCCCAATATTCGGGTCCTCTGTTTTCTTCAGTCTCTACTGATCCCGTAATCGCTTCCACAACTTTTTCCTCGACTTTTTCCCTTGTCGTTTTCCTCGATTTTTCAATTTCCTGCAATCCATTTTGGATATAGTCCTGGAAAAACTTGGAAGATTTCTTTAGGAATGGATCAATGTCAGCTTCGGGGTGTTGTTGCATAAAGTCATACAATAAATTCAAGCCCTCTTTAGTGTCATCTTTATTGCCTATTTTTTGGAAAATCTCCGTCAACATTGTATGCGTAGCTCGCGAAAATGAGATACGTTGTGGCTGCGGTGGGGGCTGCTGGACTGCTTCTAGTTTCATACTTTTCAATAATTTTAAGATGTATGACTCGATTTCCGATTCGCTAGGATTGGGGATTTTACCAAAATGACACATAATCGATCCTCCTTTGATTTTAACAGAGGAATGGAGGATTGTTTTAATCGTACGTAAAGTGGTATCCACCGGTTTGTTTTTCCACCAAATTGATGGAAATTCTTTGAGGAAATTGTGAACCTCTAGTAGGACTAAGTCGTAGTCGACTTCCTCGCCCCAATCAGGCATTAATTTTATTACACGCCACAGACATTTCATTACGAGTTCAGTGTGACGTTCTGGACTGTCATTTCGTATACATTCATGAATTAACTTAACTAAAGCACTAAAAACAATCAAAAAAATATAATTTTTTCTACAAAATTTTACAAACTTACCAAATGATTTTTGTATGATCCGATTTTTCGATTATTTTCACGCAATGTAAATTGATGACTCGGATATAAGCATCGCCATTGGCACAGTTTTGTAATTTTCGAGAGGCAAGAACGTAGATAAATTGATCAACAATTTCCTTGAGACTTTCACTCGAAACTTGTTGACGCAAACTTTTATGATAAAACTGTAAAAAAAAAACTTTTTATTAAAATGATTCGAAATTATTAAAAACCTACCGCATCAATGGATGTCAAAATACATCGATATATTTTGGGAATTTCTGAATCTTCAACCGCTTCTTGATTTCTCAAATACTTTAACTGGACAATAATGGACTTCACAAAAGCCTCCTCGTATTCCATTTCTTCATGGGAACTTAAATGAAAATAATCAGTCATTTGTTGCAATCCTTTAATCGCGATATTCGGATCAGGAGAAGCAATTTGTTGAAGGTAACTCAAAACTGGATCTTGTTTTTTCGTAGTGGTTTGTTTAAAACCGCCCCCTAAGGCCGAAATGGATATATTTGGATCAAGCGGCTTAGGGGGAGACAAGGGCATAATCCTGAAATGATTAATCGTAAAATATTTTTACCCGTCGAAATCAATTACTTTGCTCTGATATCGGCCGGCGATAAAGTCGGAATGTTTACATCATCTTTGAGGAAATCCAAATCGAATGTCTTTACTTCAGTCAAATGAACTGGAGCGAGAAGTTTATCAAGTTTTTCTAGTAATTCCGAATCGAGAGTGAACGGTCCTGTAGGTTCGGAGATTTCCCTAACTGTTTTCGGTGGCATTCTACAAGAAAAAACATTGTATGCAACTCGGGTGAATCAATTAATTTCCTACAACACAGGTGGTAAAGGATCTTCATCTTCTTCTTCGTTCTGTTCCGGTTCATTGTATCTATCATTTTCAACGTTGATGATATCTTGTTCTTTAACCTGTGGAATTATTTCGACCGGTTTTACTGGACGTTTCGAATGCTTAATTCGGCCTTCTAAGAGAGCCAAATCTTTACCCACAATCTTCAAAAAAAAAAAGATAAATCTAGTGAAAATTACAAAAAAATAAAATATACATTTCCTATCATTTTGTACACTTTATCCCCAAGAATATGATAGGCTTCAACCATACAATTAAGGGCAGCATTTCGAACCGATTTGTCCTTATCTGAGATTTGTTTAGCGACTTCTTTTAAAACAACAACCGGGGATGACCCGCAAACACCTATGCCATGGTCTTGTATTATAGACCCCATAGCTTCTAAACATTCGGCCCTCTGTCGAGCATTCTTCGACTTAACACCTTCCATTATGTAAGTAAATAAACGAGCAACAGGATATACATGACACACTTGTTTCAATAACGATCGAACTCCGTTACAAAACTTTGCATCACCGATCTAAAAATCCATATTATTTAACGAAAAAAACTGTTTTGTACTACCTTTATGACTAAATAAGGGAGAAATGCTGAAGCCTCATTTTCCAACAGGCGATAATTCGAATCCATTAATACATTAAAAACGGAATGTAAATACTCCAAACCTTTGAAAACAACTGAAGGATTCGTATCGAAAAATCTTAACGTGAGCCATTTTAGTATTAAATCGAGATTCGCGATCAAAGCGGCCGAATTGTCATTCAAATCTTCCATCAGAGAATCCAAAGCTTTGATATGATATCTGGCAAAATAACTCATTTTCAATACTACAAATACAAAAGAGCTCCATTCTTACCCGAAATCGTTATGAAACATGTTAGAAATCAATGTTTTGTTAACATTCGCTGTCGTCATTTGATCTCTCAACAATTCAACAAACTCTTCACGAGGTGTTGTAAAATTCCATTTCAAAACTTTTAATTTCGACTCATCGATAGATCTTTGATGTTTCAGATTATTAACAACCAAGAGTGGCGACGTGTCGATGTCTTCGTCCTTCTTTTTACTTGTTGCAACTTTGGTAGTTGATGCAGCCCCCTAAACGGAATTATATAGGGTGATTGTAGTTTAAATTCACAATATTCTTTAATTTCGCAATAAATTTTTTGGGTAAATAAATGTGTAATATTTTTAGCAGTGAAAAGTAAAAAGTTTTTATTATAACACACTGTTAAATGTACTTTTTATTGAAATATTCTTTCATTATTAAGTGTAATTTGCAAACTTCATAATTAATCTCAGAGTAAAACTTGTGTAAAATGTTAACACACAAAATTATACCAACCTTTGGTTTGACAGCATTTTTCGAATTAGCTACGGGTTTGGTCCCTCTGACTACCTTTTCTTCCTTCTCCACTGCTTTTTTCGGCGCGGGTTGCATAGGCAAATTTGCTCTCTCATTATCCAATTTTTTACGAATATCTAATTGGGAACCGGGCTAGAAATAACAAAATTAAACAAAAATTCGATAAATTTAAGTAAATACCTTCAATTTTTCGATTTGCTTGAGCATCGTTTCAAACCCAACATGTATCATAACACCTAAAATTGCTTTTTGCGAATTTGCTCTAATGTCGTGCATTCTATCCTCAAGATGACTGTACAAAATCGGGATACAGACTACCAATTCTTCCTTTGGGATACTTTTCACCGGAACTGGAAAAATTCAATTAGAAAAATCCCAAATTGTATACTTTCCTACTTTTGGGTAAAATCTCGGCCAACCAATCCCACAATTCGACTTTCAATTGCGGTGTCCCCGACTTCAATCCATCAAAAATCATCTCATTTTCAAAAAACTCCTTATAACCGCACTGTTCGACATACGCATTGATAGCATCCTTGGCTGCACTCCTCAGCTGGGGCTTATTATCCCCCAAGTTTCTCAAAAACATGGGAAAAAAGACCTTAATGTATTGCTTCGATGGGGCCCCCATTGATTTCGCAATCAGTTCACAGATATTGAGGGCAGTTTGTGCCACTTGCTTGTTACTATCGGCCATTCGACGATTCAAACTTTGGGGTAAATCCCCCAAATTCGGTTTAATAAACTTGGCCTCTTGAATTATTTGTTGAATTTTTGTCAGAGTTTCGGTTCGCACTTTCCAGTTCTTATCCTCGAGTTCAGTGAGGAGAGATTCGGTGATATGTGAACTTATGTCAACCCTCGGGAGTGAATCTTGGATGTTTTTAAGCCCGGTGTACTCTTCAACGACTTCATTATCATCCAGGTTGTCCAAACTGTTGCTACTAGAACATTTAGCAATTCCTCGAGTTGGGGTAGGAGGTTTAACTCCTTGATATTTCTCGAATTCAACGTTGATTTGCTCACGTAATGCAGCTTTTTCATTTTCAAAGTAAGTGTATAGGGGGTTTTGGATGTATAAGAAAAGCACTCCGCAGAAAGTAATTGCGGCTTGCCTCACACCTGGATTGCTTGAAGCTAAACATTTCTTCCCACTTTCGATCAGTAATTTCGTATTTAAATCATTGAAACCGAATTCTTTAATTGCATCCGAAAGCCATGATAGTGATTCAATGGTGACTTTAGGGTTTTTCTGATTGAGAGCTGATTCTACAACTATGGATGATACAAATGACAAACTCGTAGCCTCGGCTATTGCCGAAACTGTCTCTCGCACAAGAGGCCCATTTTTAACGTCCCCAAATTTGTCGATAATGTCATTGATACAAATATTTGCCGTTGTGGTAGAAAAATTCGAATTCTCCGCTAAGTACTTAACAATTTCAATTTTAGATTGAAGTACTTGGAAATTCGTGTCTTTGAAACCGGGCCTTCTACTCAGACATTTAACCAAAGCTTGAGTCGGAATATCCGACCCCAAATCTCTAATCGCGTCAAAATACTGTTTCACTGCCGTCAAACTAAAAAAAAAAACATAGTTCACTCATACAATTTATTATTTTTTCAAACCTACCGTATCTTATACGACGCATCAGACATTTGGTTGATAACATCCGCCGGAATAAAAGTCACAAGTTCATCGACTTGTTCCTCACTTAACTCCTTTTCAGTTGCTGGTTTCTTAGCCGCATTTTTGCCTTTGGAACGCACAACCGTGGCCGAATTTACAACTGGAGCTTTCTTCTTCGGAGCACTTGACGGTTTTGTGGGTGCTGACTTAGGTGCAGGGACTGCTTTAACCGGTTTTGAAGCAGGTGCAGCTTTAGTAGGAGCTGTTGTAGGTCTTTCCTTTTTCGCTGCTGCTATTTTAACCGTAATGACAGCTTTCTCGCAACATTCTTTGATTTTTGTCATTTTTAATGTGTCTTTTTCGAGTTCGACTAAAAAGGGGCCAATTGCTTTCTCGCCCACGAGTTTCATCAAAGTGCCCAAGGCTTCGGCTGAAGAGTCGCGGACAGTGGGATCTGTGACAATTAAAAGCCGATATTATTTCGTATTTTTAGTTCTTCAAAAATTATCGAGACATTAATGGAATGAATTTTGCAGAAAGATTAGACTATTAAATTGCGGTTTATTAATTACTCAAAATAATTTGGTTGAGTACGATTAGAAGAATAAATAAAATAAGAGCCACAAATTTACAATCTTATTTTTTCATTATCAAAAAATTAGTTTACTATTACGATCATACAAATTACAAAATGAGATCATAAAAACTGCATAAGCAAGAAAAAAGTTCTATATTTTAGTGTACACCCAAGCGGAAATAATATCCATAATTGTGCTTAGGAGTGGCTAATTATCAATAAAACACAAAAGAATTACTTTCATCATTTCATAAAAATACAATCAAATTTAAGGAACATTTGAGTTGTTTATTTCAAATTGTTTGAATTTAAAATTTATTTTTTAAATATTATCTTCACCATTTTTATACAGGGTGTCCGGACATTGCATGCACAAACTTCTAAGGGTAAAATAAAATCGTTTTCCTAAGACCTACTAAAAATTTTATGACACATTATAATGTGCCATAAAATTATTATAATGTGTCATAAAATTTTTAGTAGGTCTTAGGAAAACGATTTTACTATAATTCCATACCTCAAAATATAAAAAGTTTCTATCAACATAGGTCCAAAAAAGCTTCCTTAGAAAATTAGGACCCTGTAAAGCTGGGCCTTCAAATGTGCTTTTTTTAAATTATTTTTGTTAATATTTTAATTAGAAAAACAAAACCACGCACCCGTCGGCTTTTTAGAATGCTGAATCGCAATAAATATTTTTTTTTTGAACCTTCATCAGGAGAGCACAAAATAAGGAGGGCTGCGGCAAAAATAACTCAATACTTTTTTTCTTAAGACTTTTTGCAAATTTAATACCATAATAAAATAAAAAGAACATTCTTACATAAAAATGTCCTTGGTAAAATGTTTTCGAAATACAGACCAATTTTTATGTCGACGCACTGAGGTAATTGAAATAATATAATGAATAAAAAACATATTTGGTGTTCTTCAAACCTACAGGTGCCTGGTTTAGTTTTTCTAATTAAAATATTATTTAAAAAAAGCACCTTTACAGAGCCGTAACTTTCTAAAGAAGCTTTTTTTGGACCTATGTTCACAGGAACTTTTCTTTATATCTTGAGGTCTGGAATTACCCCTAGAAATTTTGTGCACGCATTTTCCGGACAGCCTGTATAGATATAAATTAAATAAAATTAATTTTAGTGTACCTGATTCGTTAATATTCTTAAGAAGCGGCGTTGACAGCGCTTTCAACATCTTCTTAGTCACAACACTCGGTTGTGTTTTTGTGAAAGCCCTTGCCAAAAAGTGCGACGTTTCGGCCTTAACAGACGGGTTTTTATTACCTAGAGCTTCAATCACATCCTCCAAAATCGCTTCCAAGCTCGTCTGTAACACAAATTTAGCCCCCTTCTTTCACCAATTTCTTGCTCTTACCGTCAAATAAATCACATCTATTGCTTCTTTGATCGCAGTGACAACATTCTGCTTCTTCTCTTTGAACTTCTCCAAAAGCGAAGGAACACAAGCCCCAGCATAGGGCTGAAACCTTTTCTTCAAGCCAGTAGCTATAGCAGCCAAGCAACGGCCGGCCAAAGCCACAACTACCACATTGCTGTCTTTCTCGATAACTTTCTTCAAGGCTCTTACCAAGTCACCATACTCGCCACTTTGTAGTTTCGGAGTTTGGACTAGTTTTTCTAAAGTTTCGAGAGCTTCTTTTCGTTCTTGCCACTTCTTTGCTTCAACTTTTTCGTAGAAGTCCTTAGGGAGCTTCGAGAGGATGTCGACGGGGTCTGCTAGGTCGTAGGGGTCCATTTCGGGCGATTCGTCGTCGTCGTGAACATCATCTGACTCACCTAAATCGTAAAACAATAGAATGTTTAATCAGACTTTAATTGCTTATTACCGGGATCAATTTCTTCAGCATCTCCCGACGGTATCGCTTGTTTTTGTTGCTGGGATCTTATGTATCTCTGAGGCACGGCCTTTTGGCCCTCAATTTTTGCAAATTCGGCCTCTAATTCAGTAATTTGGACGGGTTTCAAGCTATTTAATTGAGGTCTAAGGGCGCCTCCTATCCATCTGTATATCTCAATGACCATCAGTCTTGCCTCATCTCTTACTGCTTTCTCTCTATCAGAAAACAAGTCTGGAATTTTCTTAACTAAAGGCTTCACATTGATGATCTTAGTCCCAAATTCCCTCAAAGCTACAGTAAAAGCACTGATGCAAGCAACCACAATTTTGGGGTTCTTTTGTTCCATGCCTTTAAGGAGTTCCTCCTGGACGACTTCTCCCTTTTCTATTTCAATGTACATGAGTATGACTTGTACAGCAAGCTCTTTAGTACGGTTTTTGGGGGCTGCTATACATTTGGCAACGACTCCTGACATAACCTCTCCGACTGTTTTCCCAGCATGGGCGTAATTCTCGATAAAAGCCAAAGTGGCTTCTAGGCCTTTTTCTTGACCCACGGCATGGCTGTCCACCACGAACTTTTTCACTAAGCCGAGATATTTACCAAATTCCGGTGACTTGTCATCGTCAATCTGACGGAAGAGTTTGGAGACTTCTTCATAGCCGTTTTTTCTAGCTTGCCACAGTTTGTGAACGCAACGCTCTTCAATGGGGAGTTTTTTGTATTCTTCGTCTTCCATACTTTCAATTCAATATAACGGACAAACTAGAACAAGCTGAAATGATTCATCAGCCAAATAAGGAGTACAGTCGGACTAAATCAAGTCCTTGAGACTTAATAATTACACTTAATTTAATCCCTTCTTGCGTTTTATTTATTTTTTAATTAAAATAGACTTACCTAACGTACCCAAAAAAACATTACACACTTAAAACAGTTTACACTAAAATCGATACGGAAACTAAAAACGCCACGTTAATATGTAAAATTAATAGATAAAACACCGTTTCTTATATCGTTATCACAATGTGAAGGCGAAATCAATAAAAACTGCTTATCCGATGTAGACAAAACCTGTAAGCCATATTTGAAAAATCGGCCTATTTTTTAAACGCGAATGCCAGCGCCACCACTTAGATAATCAGGCAGTTAATTTAAATTTTGGCGCCATTAAAAATATTTAAAATTTTTATGCCAAACTGTATAATTATACACAGCTTTTAAGGGACACTATTTAGAATTAAACACTTGAACGTATGGTTTAATATTAATAGCAATAATGCATTTTTTGCAAATTACTTCAAAATACAATTGTAACGACATCGTGCGTTATAAGTGGCAAACAAATTATCATAATTCAAATAATGGCGCGCATTGCAAATTAAATTACAATTTCTTAAGCAAATTAATGAATGACAGTATAGGGTTTTACTTTTATTGTCTACTTCTCGTTTTAATTATTAGTACCGTTGCTTGCATTTATTTACTTCATTTGGTCTTTTTAAAGTTTCCAGTTTGAGGTTAAGTCAAGAGATGTTTTTGTCTTGTAAAGTAGCATTTATTGCTAATTTCAAGCATTTTTACACAAAACTAAAAGAATAACTCTGTCATTATCAAAAAACGATCCTTTTCTGTTCCAAGACATGGCAGGTAATAATATATAAGGGGTTTCCCCGATTGTCACCACATTTATAGGTTTAACACCCAAGATATTTTTACCTGTGGGATTTAAAAATATCCTCACTCTCAGCTGCTAATTTATAAATACCCTAAGCCTCGTATGCATTAAACTCTTTCGTCTTGTAGAGTCCGAAATGCGATCAAAAAAACTCGTCCATGAGGGATGTACGATCTATAAAGAAAAACCCTTTGTTTACGTCCTAAGTTCGAAATTGCGGACGGAATATTGCGATTCTTGTCTCAAAAAGTGAGTTGCAAGTGACGTTGTGTATTTTTTAAAACAAGTTCTTTTCAAGGGGGCAATTTATGAAATGTTCTGGGTGCCACTATGTGTATTATTGTGGAAAAGTGTGTCAAAAAGAAGGTTGGAGTGTGCATAAAACAGAATGTAGGAATTTGAAACGAGTAGCCCCTAGGATTTTACCGGATGCGGCGAGGTTTATCGCGAGATTAATTCATGTTTTGAGGAAAGGGGGCGATTTGGTCAAGTCTTATTATTTGGAAAATTGTTTTAGGATGTATAAAGATTTAATGTCGCGTAAGACTCACCAGATAATATTTTTTCTTCTCATAATGACATAATTTTTAGATTATCCAAACATAAAAGGAGATCACCAGAGAATGGAACATTTTACGTCACTGTGTGCAGTCTTATTTGATTTTTTAGGCGACGATAGTCTTCCAAATTCGGCTGAATTGATGGGAATGTATGGACGAGTAAGTGGAAAATAAATAAATAGTGTTCAACAATCATTATGTAATATATTTGAACGATTAAAAATAGTTTAATTTATGTTTTGGCCGGCTTTTACAGTTTGTGAATAATTTAATGACAACTTTATTGCCTCGTTTACAAACCTTTTATTTTATTTCAGATGTGTATAAACAGCTTTAACATAATTGATCAAGAATTACAATGTATAGGAACAGGAATGTATTTAGGAGCTTCTGTAATTGACCATTCGTGTAGTCCTAATGCTGTAGCAATTTTCGATGGACCAGTTTTATCCATTCGCGCTTTACAAACTTTTCAGTATTTAGATTGGTCTCAGGTAGATATTATTACTACTATTACCACCGTTTTTTCTTATTTTAAATATTTTCCCAGATAAGAATTAGTTATATTGACATTTTAAACACAACGAAAGATCGCCAAAATGAATTAGAAGCTGCTTATTATTTTTTATGCAAATGTCCCAAATGTCTCGAACCTGAGCCACCTGAAATAAACGCAGCTGCTTGTCCCAATGAAAAGTGTGACAATTATATCGATGCAGAAATTATAACTCCTGGCGAAAAATGCACGAAATGTGACACAATAATAACAGAATTATTCTTAAAACGTTTCAAAGAAGTAGTTGAATTTACCGATTTGCATTTACAAAACATGAAACAGCTGGCTTGTATCCTTTCAAAGTATTTAGTCTCCAGTCCGACTTTTTTTTTTCTTTAACAACAACTCAGATTTTGACGTTTGTGAGATTTGTTTGAAAAAACAAAAAGGTGTCTTACACAAATTTAACGTAAAATACGTCAAGACCCTCGATTTGGCATTTCAGTCGAGTATTGACTTTCAAAAATGGGATTTTGCCAGAAAATTCGCCCTTGAGCTCGTTGACGCTTTTTAGTAAGTATAAATAATGAGACGCTCGTCATCATAATATAAAAAACATGAAAGTTGAACGATTTTAAAAATGATTACATAAAACAAAATGATCGCTATGTAGTCGCTCAACGACTTCAAACAAGCGCCACAAATGACGCTTGTCTCATAAATTAATTCCCTGTTTTAATGCCAAATGCTTGTAGTAAATACTACGGACAAGTGCATCCGATAACTGGGTTATTGCACTTGAAGTTGGGAAAAATTCTGCTTTTTGAAGAAAATGACAACTTGGCACTGGAACATTTGACGAAGGCTTATCAGATTTTGAAAATTACGCATGGGATTAGTAATAATTTGTTTAAAGATGAGTTGGTACCATTGATGCAACAAGCACGGGCGGCAGTGACAAATCAAAACGTTTAAGTAAATTAGAAAAAAAAGTTTTTTAGTAACGATTCAAGAATAAACAAAATTCGATATTTATGTGTATAATTGGTTGCCTGTCTACCTCATTTGGAAGGATTTAAATAAAATTTGTTTTTTATTTATTTACAAAATTTTTAATAATCACACCATAATACAATACTAACGCAACATATGTTAGTAAATTTTAATAAACTACTAAAACACACCATATACAGGTGCGCCAGAACTCGCGCCCCAGAGAAAAATTTCAAGTAAGATAAGATACCAGGAACATGGAAAAAATGTTTAAAAAATTTTATCTTTAAAAATTACGAAGTTATGAGAGTTGAAATTTGCACTTTGGCTGTTGGAAAAATAATTTTCCTAGCTTTTTTGCTACAGGCTATTAGAAGAGGAAACAAGGAAGCTGTATCCTAAATTGTGACTCTGTTTTTGACAGATACAATTTTTTGACAGATACAATTTTTTAAACATTTTTTCCCTATTCCTGGTATCTTATCTTACTTGAAATTTTTCTCTGGGGCGCGAGTTCTGGCGCATTCTGTATAGAATAACAGTAAAATAAACTTTAAAACTCAGATTTAATATTCAGGACAAATCCTTCTCAAACAACACTTGAAAATTGACTTCATTTTGGTCCAATTGCTCAATCAGTGACGTTTTTGCGAAAGCATACCCTGGTGGGTACACCCCACCACCGGGTGGCATTTTATCGGTCTCGGTGATAACAGTTAAAGCAGCAAGCACCAAACTGGCACAAGTAGCTCCATAACCTGGATGCTTCCCCGTGACTTTGGCGGCAATTGCTTTATTTGGAGGTGTTCTATGGTCATCAGGAACAGTTCCATTCCAACCTTCTCCATATAAAGTAACACTGAAACGCACCTTTTCGACTTTCTCCTCAGTAGGAGGGGCGCGGCTGAAGAATCCGAAAGTGAACCTTTCTGGGTACTAAATCAAAAAAAAAAAAACGTTTTTTCGCCATAATTCAATGAAAGCTTTTTACCTTAAGTAAGAGATTTCGGCCGCATCCGAATCTCGCGAAAATTGAAAAAATCATGGCCATAATAGTCATGGAGATAACATTCATAAATGATTTTACAGTGAAGTAAGTTTCGGCTTGAACCGGTCTTTTGGAGTCTTTTTCGTGAAAAAGCCGTTGCGAACGCTCAATTACCGGCTTATCCGACCCCAAAAAAGGAAGCACCCAACCTACCACCAAATCATTTTTGTGTGGAGTGATTCTAGAAAAACACTTAAAACTTCCTACAAACTTAATCTATTCATACTTTAGTTTCAATTTCGGCCTAAAACTTGGCAATTTATTTGGAAACAATTGTCTTCTTACAGTCCTCAATTCATTAGCATAGCCCACTTCATAAACCGCTGATTCCCAAGTCCCAAAATTAAGCGTCGCTCCTGGAGTCGGCCCTCCTTCCTCCCACACATTAAAAATCGTAATAACGGAATTCAATGTCCCGTTAAACTTCTTTTGCAAGAAAACCACTCCCAAATCGGCCGGAATACTGTCAAAACCGCAGGCGCTAATAATATAAATGCCTTTTTCTTGCGCCTTTGAATGGTATTTCAGTTGCATCGCTTCCATGTAATAGGATTCTCCGCTAATATCGACGTGGTGGGTGCCCTCTTCGACACACGCCTTGACGACCGGCTCCCCGAAAAAGCGATAAGGCCCGCAACAATTTATAATAATCCGGGCCTTGCGAGCCATTTCCCTTAAGGTTTCCTCCTCTTGCACGTTGGCAACGATAATTGGGACGTTTTCAAGGAAAGTCACTAAATTTTAATTGAATTTTGAAATGTTGTAGTTACTCACTCACCTGTTTCTTTCTCGCATTGGCCCAGAAATTCTTTGAGTTTTTTCTCGGAACGGCCGGCAACGCCCCATTTTAAATGCAGCTTCTTTGAAAATTTTTCAATCAAAGGGAGGCAATGTTTTCCGGTAAAACCGGTCGCTCCGAAGATTATTATGTCCAAATCTCGGGTGTGTTTCGACTGGAAAATCGTGGAAAGTTCTATTTTTGGTGCGTAAAGTAAAATTTAAAACAAAAAAATAGAACGGTAAGTGAAGCATGTTAAGACAAATCTAAGCCGGATTGAAGGATTAATTTTAGACACATAAAATTGTTATCTTACCATTGTTTGCACTAGAGTTTAATTAAAAATAACTAAAACATCGAAAGATACGTAAATTTAACCACAAATCAATCCGGTTATAGTAGAAAAGTGATGATTAATATAAACAAGTGTGTACAATTGATAAAAAGACGTTCTAAGGTTTAAAATGACTGGCATTTTTACACAACCTTCAAGTAGATTTTAATTTTACTTCACGACTACATAAACCTGACAAACCTGAATTATTTTTTTTAATAAATCTGTAATTATAGTTAATATTTATTGTAATTATGCGGGAAAAAAAACATAAATGCAATATTATGATTTAACGTTCCAAAAATAAAAACTATGAATGGAGTTACACAACAATAGAAAATTTGAATATTATTTAAAACTAACCAGTTTGTAAGAAGAAATCAATTCAATAATCTGCAAATCATCTTTGCATTCTTGATTAAACATTAATTTATTAGAAAAATGCTGAACTTAATCGAAGCATAGGTAGATCGCAGTTATTTCAGGAGGATTTTTTCATAAATTTTCTTTATAAGTTACCAGACATTATCAAGAGAAGATGATGCCTTAATATTTGGTAATTATAAAACTAATCTAAAAACAATTGTATCCTCCCAAATTTATGCGCAAAAACTACTTATTTGTTAATTTTCTGTTTCCTTTGATAACTGTGTCAAAAAAATGTATTATTTTAACTAGGTAAAGAATGAAAATAGTATATTAAAAAACAAGTGTTACAAATGCACGAGTATCACAATGAGAGGTTGTAACACGCGTTTTTTATACTATTTTCTCTATTAAGCGCTTTTTAAATTAAATTTATTATTATATTTGATAGTGGTATTGCATAAAATGTCGCCAAAAACAGTGTCACAAAATGCTCATTGTAACACCAAAATACAGTGCGATCAAAAAGTTTTTCTATCAAGTAGGCGTACTAGTTGAGGACGTATGTCGCTTGGAAGTTTGTATGTCAGCTAGATGTCGAAAAATTATTTTATAAAAATGAAAATATTGATCTAAACAAATTGAATTACTGTATGAAACGTCTTAAAACACTCTAAAATAAGATGTAGTTGGAATTTATTCATACAAATCGTTCACCACGATTTGTTGTTACAGCTTACAAAAAAAATATTTTGACATTTCCTATTTACCTTTGTGACATTTTATCTTCCGCAGACACACGTTTTAAATTTCTAGGCTTGCTTGATAGATCAACTTTTTGATCGCACTGTAGAAAAAATGACTTACTCTACTCGCGGCGCCTTTTTTGAATTAACCTAAGTCAGAGCAAGCAAATAATAAATAAGAATACTTATTACAAAATATGTTCCAAAAAAGTATAAAATAAAATGCCAGGAATATTATACCAACCAACTTACAACTTAATACGTTATTGAAAAAAGCTATTCATTTTATTATTCATTCATTATTTTAAGGATGTGACCAAAAAAATTATGCAAGCTTTAAAATTGTTTTTATTTAGAAAAAGAATGTTCATGAAATTTAATTTTTTTATTTAGTTGATTACCTATACTTAACTGAACTTTTATGTTATGGTATCTCTTTTTGAAGGATTTAAATAAAAGTACCTTTTTTACAACTCAATTTTTATTATACACACCATAAACACGATACAAATTAATAAAATGTTAATAACGGTTAAATAAACTCTGAAATCACTCTCAAACTGTTTAATATTTAGAAGCGGGTAAATCCTTCTCAAACAACACTTCAAAATTGACTTCATTTTGGTCCAACTGCTCAATCAGTGACGTTTTTGCGAAAGCATACCCCGGTGGGTACACCCCACCACCGGGTGGCATTTTATCAGTCTCAGTAATAACAGTTAAGGCAGCAAGCACCAAGCAAACACACGTAGCCCCATAACCTGGATTTTTTCCTTTAACTTTAGCCGCAATTGCTTTATTTGGAGGCGTGGTATATTCATCGTTTGCATCTGGAAGAGTTTCCTTCCAACCTTCTCCATACAAAGTGACACTAAAACGGGCCTTTGCAATTCTCTCCTCGCTGGGCGGATCGCGACTGAAGAATCCAAAACTGAACTTTTCCGGGTACTTAAACAAAACAAAAACATTTTTTATCGTAATCTAAAAACACAGGTGTTTTTACCTTAAGCAAGAGATTTCGGCCAAACTCGAATTTCGCTAAAATCGAAAAAATCAAGCCCAGAATCATCATTCCTATAACACTCATAAATGATTTTAGAATGAAATAAGTTTCGACTTGAACTGGTCGTTTGGAGTCTTTTTCGTAGAAAAGACGTTGTGTGCGTCGGATAACCGACTTATCAGACCCCAAAAATGGCAGAACCCAACCTTCCACCAAATCGTTTTTATGTGGAACGGTTCTACGAAAAAAAAACTGTATAAACCCCCTTTACAAGCTAAATCCATACTTTAACGGCAATTTCGGCTTAAAACTCGGTAATCTAGTCGGAAATAACTGTGTCCTCAAAGTCCTCAATTCATTAGCAAAACCTAAACCATAAACAGCGGATTCCCAAGTCCCATAATTAACCGCTGATCCTGCAGTTGCCCCATCTTCCTCCCACGCTTCCATAAAGGTAGTAACGGAGTTCAATGTCCCGTTAAACTTCTTTTGCAAGAAAATTACCCCTAAATCGGATGGTATACTGTCAAAACCGCAAGCGCTGATTATATAAATCCCTTTTTCTTGGGCCTTTGAGTGATATTTCAATTGCATTGTTTCCATGTATTGGGGCTCTCCGCTGACATCGACATGGTGGGTGCCCTCTTCGACACACGCCTTGACGACCGGCTCCCCGAAAAAGCGATAAGGCCCGCAACAATTTATAATAATCCGGGCCTTGCGAGCCATTTCCCTTAAGGTTTCTTCGTCTTGCACGTTGGCAACGATAATTGGGACTTTCTCAAGGGAAGTCCCTAATAAATCAATTAAGATTTTGGATCGGTGGAAAAATCACTTACCTGTTTGTTTCTCGCACTGGCCTAGAAATTCTTTCAGTTTTTGCTCGGAACGGCCAGCCACGCCCCATTTCAATTGCAGCTTTTTTGAAAATTTTTCAATCAAAGGGAGACAATGTTTTCCAGTAAAACCGGTCGCCCCAAAGACTATTACGTCTAAATCTCGTGTCATTTTCGACTGGAAAATCGTAGAAAGTTCTATTTGTAATGCGTGAAGTAATTTATGTGCTGTTAAAGCACGTAAATATTTAAGACATAAAATAGGTCGACGCGTGGGGGATTTTGGAGCAAATATGGGGCGGATTGAGGAAAAAATTAGTTTTGCAGACATACAAATTGCTATCTTATCTTACCATTACTTGTAATTGAAAGTTTTAATTAAAAAAAAAGAAACGAAATAATGGAAAGGTTGGTAAATTTAGAACACTCCACGAATCAATCCGGTTGTGCAATAGTGATACAAAAATAGATGAGTAATGTATACAAGTACTACTCGATCAAAAGACGTTCCTAAGGTTAAAAATTACTGCGTTTTTATGCAACCTTCAAATTGATTTTTATCAACTTTACTTCATGACAACATAAACTCGATACATGTGTAAATTACATTTTTTGAGAACCTTGTAATTAAAGCTTGTGTCTATTGTCATTATGAGTAAAAAACAACAGGAACAATTACACTTTTTATAACCTTACACTACATAAATAAAAATACTCTTTAATTAGCGCAATTAAATAATGAATAGAATTACCCAACAACGGTACAAAATTTGAATATTAAAAAACCGCTTTGTAAGGAAAAACTTACTCAGTAATGCAGAAAAACAAGTTTTAACACTTTTCAACCGAAAGAATGTAGAACATGAATTACAAAAATGCCGGTGACAGATGACAGCTGTCAAATTAAAACAACATAGCGGACTTTACCGAACTTGACCGAAGTGATTTCTAGGGGGATTTTTAAAGAATACACACATTTGTACTTTATTTTTTATTTAGTTACCAAAACGTCACATTATCAAAAATAGGTGAGGCCTTAATTGGCAATTATACACATCTAAAAATATTTAGATTTTTATTTGAACCACTTTTTGTTCTTAGATTCATCTAGTTAGCTGTGCGCAAATATTTCAATTGTTATTTTTGTGCTTCCTTTGATAACTGCAACACAAAATCGGTTATTTTAGTTAAGTAAAATGTGACAAAAAGACTCACTCTATGGCTCTGTACAATTGTATAAGTTGTGTCAAGCCAACAAAAACATTGACACTGAACAAACTATAATTTTTTGGGATGATAACTAAAGAATATCTTGACCATATGACTCCCGTAGCTGCTAAAGCTGCACTTTGGGATACACTCAACGTTTCCGCAGGCCTCGCCAAATCACCAATTCCTGCTATCACCAAACCCTTGAGAAAACATGAATCATGACTTGCATTTATTTACCAAAATCCGGATTTACTCACCCATTTGAAGACAGGTGCCCAAAAAAATATAGTCTTAGGACCTAAAATTACCGTATGTTGGAGGTGTTTATAAATTCGGATATATTTACCTGCAGGATGTTGCCATAAGGGTTGAAATTTCTGGGGTACGACTTTGTCAAGCGCTAACATTGATTTGTGGTAAAGTTGCGACATTTCGCTATGGTTTTTGATAAGGTGGTAGATGGAATTGTGAATCCTTTAGTCTAATTTGATAATCTAATTCAAATATCACGTCATTGTCAATGTCATTTGTTAACAGGTTATTCAACAAGTCAAGAAAGTCAATTGTTGGGGGAATTTCGAACCGGTTGGCAACGCTGGAATTGCATAGTTGAGCGGCAGTGGCGTAACAAACAATCGGGAAATTGTGTAAATGGCAAATAAAAAAATAGTTCCAATTTTTTTTACATCAATTGATAGTTTTTTTTAAGTTGCTTTGGTTATTTAATTGCGAATTTACTTGAAAATAATTTTTAATCTTATTGATTTTTTCATGAATAAATTCCGTCATTTTTTCTGGCATTTTATTATAAAATGTAAATTCAATTGTAGCGTTGAGCGAAATTCGACTAATATTTGCGGGCAAAAAGCTCCTTCTTATGAATATGCAAACTAGTTATACGTGGGTGAGAGTGTGTGAATATTTACACATTTTACATGGAGGGTAGTGGAAAATCTCGCTTGTCGGCACCTAACCTACCCGAACAGCTCATTTGCATGTGATTTTAACAATGCCCCGAGCTTAATTTTAATGTGATTAAGCTCGAACAAAACCGCATACGTCAACAATCACTGTCCGCATTTAACGTGTTGAATTTTTTGCGTAAAAAAATCTATTTCCGTTCCAGTTTTGAAATATTGCACTTCTTTACATCCCCTCTAAAGACGAAACTTTTCCAATTTATGGCATCCCTTATAAATCACGAGCGACGGAGGAAATAATATCATTATTATATTGTCGGTGGATGACAGCAAGTATACGTTTTTGTTAAATTTATTTATGAGATTATATTTAAGCAAACAACGAGGAGACGCAACATTATTAACTTGCGAGGATTGATCCGCTTTATCCCAATTTCCAAACTCCGGGAGAGTCTCGAGGGACTCGATTTCTTGACGCGATCGCTTCCAGTTTTAATTTATTACGAATATTATTTAAAGTAGAGAGTCATTTTTGAAATTGCACCGCAAAAGGCTCATTTGTAATGGTAATGATGTAAAAGTTACTCCGACAAATGCCAGATATTTGTCTTAATTTCAGAGGCGGAAATTAAACACTATTTGTGATATTTACATATTTTTATTATACTTATATACATCATACGACTCTAAATAATTACCTAAATTTAAATATTTGACTAGTTTAACTCTCATCGTGCACTGCCACAACTTCTAAAGTAGGACTCCCGACTGATTCCGTTTCCATTAAATTATTTTCTTCTGTTAAACGTTTCGGTTGAGGTTTCGCGTGATTCATATAATCGACAACTAACTCTAATCCAATCAAAGCCCTCAAATCCTTGACTCTCTTTTCTTTTTCTTCTTCAGTTTCATTATCATTCTCTTCATTCTTCACGTACTTCTGTGCTTCCTCATTCACATTCTTATAAATATTACTGATATTATTCATAATATAGCTTGTCCCAATTTTATTTGAAGTCTTCTCAAACCCCATCGACTTGACATCAAATTTAATATTTTTTGTTTCTTGTCTATTGTAATCGTCCCCGTGACTCAAATTAATCGGACCGGTTCGGTTTAACCTCGGAGTGGGGACTGAAAACGCTGAGGCATGCCTCGATGGTTTAAATTGATCGGTTTTAACCGAAACCTTCCGGTTTTCGTCCTCCTGTCCAGACGAAGTTTCTTCTCTTTGGTTCTTTCGGTCGTAAATATGTCCCGAAACTCTCAAGTCAATGAAAAAATGGAGAGGGTCAATCCCATATGGAGCACTCGTGGGATACAATGGAGGATACCAAATGGGTGGAGGCGGTGGGAGTATTAACCCAGAAGGGCTGGTTTCTTGTGCTAGGGCTGGGTAAATCGGTTCTTGGTCTTGCAAAGTACTGGTACTATAACTTTTCGTGCTTTTATCGTCATTGTCGAGGGTTGGGAGTTTAGTTGTAAGTTCGAGTGGAGTTTCATTGGGTTTGTGTTCGGGAAAAGGAAAATTTTGTTCAAGTTTTGGTGAATTGTCGGTTTTTAGGGTGGACCAAGGGCGTTTACGGGTCCTTCGGGGTTGGAAATTCCGGGGTGAGGGGTCGGATTTGGCCTGGACGAAGGAACGGAGCATTTCGCTGAAGAAGTAAGTGTTGGGAAGTAAAGACATGTTGTATAAGTAAGGAGGGGTTGCGGCTAATAGGCGGGACACTAAGTCGGTGTTGCGAAATTCAAGGGGGGAAAGTCGGGGCTTGGGGGGAGGGGCGAGTTGCTCATTAACGGAGGACATCTGAAAATAAATAAAGTTTTGTTAAGTCATTTTTCAGTTAAAAATTCGATTGAGTTATATTAGTGAGAGAATCAGGGGGATTAGGAAGCAATTAATTCGGATTTAATACGGTCTTGGCGTCATTTTACAAGGGGTTGGGATTAAGAGAATTGCTCGATCTAGACGACGATGATTATCTTAGACAATACACTCGATCCCAATGTCTTATTAGTGAGAGGTATGGGAAAGACACTGATTTATAGCGATTAAAACCATTTATTATCCCTCATTCCTGAATTTTTAAATTTATCGTTTGAATCAAATTAGTAATTAATTATCTCGCGCTAATTATTTTCGCAACAGAAAAGCGGAATCGAGAGAATAAATAAGTGGGTGAAAAAATCAGTTTCAAATTCTTTCCATCTGCATTCATCAAAAAAGTTTAAAACTTCAAATTGAGTCTTGATTTGCAAATTGCTAAATGAAAAAATTCCCAACTAAAGCCATAGGCGAAGTTTGCGATAACGAAAGGAGGTGGTGCATTGCTATGGCGATGCTGTTGGTGATTGTTTCCAAAGCCATTGTCTGAGACCGCTCCCGACATGCACAATACTCGTCTCAGCTATTGTAATCAACGGCACACCACATCCCGATGGACTCCTATCGCCTTGCCACCGCCACTACTTCCGTGAACTCTGGACTCCGCGTCGGAAACGCGACCCTATTGTTCAACAAATGTAGGCTAATGAAATCGAGCTTTTCACACAAAATTCGCAACCAAAACATCGAAAATATTCCAGAGTTTCAAATCATAAACACAATTTCGCTGTTTCCATTTACAGTTATAAAAATTTCTGATGTTTTTTCAATTCACGCGAAATTATCCACCACCAATTTGAAAAAATCGAAAACTTAAAATTGGACTCACTGATGTTTTTGCACTTCTAGAGGCCTTATTATAATAGATACTTGATTATTTTTTTAAAATTAGTTACACAGGGTGATTCAAAAGTATCGGACCAAGTCTCGAATGGCGATAGAAGACTCAGCTAAGCATGAATGCAGTTTTTCTTTCAAGCTCTTTTACTGAGAAAAAAACAGAACTGACAAATTCTATATTTTCATGTAGACACCTTAACTTTTTTTCAGATATCGTCGGATTTGTTGAACAGTTGAACTTGCTAGTTTGTACAACATAAGACACAAATTGGTGATTTTTTTCAACAGGTATCTGTTTAATGTTACAAGATTTGTCGTTTTGACGAACTAAATTCAAGAATACATGATCTGAAGTCTGAACGGGCAAAAATATAACACAAAATTCGCAACTAAAACATCGAAAATATTCCAGAGTTTCAAATCATTAACATAATTTCATTGTTTCCATTTACAGTTATAAGAATTTTTAATGTTTTTTTCAATTCACGCGAAATTATCCACCAATTTGAAAAAATCGAAAACTTAAAATTGGACTCACTGATGTTTTTGCACTTCTAGTGGCCTTATTATAATAGATACTTGATTATTTTTTTTAAAATTAGTTACACAGGGTGATCCAAAAGTATCGGACCAAGTCTCGAATGGCGATAGAAGACTGAGCTAAGCATGAATGCAACTTTTCTTTCAAGCGTTTTTACTGGAAAAAAAAAACAGAACTGACAATTTCCATATTCCACCTTAGTTTTTTTCTTTCAGATATCGTCGGAGTTGTTGAACTTGCTAGTTTGTTCAACATAAGACGCAACATAAGACACAAATTGTTTTTTTTTCAACTGTTTAATGTTACAAGATTTGCCGTTTTCACGAACTAAATTCAAAATTCAAATTCATGATCTGAACGGCCAAAAACTTAATCCAAAGATCTAACCTTTAAAGAGCTATACCAGGGTGCACCAGAACTCGCCCTTCTTAGAAAAATGCAATTGTAGGTAAGATATCAGGAACATGGAAACAATGTTAAAAAAATTCTATCTATAAAAATTTCCAAGTTATGAGAATTTAAATTTTGCACTTTGACTCTATTTATTTCTGTTGGAATTTTCCAAGGAAGCTGTATCCTAAATTGTAACTCTGTTTAATGTTATTTATGGCTTTTATTTGCATTTTTTTTACCTTTATTTAATAATTATAAAAAAAAAACATATATCGAGTGATCAAATCGAGTCATCTTTGGATTGGAAAACGTATGTCTGTTTGTGAATTAACTGCACGTGAAACGTCAAATAATATGTCAAAAAATCAAAAAGTAAAACGGCAAAATTAGTTGGAATAATGATAATAGGACCATTTTTTTTGAAAGTAAATTATAAAGTTAGTTAATAAAATTACCATCTTTTTGTTCATGCCATTTTATCTTTCGACTTGTCATTTTTTTTGACATTTCACAGACACACGTTTTCGGATCCAAGAATGACTCAATTACAAATTGTCTTGATCTCTTGATACAAGATTATTAGTATCATTAAATAAGAGAAAATCAGTCGCCAATAGATAATACTGACCATTTGAGTAATTTGCAGTGGATAAATGTTCCAGATGTCTCCTTTCCGATTTTGACAGAATTTTGTGACAACTTAAAAGTTTTATTTAATCTGTCACCTAACGTTTTGTAGGAGTATTTTGTTATTTAAAATAATAATGCCAAAAGTTGAAACCTTCATTTTAGAAAATAATGCATAGTTTCTGCAATGAAGTAGAGAGCGAAAACGCTTGCAAGTACTCATATTTACATTGACTTGTCAATTTGTTTAAAACTGACATTGTTAAAATATGTTTTGCCCATTTGGATAGTTTCAAGCCTGACACCAGAGGCCAGCTACTTTGCTGATTTTCTTCTATAGACATAAAAAAATGTCAAATGTCAAAAAATAAATGTCGAAATTTTTGAACAGATAGAATTTTTTAAACATTTTTTCCATCTTCCTTGTATCTATCTTACTTGAAATTTTTCTCTGGGCACGAGTTCTGACACAGCCTGTATCTCGTAAAAAAAGGTTCAAGCAATTTTTTGTCATGGAAACTTTTTTAACTCATTTGGATGATAATTGTTGTTTGAATTTTTTATTTGAAATGATACAAAATAAAAATATTCAGTCTGTTTGCATTGATTATAACGGGTGCTTTTAAATTTGGCGTTATAGTTGATAAGGTGGCAAATGTCAGAATACCTAATAACTTTCAATACGATGGTTCGTTCACAATCGAACTTTTATGTATAGCTTTGACGCCAAATTTAAAAAAAATAGCGGATACTATCTTTCAGATTAATTTGATAAGAACACTGCGTCGATTGGGGCCGCTATATTAAAATCTCTAAAACTCCAAAGAACGTAATAACCCTTTACAAGCTGTCGCGGATCGAAGTAATAAGTTTGTGAGGAGTATTCCAGGGGTGCAGGTGTTTGACGAGGGAATTGTCTTTGTAAAGAAATTTTCCAAAGTCTCATGGATCGCAATTTAAGCGGGCTAATGTTAAGCTGCTTATCGCCGTTATATTTTCAGTGAGCGGTTCCTTAACAATTAAATGGTCGCTTATCCGCAGCTTTGAGGATCCGCACGGTAATACGTTGGCATGCACTAAACGCTCATCAAACTTAATAATCTTTTGTGGGCAAAGCTTTTGTATGATTCGGGCGCATCGCTAGCAGATTTAGCGACATCCGGGACGTTTCCAGGACGCCTGCATTGTGCTACTCTCTTAGACTGGAAGAGCTTAGTGTAATTGCAAAGAAATATTTGGGAGACGAGATAGAAATGATTCACGCCAAATTTTTAACATACACAAATTTCGAACCGAAAAAATCAAAACTGAATTAGTTTTCAAATGAACAAAATTACAATTCAAGTCGCTATCTATAAAATATTAGGATTTTATTTTTGGTTTCATTTTTAGGATTGAATGCTGGCACGGAATTAACTGAACGATTCGAATGTTTTGATTTATGTATGAAACTAAAAGCTAAACAAAGCCGTTTGATTGAGCTAAAATTAACCAAAGTAAAATAAAATGTGAGTTCTCTATTTGCAATTGCAGCTTTAATTTAAAATATACAGGATGTGCAAGTTGAAAAAGCCCATTAGTGATTTTTAAATGCTAAAATTAAAAAAAAATATTGTATAGGACAATGATAGCTGCATCACCTAAAATTATTGTCAACCATACAGCATGTTCCAAAAATAAGTTACGATTTCTTGGCATTTTTGGATGTAGTCTTTTAAAACACTGTTTTTACGCTAAACTTTTATTAGTCGATTTCGCTTAGTTTAAGAAATAAGAAGTTTTTTTTTTGACAAAAACATGGACTTTTTACAAATTTATTACACAAAATCTAAGACAGCTAGAACAAATTTTTTCTTACTTCTGCAAACACGAAAGTACAGAACTTAAAGTTGTAACAATTTTTTAGTGTTTTGCATTTGTAAAGATTAATAAATTAATAAGTTTGTTAAAAGTTAAATAACTTCAAAAAATTAAATGGAACACCCTATTTTTTATTTTTGCATCTAATAGATTCATAAATTGTTTGTCTAAAAAAATTAACTTTTAATGTCTAGAATTAATAAATGAAAAGATATTTAACATTAAATATTAATTGTAACAACAATGCTTATCAATATCTGGGCATTGTTGATACTATAGCAACCGTAGTAATTCCATCACAAATCACTTATCCGTTGATTTATCCAGAGTTTGTAAAAGTCGTTATAAATACTGAAATTTGGATTATTGTATTGTAAAAATAAAAAATAATGGATTCAATTTAACACAAATGCGATTATTAAGTGATACTTCTTCTATCTCTTGTGCAACTGTGCACTTTTTGGCTACTGAAACAATAGTAATTTTTTTTAATGTTTAACGTTAAATATCTTTTTAGTTATTGGTTATAAACACCTAAAAGTAAATAATTTTAGAAAGACAGTTAATAATCTTTTACATGCGAAACAATAAATAGGGTGTTCCACTAAATTTTTTTAAGTTATTGAATTTTTAACAAACGCCTTCATTTTTTTATCTTTGCAAATGCAACACACTAAAAAAATGTTACAACCTTATAGCTTATACCTTCTTCTTTGGGGTAGTAAAAAATATTTCCAGATGTCTTAGTTTTTGTGTAATAAATTTTTTAAAAGTGCATGTTTTCGTCAAAAAAATCGTCTTATTTTTAAAACTAAGCAAAATCGACCAATAAAAGTTTAGCTAAAAACATTGTCATAGAAATCTACATCTAAAAACGTTAAGAAACATATGGTGTTTTATTTAAAAAAACACAAGTTTGTATTGTAACAAATTTTTGAGACACGGTGTATAGTTGAAAATACTTTTAGGCGATGATGATAGATTAATATCTGTCAATGTCCTATACAGGGTGCGCCAGAACTCGCACCCCAGAGAAAAATGCCATATAAGGCATATAAGGAACACGGAAAAAATGTTAAAAAAAATTATCTATAAAAATTTCGAAGTTATGAGAGTTTAAATTCTGCACTTTAACCTTATTTATTCCTGTTGCAAAAATATTTTTTTAATTTTTTTGCTACAGATTATTAGAAAAGGAAACAAGGAAGCTGTATCCTAAATTATAACTCTGTTCAATGTTATTTGTGGCTTTTATAAGCAAAATTTTTGTCCCTTTACTAAATAATTGTAAAAAAAACATATACAAGAACATCATTATCATTAAATAGACAAAAAATGTCAAATGTCAAAAAAATAAATGTCAAAATTTTTTGGCAGATAAAATTTTTTAAACATTTTTTCCATGTTTTCCATGGCATCTTATCTTACTTGAAATTTTTCTCTGGGGCGCGAGTTCTGGCGCACCCTGTATATATTTTTTTAAATTCTACAATTTAAGGGTCACTAATGGATTTTGTATTAATTGTTTTTTATTTAAATGTAGTTAAAAAATCAGTTTATCAAATTTATTTTTATGTTAAAAATTGGTGGATGCGCTGGGACTTTCAAACTACTTTAGTGATTTGTTTAATTTTTGTTCTTTGTTGGTTGGTATTAGTGGCATATTTGTCGAATTAATTAAATTAGAATCGGGTTATTGTTTACCCCATCTCGAAGACGCTCGTTCTCAAGACAAAGATTCCGACAATATGGAGACGCACATTAATTAAACATTGTTAGATTGTAATTAGTCTGACTGATGATTGTTTGCTCGGTTGCGCAGCACGAGTGTCGAAACTTTCCTTACACTTGTCTCCTCCAGCCCCTTGAATAAGACAAATTATCGGTGTGGTAAGTTCCGAAAACAATAAAAAAGCCGTTTGAACGAAACTGCGCTACTTTTTTAATTTAATACAGTTGCTCATTAAAAGTTGGTCTTATTGCGGCGGAGTTTGTGTGTGTTGCGGCAGTCGTAAAACCAGCTAATAAACTTTGTTTTCATCAAGAATTTATTTGCATTTGGCGGTTCCATTTTATTAAAGCATTATAAAGTTTAGTCAGCGCGGGTTGATGTTGAAGACAATCTGTCAAATTAAAGTTGGTCGCGTCAATAACAGAGAGAAATCGGAGAAGCGACAAGGAAGTTGGCACGGCTCAATTCACGATGCAAATTGGGGAACATCTCCCCTAAATGATTTTAAAGTAAGCTGAGAGATTTAAAAGGATTTTATTAGAACGCTGCTGAGATCTGAGTGTGTTTTCTTGTACGGCCGACTGCCGGCTGAGACGTTGTCTATTTTTATGCCGTTTTTATGTAGAGTTTCCCTCACCTGCAGCGCCAAATTTACCAATTTCGGTAAACATTAGACTCCACTTTAAGCAACAGTGAAAGGGTTCACTCAGTCAAGTAGATATTTTTGATTTTAGCAAATAAACACTAAAAAATTTTTTTGATTGTTCATTTTCTACCAAAAAGTTTAATTACAATTTCTTGTATTTGTTAGTAAATTTATTTCAAAGAAGTGTTAAAGAAAAAAATGAGTACGTATTTTTTCATAAAATTTTATGTACTATAATAATTGTTCTTTGATAACTTAAATTAAATTAGCAAAAAATTGAGTTTACTTGTTAGTGAATATTAACAAGCTTTGATAAATTAAAAGATTTTTGTGGAAACTAACAGCTACTGCGTCTTTTATTAAACACGAGTTCTAATAGTCTGTAGCAAAAAAATTTGAAAAATTATTTTTCCAACAGAAATAAATAGAGTCAAAGTGCAAACTTTAAACTCTCATAACAGTCATAACTTTGAAATTTTGGTAGAAATTTTTTTTTTAACATTTTTTCCATGTCCCTGGTATCTTACCTTATACGGCATTTTTCTCTGGGGCGCGAGTTCTGGCGCACTCTGTATATTTAGAATTTCTCTCATTTGAAATGGAATTTCCATATAAAAAAAAATATTGAATGTATGTAATTAAATTCAAATGATATTTTAATATTTCAATTGACAGCCGTCACTGTTGACAGAACTAGATTTAAAAAGAGTAGAGTGGCAAGAAATTCTATAGGTGACTAGTTCAACTAGTCATGATTTTCAAATCATTTTAAAACACACTGTAGATATAAGACAATAATATAATAATTATCAAATTTTATTTTTAAAAAATTACAAAATTCTTTCAGATTACCAATTTACTAATTGGTTTTTGAAACAAAACTGTTTAAAACATTTAAATTTAGTAATAGTACTTTAAATTAAATTGTATATGTAATTGCTTTTTTAGGGCAAAGATAATTTGAAAAAAATGTTATTCTTAGGAAGTGAAAAATATGATAAACATTCATAATGTTTTATAATTAAAATTTGTTAAAAGTTTTTGGAAGGCTTTTTTTAATAGGTTTGAGGTCTTTTTATGTTTATTACGTATTAGACAGTTATCGAATACATATTTATATTTTTTGCTAAAAATCATATTAATAAAAACCAAATCTGAAAACATACCATTATAAGAATATTATATCAATTTTTAAAAATAAATTAAACTTCCAGATTTACTAATTTACTCATTAGAAATGGATTAGAACTGAGACAACGTTATTTTTCTTGGTTTCTTGTTTTTTTTTAATTTTTATTTTATTTTACTTATTTCAATTTTAAATTTCTTAAATGTCAAAATATCACTTTTCTTCGAAAATGTGTTCTAGTTAAAAAAATAAAATACTCTTTTACATTACTAATTTATTAATTGGGAATTGATCAGAGCAAAGTCAATGTTACGTATTTGTTAGTGTTTCCTGAGTAAAAAAAATTTTTTCTTTTAAATTTTAGTAATAGAATATAAATTTTTTTTCAGTTAAAAAATATATTTGTATGTTCAGAACGAGCTCAAAATCACTTATCGTTTCTTGACAGGCATTAATTATAAATCTAAATAATTGAAACATTAAAATATTATTACTGTTATTGCCATTTATTTGTTATTTTAATTTCTTTAATGTTCTTTATAATTATTTGTTAAGAAATTGAATAGTTTAAAAATGTTTTTATTTTTGTGGATTATTCCTATTATTTATTTTTATTTATGAAAATGTTATTTTTTAATTAGCAAAAATGGTAATAAATAATGTTGTAATTGGATCATAAAATACGGTTGTCATGTCGTGGCATATGGTTTGTGGTCAACGTTTATTGTTCTTCTATGGGGTAAAATCATCCCCACATGTAATACAACAACTTTACTTCCGCCAGTTGTATTCAATCTACATTCAAAGTTAATTCGTCACCCTCACCTAAGTCATGACGAACTATAATTGCTCAAAAAACACACAATATTGGATTTGGTGAGGGTAACAACCGATGGTTTACTTCACTTATTTTTAGACAGACCAGAAAAAAGTAAAATCCAAAAATAGGTAATTCGTACGATTACTAACAAAAACAAACACGAAACAAATTTTCCAAATATGTAATCATTAAGCTATTCAAAAAATTTCAGTAAGTAACACAAAAATTTAGAAAATTGGATTAATTCAAATTATAGAAAACATCTAATAATTAAAATTTTCTCACCTTAAGTGTCTTTTTTTTAAATAAGTTTCACAGTGAGAAATAGCCACTGTACCACTCACTCTTCGCGTCTTCGGCGTCGCGACGCTGCCAAGCAAAGACCACGTGCTGGCTCAGTGACAGCCCGGCACGCAATGAGGGGCGTTAAATGCGATAATAATGACGAGGGTGGGGCAGTGGTGCACGTGGGGCGGTTTCCACAGGTGACAGCACCCTTTTGCGACACCCACACATGGATTTTTCAATGGTAATTGTCATTCGATAAGTCCGCCGTTCGCTGATTTATTCCTAACGCTCCGATGAAGACGTTGCTTGAATTTGTTCGGATTTTACAAGACACAATGAGCACCGTGTTATCTCATTTACATATCGCATCACATAGCGCGGAATGGAACAGATAGAGATACAAAGAGTTGGGGTGTTAGCTGTGATCATCATCCCCGCAATCTGCGCCGAGCACTCATGTGGCGTTCAGCTGTCTATCAACGTCTACCACCCCCTTCCACAATTGTTAAAGCATTATCCAAAAGCAGGATATGACTCCTTGAGAGAATTTGCAATAATTAGCCGAAATTACCAACAAACACCGATTTCTCCCAAATAAAAATAAAACAAAACAAGAAAAAGCCTTTCCTGGAGCGACACCACATACCAGAACATAGCGATCACAATCTACACTTTTTATATTTCTCCATAAAAAGTAAATTAAAATAGCAACAGGTAACAATGTTCAACTAGCTAAAAAAACCCTCAAAAATTTGGAACTGAAGAAATAGAGATGAAAAGTTAAGTTTTGCTTACATGATTTTTTAAATTTAAAATTTGTAGGTAGACAATTGATTTGAATTAAATATTTTGATTAATTAATAACAAAACAATTAAGCGATCAACTCATAATTTTGGAATGTTAGGACATCTTGTAGAAAGAATAAATTCTATATCAAAGAGGCCTGTGACTTTGAAATTAAGTTGGCAACTCGGTTGGCAACTAGTTGACAACTTGTGAATTTCTATATACAAATTCAATTTATGTTTTTTTTTCAGTTGTGCCAACTTAATATCAAACTCACATGTTACTTTGATTAAATCTAAATGAAATCTAATTAAGTCTTATTGAACACATGGTGTTTTAATAGGTATACAAGGTGATTCTTTTAGGGCCTACATTAGATACTTTTTAACTTCTAATTCAAATAGGAATTTGGAATTTTGTACACAACCCAAATCGACCAGTCTGAGTTCAAATAAATTATTTGAAAAAATATAGCTGAACTTCCGAAACTACGAGAAATTGGCGCCAACTTTGAAATTTTAAATGGTAACTACTTATTTTTATTGCATTTTTGAATTCCCCTCTTTAAACTGAGTAAAATGTAGCTAGTTGTTAGTACTTATCTGTCACAGTTTTTGACATATGTCAATTTTTTGGTTAAAATTTTTATTTGCAGGGGTTTATTCAAAACATCACAGCTCTTGAACCCTTTCTGATAAGTGAATATTTTTTTTGCATTCGATAACCAAAGGTTCGAAAAGTTTTCTAGATTTTTTAAAATTGTCAACTGTCAAATTGCAATGCTAGTATGATTTTTTTGAAAATGATCATTAACAAACAGCTATAACTCAGTTTTTTCAAATGAAATGACTCTATTTTCTCAACGGCAATCAATATAATTAATTAAGAATAGGAGCTCTAAATAAACAATACTGTAAAATAAATAAATCATGGGATAAATGCATCTTGCATCGATTCGATAAACCTATTTAAAATCGTCAATCCTGATTGTTTCTGTGTTGCTTCATACAGTATGTCCCCGAATTGGGTTTACAAGAGAAAAAAAATTATCTTTGATTTTACCCCAAAACTGCAAAGAAAAAACATTTTTTGCTTTAGCTGAAACGAGCAAATCTGTAATTAAAACTTCATTATTCTAACTCAGTAAAAAGAAAAGTCCGTTTTTTTTCTTGATTTTGGACCCATCACATTGGCGGTTTTATTTTTTTGACAATGAGTTTTCGCAAGTTAAATAACAAAATGTTTGTGAAAAACATAATTTTGATAAATAGCAACTCAAAAAACACCTTTAAAATAAAATAAAAGTTATTTTTAACAAAAACTATCATTATTTAATTAATAAATTAATTGTCAAAGAGAGATAGAGTTGTCAAATAAATAAAACTGCTAATGTGATAGGACTTAAGAAGCAGAGAAAAATCCAAAATCAAAAGAAAAATTAACTTTTCTTTTCACCGAATCAGAATAATAAAGTTTTAATTACAGATTTGCTCGTTTCAGGTAAAGCAAAACATGTTTTTCCTTTGCAGTTTTGGCCTAAAATGAAAAATTTTTTTTTTGCAAACTTGTAAACTCAATCCGGGGACATACCTACTGTATATATATATTTATTTTTTATTTATTACTTATTTACTTGAAAAATGTTTCCAAAAATTTGAAAAATAAGTAAGAGTTGGGAGTTTATTGTATTGAATTAAAGCTGAAATCATAGAAACGATTATTATTTCTGATTGTTAGCGATGAGGAATATTTGAGAAAAAGTGTGAGAAATAATAATTTGCATATAAAGTCCTCTCAAAATGTAAATTTCAATCCGAAGTGTTCGTTACATAGAGCATAGATCCAGTGTTTAAAATGCAAGTTCTCTTTGTAAAAAACTTATAAAAGTGCCAAGTCAAGAGAGTATAAAGCTGGAGTGGTGGTGATGAAGCCCCTAGGGCGCCTCGTCGTCAAAATTTGATCACAGAATCGTCCTCGGCTCGTTCGAAATGAACAATAATGAAATTAATAGAAAATTTAAAATGTGTTCGGTATGTATATTACATTTTGTTAAAATTAATAATTGATAGAGCGATATGAAATCGCTGTCGACACAAAAACAAACTCAGCGGTTTGTCGGATGAATTATGAGTTGGAAAGTGCAACAATGTCAATATAAAGAGTGTCGTTGTGTGCTGGATGATCATATTGAATTGGTGATTGGCAGGGAGTTTGGGGGACAGGGGGGGTTAATTCGGGGTGAGATTTCATTTCATATTTGCGCGGATGCAAGGGAGAGGGAGAAAAGGCCACGCATTGTGATAATGAGCCCGTAAGGGGCAACCCGCGTCAATAACACTTGCGGTTTTATATATGTTACTGGAGAGATTATTACATTGCGAATGTCAAGGGTGGCTAACTGGATGGGGACTTCCCAGCCAAACCAGAAGAAATATTAATTTTTTATTGTTAACACTATTAATTTTTTTTGATTTTTTGTATGATTCTGTGCCTCAACTCGCTTAAACATAAAATCGGAAATTGGATTTAAAAAATTATTGATTACATATTTGGGTAATTCCAATCCCTCAATATTGTATAAAAACACATGAAGTGTGTCACATATCGGCGTTAGCGAGGCATCCATCAGGAAACAAGCACTTTTCAAGAACAAAAACACGCCGGGGGTGGCTGGAGTCCGCTGAAACATGCAAACATCGCTCGCTCTGATTTCAATATAGCCGCATCAACCCCTTCGGGGGCGATTTTTACATTGCAGCGAATCATCCCGCTCCCACCCCCACTGCGAGCACAATAAGGATCTGTCAATTGTGGTGAGCTCGCGCCCGCTCTATTTGCCTGCCTGCTGCACGGCACTGCTATGATATCCGCGGAATCTAGGAAATGAAAAATGCATGTTCCGCATTAAAAGCTCGTTTGAGAGTATGATGGAGTATTAATAGGATACTCTGCCGCCGCTGCCACCGCCGCCGCCGTCGCCCCGTCCCCGATTTCGGCTCTGCTCGATGCGTACTACAGAATAAATGCAATGAGTGTCATCTGCATTTGGCGTTATATCCGATGCCGTTTCACTGACGTTAATTAACGACGATAAAAAACCTATTGTGGGTGTTTTACAATAGATGCTTTCAATGTACTGCACTTTCTTAAGCTTGCATGCAACGAGATATCGTCGCAAAAAATTTTGTAAAAAATTTGAAATTTTGCACTTTCTTATGCGAAACTAGCACAGAAATACGCACCATCGTAATTGGTGAGAAAAAATCTATAAAACAGTGCAGGTTCCTAAAAAAATTAATTAAAAATGCCTATTCCGGCCTACGTAATTTTTATTATTTTATAAATTTTGGCAAAACTACCATACAAACTAAAATGTTTTAAACACTTTTTATGTAAAATGTTTCAAGAATTCGATGGATGTCGAGAAAACCAAAAATAATGTAATTTAAAAGCTGTCGATAGATAAAAGTTTTACATATTTTCGCCCATTTCTGCATTTTTTTGATATGTACTAATTGTAAGACAAAGATCTTTTTTATTAGATGCAAAATAAAACAAGTTTTTTAACGGTGCTGAAATTAAGTGCTTTTCACAAATAGTTCCACAGATAAAACAACGGATTTCCATTTTACGTATCGCCAAACAATCAAAATTTCGAAATTACGCTCAAAAGCTTTTAAATCAGACCAACTAAGGGTTTTCAGAACTAGGAAAAATGGATAAAAACCGGTAAAATTTTGATTGCAGTAGGCAACCAGATATACATGAAGCTAAATATTTGAAATCTCAAACAATGACAAGCAAATTTTTACGTGTTCTTGCTATCAGCAACGTTATCAGTGACTTAAGAAATTTGTCTGGTATTATACAACCGAAAATTTTCCGTTTTTTGCAAATTGTAAGTATTATGTTTCTGATAATAAAAAATTCACTTGTAATCATAATTTTTTAAACTTCTGCTGGTGTAATATCGTTTAATGGCAAATGCAGTTCGGTTGTACAGGGTAGATTATAAAAACGTCCCAAACCATAATTATTATTTTCAAAGATATGACGCTTGTTTCACCGGAACTGACAACAATTTCAGTTTTTTAATGGAACATCCTGTGTTTTTATTATTTCTAGATTTCTTATTAAATTGTCTTTCAACAAACTCAAGAAGTTTTTATCATTAACTTTTGCTTTTAGGCAATTAAAAAATTAAATTAAATAAAGTAGGCTGTGGAAAGAACAAAACATTTTTATCCACCTATAAAGAGACTTTATTCCACACTTTAGCTGCGTATAAAGTATCACTTTATCCTCTAGTGGAATAAAGTAACATTATTCCACTGTTAGTAACCAGCGCACCGCGTAATTCCACTTAAGAAAATTAAACATTCTTGCGTGGATAAAACGCTACCTAACACACTCTTAATAAATAACTCTTATTCATTTTATCTAAGACAAGCAAACGATTGCTGACAAGAAAACTGTTCAATTTTAATCAAAGCTGAAGTATTGTAAAAGGACTGAAATTATGGCTTGGAGCGTTTTTTGTAGTCCACTTGTATAAAACTTTTTTTTGCTTCTTCTATCATTTTTTTATAAAAATAAATTGAGATTTCATTTTGTAAATAAAACTCAAATTATTGTTGAGAATTTTATTATATCATAATAAATTATTTAAAATAAAATCACTACTGCGCAATTTTTATTCGAAATCCAATTAATTAGTGAAACTGCCCTTTATTGATCTCAATTGTCATTTATAACAACAAACTGTATGAATCTAACACAAATTTAAAACATGTTTAATACCTTAATACTGGAACACTTTATACAACGCTACTGTCAAATTAATGTAGGCAATAAATAGTTTGATTTCTTAAAGAAATTATATACAGTAAAAATCTCTATAAAAGAAAACTTATATTTACACCGGCTGATGTCTACATCTCTACGATGAAGCGGCAATTTTCTCACAAATCTCATTGGTAAATTCCGAACATTTGGCTTTCCCGCCCAAATCACCCGTCAAATATTTCGCTTCTTTGATTGTTTCAAAGCAGGCATTCTCGATCCTCGTAGCGTGTTGGTTGAGATTCATATATCTCAACATCATGACGGCCGACAAAAGAAGAGCAGTAGGATTTGCCAAATCTTTTCCGGCAATATCCGGAGCAGTTCCATGAACCTGAAATTCACCAATCACAAGCCGCCAAATGGCTAACGATCAACGTACGGATTCAAACAATGCGCCATTAAGACCAATGTTGCCAGATGGTGTCAAACCTAAGCCACCTACAAGACCCGCACACATATCGGAAAGAATGTCTCCGTAGAGATTAGGCATGACCAAAACGTCATACTGGGTGGGGTCTTGCACCATGTTTAGACACACGGTATCTAGATATTTCTCCTCAAATTTCACGTCGGGATATTTCTCGGCCACTTCGCGGCAACATCGCAAGAAAAGACCATCGGACATGCGCCTACAATCATTTGTTACTTGGACCAAGGCTACTAAGACTAAGGGCTTACTTACATGATGTTGGCCTTGTGAACTGCAGTCACTTTATGTCGATTATTGTCTTTGGTGTATTGAAAGGCGAATTCTGCGACACGTCTTGAGGCATCTTCAGTAATCAACTTTATACTTTGTACAACGCCGTCTACGATTTCGTGTTCAATTCCGGAGTATTCACCTTCAGTGTTTTCTCTAATTGTGACGACGTCCACATGGTCATATAGCGTTTTATATCTAAAGTCCGAAAAAATTAAGCGTTATTTTGACACCAACAGGTGGCACTTTGTCGTAATGAATCACTATGTATATCTTCTAAATTAAATAATTATTGATAATTTTTTAAAGGTCAGACGGTCAGACGTAACTAAAGGATTATATAAACAATGAATATGAGATAAAGACTGAACTTTGATAGGGACATCCTTGTCACATGTATTGATAATTTTGAAAAAATACCAACCCTTCTAAGCTCCTGCAAGGTCTCACATTGGCATACAAGTTGAATTCTTTTCTCAAGGCTAAGTTGAGGGATCTGTGACCTTTGCCTACGGGAGTCATTAGGGGGCCCTTGAGCCCTATTTTGTTCCTGTTGACTGAATCAATGGCAGCTTGCGGGATCCCAAACTTGCCATCAGGGCCCTAACGTGGATTTTAAGAACTTTTTATATCTTTACTTATGTTAGAATTACCCTAACAGGAGTGACATCTACAGATTCCCACTCAATGGGAACATTGGCGGCAGCAAAAATTTTTTGTACGGCAGCCGAAATTTCCGGTCCTATACCATCCCCAGGAATAATGGTGCATTTTTTCACATCACCGCTGTAAAATCGGGAGCCCACTGTACGTTTGGACGCACTGGTCTGGAATTAAGACATGTGATGGGATCTAACCTCAAAATCAATTGTCAAGTTATGTAACTTACTTCGGTTTTTTCTTTTGGAATGGTTTTTTGTGTAAGGCTTTCAAGGAGTTTGCGAAGACGGGGGAAACCCCGTGTTAAGTTTTTTAAAAGCGATTTTGGGAAGTCTGACATTGTGGACAGATGGGGTTATAATAAGAGGACCATGCACGTGATAGTTGCGTTAATTTGATTAATTGATAAGGGACGAATTGATTTGATAAAGGAGACTTACGATGTTTTTCAAAATTCTGGCTGCCATGTCACGAACGTTCTATTAATATTTTGTTTTCGTACAGCGGATTTTTCAGCACCCTCCTGAACCCCGGAGTCCCGTAATCACATACTGCGCAAGCGGTGTGCGCAAATCGAAATTTTCGGTCTGATTCAAAGAAAGAAAAAATTATCAGCAATTTTGACACGCAACACAGTGGAATTATTTTTATTTTTGACATTTTTCCCAAGTATCAAATAACAAAAGCAGGTTTTTTAATTATATTAAACCATATTTTATTGTTTTTTTTTCTAAATGATTATATTTAGATATTAAATTTATTTTACTAAAATGATTTTAATTTAATTATGACTCAATAAAAAAAATAACAAATTTTAATTTAAAAATTCCAGGCTTGACTTTGACAACTATGGCACATGCGTATGTTGTGTAGTGTATTGTTAGTTGCATAATTCGAATTTTTGGAGGTTATGGGAGTAAACAAAAATATTCAGTGATTTTGTAATTATCTTGCTCAAATCGTCGAGAAAATGACGGAAGAAATGCATTTTTGGAATCCGCAAGACCAGAATTACGTCCCAAACTACTATGAAACTGATTATAATCAAATGCCGACACAACCAGGAGGTGAGACTTTGAGCCCCTTAAAACTATACTCCTCTACGTGATTTCCAGACTTTCAACCGTTTACCGACTACAGCGGTCAAATTCCTACAATCCCTGATGTGTCAAAATTCTATGATCCCCGAAATGTGGATTTTGAAGAGGAACCGCCCCTTTTGGAAGAGCTTGAAATTTATCCAGACCGAATTTTGCAAAAAATGTTAGCGGTTTTAAACCCTTTCCACAGCCACGGACTAACAGATGATGCCGATTACTTGAACAAAGATCCAGATTTGGCTGGACCAATTTTCTTTTACTTAATTTTAGCAGTTTGTTTGTTTTTGTCAGGGAATAAGGCACATTTTGGGTATATTTATGGAATATCAGTATTGTCGTGCTTGATGATGTATTGTCTATTGAGTTTAATGACCGCACAAAGTGTCTTTAATGTAACAACTGTTGCAAGTGTTTTGGGGTATAGTCTAATCCCTATTGTCGGTTTATCAGTTTTCGGGGTGTTTTTCTCTTTGAAGGGGTTATTTGGGGCGATTTTAGCTACATTGTCTGTTATGTGGTCCAGTATTTCAGCTTCAAGACTCTTTGTTGCCATTTCTGGTGACAGAGAACAGCAGCCCTTATTTGCGTATCCTTGTGCGCTAGTGTCTGCAGTTTACGTTCTTTTGGTAGTTTTTTAAGTCATTATTTATTTTTGTATGTATTTGTTAAATAAATTATTCAAGAAATACCTTGTTTTTGTGCAAAAGTCAGTTATTGTCACTAGATGTCGCTGATTTGCGAAACGTCACCGGTCATCCACTTCTGTCAAAATCCACTCGTAAAAAAGTAAACATTTTCTTTTAGACATGGCTGTGTGACTCTTAAAATTCTCCTGCTTTAAATTCTAGTGTTCCTATTTGAAGATTGACGCAAACTTTTTCATTTTCGTCCCATTTTGGTAGTCCAAAATTATAGAAATCGTGTTTTTTGTTTATTGCGTCATGACATTCAGACCTTGACATCTCATCAAGGTTTGTCGGAGGTTTATATACAAAAAAATTCTTAATATTTGCACTTGGACGTGGATGACCATAGTGAAAGTGAAATTCTGTTCTTTGATTTAATATTGTCAAGATGACGAGTGTTAGATGTGGAATTATCACAGTGGGGAAACTAGCCCAGGCTGTTCGCTCCACCAAACTGCAACAAGGTAGGGTTTTTGACGAAAATTGGATAATTCGGACCAATTCTGACCTATTATGTTGGATAGATAAGAGAGGTGCAAAAAATTATCAAGAATTGTGTCGTAGACTGATAAGTGAGTGATCAAAATAACCTCAAAAGAGGGAAAAAATCAGCTGGTGATGATTGGAATTGACTTTGGAGTTTTTCTTCTTTTTTAATAGGCTTTGCCAAAACCATAATAACAATGAAGAAGTTATTTAGTCATGCGGATTGCAATTTACATACTTTGCTTTTAGTTTTGTGGTTTTTGTAATAATATTGTATGGAAATTAAGCATTCATGAGGTCTCTTCCTTATTGGCATTTTGTCGGGGCTATTCAGTTCAAAAATTGCAATTTTTGTTGTTTTTGTATCTAGATCAAGGCTTTTGTCTTAAATTGTTAATTCCTTCTTATGCTGTTTTATAATAATTAATAATTATACAATGCACGTTGAAGTGATGCCCTTGAATGAAGTAGATTTTGTCACAATTTTCGAATATGAGGTTGAAATTTAAATTAATGTGTCTCTAATTCAGAAAAAACTTTATGCTTTCCTCGAAATCAAATTGTCAAGCCTAGTTAAACTTTCACTTGATTAGAAATTCCATTTTGAAACCCTCCTAAACCGTGAATTTAATATGAAACAATCAACATTAGGATTGCCTAGGTCAAGTCGGAATGAATAAATTTGTAAAAGCTACAAATTAATCGAATTGTCTGTAATTATAACCAAGCGTAAAAAATAACACTTTTAAATATGTAATTGTAATTCGAATGCACCTTGAAGGCCAATTATTACATAATCATAATAAATAAATTGAAGTAGGTCGTGAACCTTGAAACTAAAAACACTAATTTGACCCGACTTGAAACAAAATAAAAAACTTAAATGTTTTATTGCTTTTATTTATTTATTTCGTTTTTAGGTGTTTTATCAGCCATTTACACCAAACAACCCAACTTTTCCAAATCCCTCTCGACCTGCGTGGTCCTGTTGAAATCGGCAGGATCAGGGGATCCCCCGACTCAACCGCCGTCGAAAGATGTGTCAGGGAATGACAGTGGCGGCGGTAAAAATCGAAACACACTTTCATGTCCCAAATGTGGCGATCCTTGCACACACGTCGAGACTTTTGTTAGTTCGACGAGATTCGTAAAATGCGAAAAATGTCACCATTTTTTTGTCGTTTTGAGCGAAGTTGACAGTAAGAAGAAGGAAGGGGTGGATAATAAAGCGGGATTTTTCCGCAAACCGCCACCGCCGCCGAAGAAAATTTACGATTATTTGAATAGGCATGTCGTGGGACAAGAGCATGCCAAGAAGGTAGGTTTTGTGAATTTTTCGTTAATAAACCCGGAAATTTTTTTAAAAAATTTTTAAAATCTAGTTGGTAACACCTAAGGATTCCAAACCAGTGTTGCTAGGTCAAAATTTTTGTAATCCCTAGATTTAGTTGTCAAAAATTCCTAGAAATCCCTAGGGACTGCCAAATCCATTTAAATTTTAATTGTTTATTGGATTGCATAACAAAATAAGAATTTCAAAAAAAGTTTATTAAAACCATTTTTGATTAAACAAATATAATAAATAAAACATAACTTACACAGTTGTCCTAAAATATATTTTGAACAAACTAAATACACATTATTAATTTAATTATTAAAACAGAAACTAATAAAAAATATAATAATAATTCGTAATAATATCAAGAGATCAAGGTAATTTGTAATCGAGTCATCTTTAGTTCCAAAACGTATGTCTGATTTGAACTAATTGCACGTGAAACGTCAAATAAAATGACAAATCGAAACGGCAAAATGTGCTGGAATTAGTCGCTGGCGTATAATACTCGTAATAGGAGCATTCTTTTTTTCAAGGTAAATCATTTTAGTTAAATAATCATCTTTTTGATCATGCGATTTTACTTTTCATTTTTTTTGACGTTTCACAGACATACGTTTTTGAATTCAAGGATGACGCGATTACAAATTATCTTGATCGGTCGATATATTTATAACCTGGTGATATCACGTGGTTAGAGGATGTACTTATTTCGCATAAGTCATTATTAATGGAGAGTTAGGGAGTTACGTATTTTCTTGTTTAAAACTTGGATTTACTTGTGATAATTCCCTCCAGAAAAATTACAGTGATCTTCATTATTCCCATCAACTCGTGTCAAGTTTCTTTAACTTTTTATTGTTAGATGGTGTTGCCTTTAATTTTTTTCTGCTTTTTTTTAAACATTTTAATGTGAATTATTATTAAAAAAATTAAACTTGAAACCCTGGACACAAAAACAAACAAAAAGCGTCTCCCAAAAAGTTGTTTCATGATTTTTAAAAAATCCCTTTTTCCATCAGACAGTTTAAAAATCCCTAGATTCGGGAAAAATCCCCACACCTGGCAACCCTGTTCCAAATAAACTTTTAATATGGCAGCTTTGACTTCCTCTTTCTGCCTTTACATTATTCAATGTTACCAACTTAATTTCAAAGTCACAAACTGCTTTGATCTAAAATTTAATTACACTCCTGGTATTTTTATAGTGCTTTTTACATTTTATATACAGGGTGCGCCAGAACTCGCGCCCCAGAGAAAATGTTCAAGTAAGGTAAGATACCAGGAACATGAAAAAAATCTTTAAAAAATTCTATCTCTCAAAAAATTTTGACATTTATTTTTTGACATTTCACATTTTTTTATATATATTTAATGATACTGATGCTCTTGTATATGTTTTTTTACAATTATTTAGTAAAGTGACGAAAATTTTGCCAATAAAAGCCACAAATAACATAGAAAAGAGTTACAATTTAGGATACAGCTTCCTTGTTTCCTCTTTTAATAGCCTACAGCAAAAAAACTTGGAAAATTATTTTTACAACAGAAATAAATAGAGTCAAAGTGCAAACTTTAAACCCTCATATCTTCAAAATTTTTATAGATAATTTTTTTTTAACATTTTTTCCATGTTCCTGGTATCTTACCTTATATGACATTTTTCTCTGGGGCGCGAGTTCTGGCGCAGCCTGTATTAATTTGATTATAATTTACACATGTCTTGCAGCTTTTTTAAAGAAATTTCCGGATATATCCCTGTTTTTTTTTTGTAAAATTTGTGATTTTTGTGCAGGTATTATCCGTGGCTGTGTACAATCATTATAAGCGTATTTATAATAATAATCCCAACGGTCAAGGTGGTGGTAATTCGCGGCAGGATGTGGCCGTTATGGAACAAGGACTTCACCAAAATGTCACTCATAGAGGTACCGTTTTTACAGTGATTAAAAATTTCATTAAACGATATTTTAATGAAGTTTTTATGTTTACTGTGTTGTTATTATTGTGCAGATCTTCTTCATATAACAGGATTGGGGCATGGTAATGTGATTGGTGCGAATATGTCGGCCCAAGAATCGAACCGAAATCCTACAAGCGGTTCAGAAATTTTAGACAGAACTACACACGAGTTAAAATTAGAGAAAAGTAATATTTTGTTACTTGGGCCTACCGGTTCTGGTACAGTCTTCAATTTTTTGTTTATTAAATTTTACAATTAAAAATTTTTAAGGTAAAACTCTTCTAGCTCAAACTATAGCACAATGTTTGGATGTACCTTTTGCAATTTGTGATTGTACTACTTTAACCCAGGCCGGTTACGTAGGCGAAGATATTGAAAGTGTTATTGGGAAATTGTTACAAGATGCCGGGTTTAGTGTAGACCGGGCCCAAATCGGAATTGTTTTTCTTGATGAAGTCGATAAAATTGGAGCCGTCCCTGGAATACACCAATTGAGAGATGTTGGCGGAGAGGGGGTACAACAAGGGATGTTGAAAATGTTAGAAGGTACAGTCGTAAACGTGCCTGAAAGAAACTCACCTCGGAAATTACGCGGAGAGACTATACAAGTCGATACAACAAATATTTTATTTGTTGCTAGTGGTGCCTATAACGGACTTGAACGTTTAATTCAGAGAAGAAATAACGAAAATGTATGTATTCACTAGTACCAACCTTAGAAAAACTTGTTTTGTGTTTAGTATTTAGGTTTTGGGGCCCCAGTTTCGGGAAGTCAAGGCCGGAGGGCAGTGTCACAACAAACCTCCGTTTATCAATCGTCACAAACAGCCGAAGAAGAAAATGCTGAAAAAGATGCAGCCTTGAAACTAGTGCAAGCACGTGATCTCATCGATTTCGGAATGATACCAGTATTAGAACGAACTAATTTTGAAAAAAAAAATTAATTAAATCTTGCAGGAATTTGTTGGGAGGTTCCCAGTTTTGGTACCTTTCCATAGTCTGAATAAAAACATGTTAGTTAGGATTTTAACCGAACCCAAAAATGCACTTTTGCCTCAGTATCAGAGGTTATTAGCAATGGATCAGTGCGAGTTGTCTTTTACCCCAGAGGCTCTAGATGCGATTGCTACTCTGGCCATGGAAAGGAAAACTGGAGCTCGGGGGCTTAGGGCGATAATGGTAGGGATTAGGGGTTGTAGGATTGTTGTAATGCTTTCTTTTCAGGAATCTTTGCTTTTGGAACCGATGTTTGAGGTCCCGGGATCGGGGATTACGACGGTTCATGTTACTGAGGAGTATGTGAAGGGGGAGTCGGGGCCAGTTTATGAGAAGAGGACGGATATTGGGACCGCTGATGTGAATGATGAAGATGATGTTAATACGTCGATTAGGATAAAGCAATGAGAATCGCCAAGGAAGTAGTTTTATACATTTTATTTTTATTTTTTAGGCAATAAATTGTTTTTTTTCTGACGTGAAATTTAGTTTTTGTCACGTGTGTATATATTTTAGCTTGTTCCTATCAAGGTGAATTTTATTATGAAGTTAATTGTATATAATAAAGGTTGATCTTGTTCATGTATATTTATTTGTAATAAATTTTGTTTTTACAACTTTTATGGTTGAGTGTTGGTGTAGTCAAAATCGACCTCCTGAAGCTCTTGTCTTTCCCGTAAAAAGTCCTGAATGAAGAGTTCACGCATTTTTGCTTTCCTTGCCTAAAGCCACAAGTGTGAAACTTATTTCGGATTCCAGAACTTACCGTTAAGTGAATTTCGTGCAAATTGTGGACTTCTTGTCTCATTTGCAAAAACCAGGGGTTTAAACCGACGTGCACTTTGGCGTCAGTTGAAATATCATGACGGTATTTAAACTTCATGATATTTTCGTTACTGAAATTTTCACAAAATACAAAAATTCACACACTGTTTAATGACAGAGGTGTCAAGAAGGGTTACTCACATTTTGCGAATTACGTCAGGCTTTTTATTGTCCTGAGTCGACATTTTTACACTAAAAGTAAATAATAGAAATTATTGCAACTGAAACAGTGACAAAATTCAATAATTCAGCACAGAAGCGTCAAAAATTTGAGTACGGCAAGGGATTTTTTTTTTGTTAACGTGGTGACACTGGTCATTAATCGCGACAGGGGAACCATCAAGAAAAAAAAGATTCGTATTAGATGTTGTTTATTATTTTATATAACGAACAACTAAATACTTAAAACATTGAAAACATACATTGCCGAATATCTGAGATCTACTTCCTTATAGTGTAACAATAAATGGAATTATTTTCATGCAAAAAATGAGTTTTTATCACTGAATTCATTCAAGTTTCAATGTTTGCACAAAAACCAGGCAAGAAACAATTCGGTACAAAGTTACAAAAATCGCCCTGTCATAAAAACAACAAAAACTTAATTCGATATTTGGCTTAACTCAATAAATAGGAAATAAATGACTTATGACTAGTAGAAAATGAATAGAAGATGACTGACTTATTGTCTTTACTTACTGTTTTATTTTTATTAGAAATGCACAACAGTTTTAGGCTCGTGAATAGTGATTTGACCGGCCTTAAAAAGTTCTTGGTGCAAAAATATCTTAATCTACAATATCGTTAAATCGTGTAAATAAAAGATATGTCAATTAATATGTACACGTGCCTTAATGTCTTTACAAAAATCATGAAACGTGGACCAGAAACTACGATCTACATAGTGTGGCTAAGCATATTTGTGTCTTTTCCAAGATTTAAGCGTTTTCTTTATGTAGACAGCAACAGAAGTTTGACAATTTAGTTTATATAAAAATAGTTTTTTTTTTTCATTTAGGAATTTATAAATGTGGCGTTTAATTATTTTTGTAGATATTTATGATGTCCGATTCAAATTTCTGTTGCTTATCAGACAAATAAAATTATTTGGACCACTTCTACTTTTCCCCAAGAAACTGAAATAATTCTTTGAAAGGGTAACATTTATCAACACTGAACGTCGAACGAAACATTGTAAAGAAGGCAACGATAAAAATAGATTCTTAGGTACAATAACACAAACCTAGTCCCATGCAACAACTACTGACGTCCAATACACAAAACAATTAAATTAAAATCACAACAAAATAATCACAAAAACCGTCGCTGTTTCACTAAAGATCGCCATTTTCGATAGCTTTATTGAGATCGGCGACGATTCTTCCCAATGTTTCTCTATATTCCGAATTCACTTGAAAAATATCATCTAGGAACTGTTCGTTCGAGAAGAAACTGAAAACGCTATCGATTCGTGATAAGGACTTTTCGGTAAGATGTTTGGACACGATAAACTGGAGGCACTTGTGTGACTCTGCAAGAGCCGTAGTTAGATAATTCCTATCATAGCTGAAGTCCACTTCGTAGAACGATATGATAGCCATTCCAGCCATGCGAAACTTGCTTTTGAACCGTTCCGCTTGTTTCAATTCCTCGCTTGAAAACTGGCCATTTCGGTGAAGAACCCCAAGTTTAATCACCACTTTGATGATATTCTTTATCAGCTTTTCCGCTTCTTTCTTGTTATGGGACTGTACGAATCAAATGGGGCGGTTTAGAGCGGGGCGTGGTTAATTTAGAGCGAGAACGGGGCCGACTCACTTGCATCAATCGCGATTGATCGATTCGAACCCCGCGCAAGCTCTCATTGGCCATACTTACGTATTGCTTGGCAAGACGGTATAAGTTATCCAATAGGGATGCAGTAGTGTCGTCGATGAATGCACGAGCCACGTTTTTACCGGCCATGCGAGACAAAATCTTTTTCTGGGCACGTAGGCCGATGTCACGCGCCTTGAATGCGCTCTCGCTCATGACTGAAAAACAACAAAAAAATGCAATTTGCAAAACGTTAACATTGGAAAAGAATCGATGAATTCTTGGCTCGCATGTTTGCTAACTGTATTTTGATACTTGGAATTATCGCGGTTAGGATCTAGACATGCAAAGCAATGTCTGTCTAGCATGAAAACACGAAATTTGGATATAGTCTCACATTTTAAATTAATAATTGTGATTTTTGTTGCCAGGTTGGGAACCAGGGGCGGATCCAGGAATTAATTATAGAATAATCTTATTTATTAAAACTGAAAATATTTTGTTTTGTTTTGTTCTCGAACAGGTCTTTTTAAAAAATACAAAATTTTTAACTTGATTTAAAATTGTATCTTTGTTTTTTATTGATATTATTTCACTTTTTGGATAATTTTTTTTTGAAAAACTTTATGTGAAACTTTATTTTGGTGTTGCCATTTCGACAATTAAAAAATCTATCAAATTCGCTAAAAAGATTAGGGGTTTCCATTAAAAAAAATGTCGCTGCCGTCATTACCCAAAACCAAAAAGTGTGGAATTTTAAAACAAGTTAAAAAGTGTGAATCTTTAAAAAGAGAATTAACCTCTTCGAGCATTTTTACCAAAACAAAATATTTTCTGTTTTAATAAAATTATTCCATAATTTTGCCGCTCACTCGATAAGGTGTTCTAGCGAGTAGTAAAGTTCATTATTCAAACAGATAAATTTAATTTAATTAGAAACCTAAGATGTGGCCCAAAAAAAATTACAATTGATGATTTCTTTTTAAATCGGTAAAAACTAAGTAAGTATCGAGAGATCAAGATATGTAATTTGTAATCGACTCGTCCTTGTATCCGAAAACGTATGTCCTGTGCGTATGTCTGTAAAACGTCAAATAAAATGACAAGTGAAAAGGTAAAATCCCATGATCAAAAAAATAACTAAATTTATGATTTACCTTCAAAAAAGAACGGTCTTATTATTATACGTCGGCGACTAATTCCAGCCCGTTCTGCCGTTTTCGACTTGTCATTTTATTTGACGTTTCACGTGCAGTTAGTTCAAAAACAGACATACGTACAGTTGCGGAATTAAAAATTCTGTCACTTTAAAAAGTTCACTGTAAACTACCTTTTACTGTCATCATGACATTGACATTTGACAATTAGACTTATTTTGATTTGTTGTTAAAATTGTTAATTAAACAATTTGTCTTAGGAAATTTATTAATTGAACTAAGAGAAATTAAATCATCGCTTAGATCTGCTGCCTACCCGTTATTATGCCACAAATCACTATTTTTGAAAGTAAATAAGTCAAAATGACATAAATATGACAAGAGTAAAAATAAGGTTATTAATATAAAGGTTGTTTTAGAGTTTACATTATGAAAATGACAGTACTGCCCGAAATTTTAATTCCGCAACTGTACGTTTTCGGATCTAAAAATGACTCGATTACAAATTATTTTGATCTCTCGGTATATGTATAATTTGTATTAATAAGTGTGATTTAAAAAGAATTCTAATGTTTTTATTTAAAACATTAGAAAAAACTTTAGGTCATACGGTTTTTATATTAAAATTTAAATATAAAAAATTGAAGCTTTCGATGGCAAGTTTAGGGGGGCCCTGGCCCCATCCCCTAGATCCGTCCTTGTTGGGAACCTTGACTAACAAATTTAAAATTTACTTTCTCATAGACAAAACCGTCGCCTGAAACGAGAATTACCATCGTTTTTTTTATTAGAGAGTTCAAAAGAAGTTAAAAGTTTATTGTGATAATAATTTACTTAATCATAATATGCAAGCCAGCCTCGGATGTAGTGACGCCCACAGTTTTTGCTGACGAAGTGACACATTTAATGCATTGTAAATGTTTTGCCATAAATTCCTTAAAAATGACTTATTTTTATCACTAATGTTTTGTTATCTTACAGGTATATTGTTGTGCTTATAAATTTACAAAAACAAAAGGATAACAAAAAGAACCTTGAAATAAAATAGGGGACATACCTGGTGTTTCCAACATTAGACCTAGTGTTTAAAAATTGGGACCAACTCAAAAAATCCTAAAAAAAAATAAAAAAAATGAAACAACTTAAAAAAAATGGGGGAGAGTGTGTGCAGACTGCAGACTTACACAAACAATTGCTGCATTCTGTCGCAATGCACTGATAAATGAGCCAACTTTCGAGTTCCACCATTGTAGTCATTTCGGAGGCAACTTAAAGGGCAGTGAAAGACGTATACAGAGCATCTGTAAATAATGATGAGTTTATCAAAATATTGACAAAGATAACGGTTTGAGGAAAAAGTAGCGATTGCTGAGGGTGCGTGTATGCAGAGGGAAATAGTTAAACAAGGAAAAGTCCAATCGATATCTATTCAAGCTTCGCTACCTCTACACCGCTTGGGCACGTCCGAATATGTTAAATAATACTACGATTGTGCTTTAATTAAATTGTTTGACCCTATTCTGGAAGTGGGTCGGAATGTGTACAATTAAATAAATATTTCGCTCGATTTTGTGACCTTGCACGTACAGGAAATACCGTTTAGTTGAATTAACAAGTTCATGAAATTTGTATAAAAAGGAGTTTCTAGACTATTTTTAAATAACCTTGTTATTTTCGTCGAGAAATGATCGATAGAATACATTTTTGACGTGTAAGTAGGTTCTATAACATCCGACGTTTTAGGTACTACACCAAAATTTTTTGATTTGAATGATTTATTATATTCACTTTGCAAATAAAATTGTACGCACAACTACAAAATGTTATCATAGATAAAACTCATGTTTGCTGTAAAAACATCTCGAGTAGGTAAATACAAGAACCAAATATCAACTAATAATGATGCATTTAGTTAAAGCCCTTAAACAATTGTTGTGATGATAAAACTGTTTATATTTTAATTATCATAGATTTATCACGTACTCGAGTTTGAGTGAATCACTGTTTTCTAACAACTCTATTAATGGGGAACAATGCTCGTTTAGTCATTTGGAAATCGTGTTTAATTTGAATAACAAAATTAAATAATCCAAATTTGGTTTTTTATCGGGGGTCGGATGACATTAGGAAGGCCCGCCCACTGAGCGAGAAAGGCTCAGAAAGGCGAGAAAGGTAGATTTTAAAGGAGATATAAATTGAACGTCAAAATTTAAACGTTTCTGAATTTTCAATCTCCATTTTTGTCTGTTTTTATTATTATACTTTATACTTAAATTGTAAACCACGTCAATTTTTTTTTATTTTAGTAAGTCATTCTAAATATATAACAGTAAAATAAATAAGGAAAGAGGAAAAAAAAATCAATGAGGAAACTTGTTGAAAAAAAACAAAATATGTAATTAGAAAAACAGTTTAGATCTCAGCGAGAAATTAAATATATTCTTAAGATTTTGTTAAAATGAGACATAAAATGCCACAAAGGTCTGAAATTCCGTAATTTCTTGTTTTGAAGGATTAAGGGCGTTTTTCACCGAGAAATTCACAACATTCGAAAGATTATTCCATAATAAGGCAGAAAATTGAAAATTAGATCGAAAATTTGTTATTTATTAACGTTTTGCATCGAGAAACTCCAGAGATTTTGCCAAGGCAGGTTATGAATTTAACACAAATTCTCACTGGGAAAATTAAAAAATTTGGTATATTTTGCAAAAAAAGCTAAAAGGAATTTAAAAAACAGTTCTTTTAAAGACTTGCAATTTTAATAAATAATTCATTATTTTGTGAGGCGGACGATTAGTAGTCTCGCTAGATTTAGGGATAAGAGGTTTTTCTTATATCATTTTCCACGTCAAATCATTTATCAACATCAATACATGGTAATGGTGAGTTTTTGCCTGACCGCAGGCGCAAGTTTAAAACATATCGGCTAATTAAGTAGTTGTGGGATTTATTTTTTATTTGTATTTGCCAGAAAATGATTATGATTTGAATAATTGTCTGTCAATTTTTTTCTCATTCTTTTGCCGGGTCAAAAAATAATATTAATCTATAATAATCAATCCTAGTTTTGTAAAGGCCAAAAATACTTTTCTAAGTTGTTCAATTATTTGTAATAATTTTTCAGTTAACATAATTATTTTATTAATACCAATTTTTGCATGTTTTTTCACACCTACTTTCTTTCTCTTCTATCTCTAGCATTTCAAAATAATTCAAATTGATAATTTTCAAATAATTTTAGTAGAAACGCAGTAACCAAAATTTAAAAAATACTCGTAGCATCTCCAAAAAAATACTCCAATCGTCCAATGAAAATATTAGTTAAATATTTTTTTCCTTATTCAATTCAAATCTGTCCGTAGACGCTATCAAACATCGTAGGTATACAATTTCAAATTTTACAATTAAAAATTTTTGTGAGTAACAGTAATGTATGTCTAATACATATACGAAATACGAAAGTTACTCACTACCGAAGTTTACATTACACTTTTCTAGGATTCCTCATGAAAAGCCCATTGAAAGAAAGTCTACTATTTTTTTAAGTTATTAAAAAAAAGGTCGCAAATCGAAGCTTTTTGCTCTGTTATTATTTAGGAAACTGGTACTCTTATTAAACTTGAGACATCTTGTATGTAATATCTGATTTGTTGGATCACTGGTGTACAAAAGGAGTCTTCAATGAAGACCGTTGCTGTTCCCCACCTGGCTACCAGGTGTTTGAGAAATAGCGCGAACAATCTTGATACCTCAAGTAGAAAAATAATCACCGGATGCATCCGTTTTTTCAAGCCTTTGATCCGTTGCACATTTTTTCAATAGGAAAATTTCCTTGTTGACACTTGAAACTTGTTCCTCTAGTTCACAACCTGATTTGCATGCTAACCTTGTAAGGTCAGCCGGCACTTTTCAGTACGCCTATTGTAAAATCTTTGTGCGTAATGGACCAATTTAAAATTCTAATTTGCACCATTCACTAGGATAATAACCAAGTGTTAGTCTCAGTAATGAAAATTAAGTATAATAGTCGATGAGACTGTCATAAAGGTAATCTTTGTTCAGTTATTGAGCTAGTGGTATCACGTACAGCCTCAAGCTGTGCACATACCGAACGGGTCAGATTCTTCAAGCATACGTGGAGATGCCACAGGAGTTTTTCGCAGGATTTTGCCCAGAACTGGTGCAATTACACAGGAATTATGCGGTTAGATAACCAAAACCGTTAAGCTGATAAATCAAAAATGCAGATTTTAACGCGACTGATGGGTCTACAAACAAATTGATCGAGAAACAGTTAAAGCTTTAGAATAAAAAACCAGTTTGGGGAATAAATATTCATGGTCGGGCCCATAAGCGCATTTCTGATGCTTATCGTTTGTCCAAATTATGTGCTCAATGAATAAATTTTCACCAGGAATTTTTGAACAATTACTAAAATTTTATGTACTAATATTTGCGCAAATTTCGAGTAATTGGGGCACTCTATGCACATATTCGAGCTTATTACTGTAACTTCTCAAGTTTCTAGATTCCAGTTTCATATAATTATAGGTGTATGTCCATGTAAAGAATGTTGCTAAGTTATGTAATGCGTTGTTTTAACTAGTTTTAACGAAACCTCTCCTTGAATAAATACCCATTTTAAGACATTCGACTTGGCCATTAAATAATGTATTTATTAGTGTAAAAACAAACAATAAATTGAATAAAATTAAACGATACAACGAATCGGAATTAATTTTTTGCCTACTTACGAGTTTTATTTGGGAGCATGTGGTCATTAAAAGTAAAAGCACTCATCCTTCCTACTGCGCCAGTTTTATGACAGTTGGCGTCTCCTTGGTGTGTTAAAAGGACGTTAAAAACGCAACTGGAAGGTAGCATCCGTAATTAAATGCGGAAGAGTGCAAACACTTGGCTGATTTATTTAATTCAAGGAAATACGATTCACACATGTCACGATTTTGAAAAACTTGTAATAAAAATTAATAATTTATTGCGAGCCCCAATTAGATAAAAAAAACAATATACCAAATATTTTTTTTAAGATAAATTTCAAACCTTGACTTGGTTTAAACGCTACAAATAGGTGTAATAAATTTGAGATTGAAGGAGTGGCTGATGATAGCCGCTTATGAATCATTCTCCATTCTCCCATAACGCAAAAAATATCTACAAACTAACAAATAGGCGCAAAATGTGCACTTTTGTGCGGTCACTATTATTGACTCCTTCATAAAAAAAATTTAAAAAAAGAGACCACTTACAAAATTAATAGACGATTAGTGGGATTGTAATAGTGCGTCCTGCTGATGTCAACAGAAATCAATAAAATTTTGCTTATTTATAAATTTCAAAAGAAATTATTGTTTACTATCGCAACACTCACTGCCATTCACTACTCTCACATCTGCTCTGCGCCCCTCTTTTGCAGCTACTAGCAGTAAATAAAATTACTACAGAGGGCGCTACTAGTGATAGAGCTTCCAAAGCTCTGATCGAGCTTATGCAACCAATAAAACAACCTGTACTGTAAATATTTATTTGTAAAAATTGTATTGTATAAGTTTCAACAGCCCCTCCATTTTTTATGCAAACTTAATAAATGTTCGTGCGCTCGTGTTGACATGTTCAAGTCGGGAAAAACACTACTTATTCCAGTCTCATTCATAAAACTTAGCCCTGCCAGTCCTAGATAAGTGTGCATGGCGTCAGGCGCCGTGTTGACCCACTTTGAAAAGCCCCCATTCCGATCCTGAGTCACTAAAATAAACTGGTCGTTGTCCTTTTCTTCAATAAATTGATATGCGTTTAAAATTTTAAGTGCCCCTCCGGTCCAGAAGGAGTAACATGTGTCTGAGGGTTTATTTGGGCGTCCTGTAAAACCATTCTCAAATCTGTTTAGTAACCAACGTTTTAATCCTTCCAGTTGTGAGTGAGACAATCTGTGCAACTGCTTGGTTAAGGCTAGAGTAGCCACGGCGCAAAAAGTTGAGCCGCTGTGCGATTCCAATTGGGGCCCTTGTGCGATACCGAAGTCATATGACTGGAAAAAAAAATTAGTTTGTAATATGGGAGAAAATCAAGGTCGTACTATGCTTTTAAGAATAAAATCAACGGTTTTGTCGACGTCCATTCCGGAAAAGTCGTCTAAAATATAACAAATGCAAGCGGCGCAAAAGACGAAACGCATGTCATGCTCAGTGCCGTCTTTGGCCCCCATGAAACAGCCGTTGGGTAGTTGCAAAGACCGCAAACTTTTGATTATTGACGTTCTGTGAACTCTCTCTAAATCATCTTTTAAAATAACTAAAGTGGCTAAAGCGGAATAAGTGGTAGCAATATGGCCCCACTTATACAAAGCATTCTGGCCTTTATTTAACTCAGTGTTGAGAGTTGAAGAGCCTTGAAACCCGCTCACAAGATCTAAAAATTATTTCAGTAGAGGATTATACTTTTTGATTGTTCTACCTGAATCATCAAAAACTTGTAATGAGTAAAGCCAATCAATTGTTGCTTGTTTATTGGGGAAACTATCCAATTCGTTTAAGAGGTCCAGACCTGATACAGCAAAATATGTTAAAATTACTCTAAAATTTGAAAAAATTAAGGAAAATTGGGGTTAATCCTATTGTTACCTGTGGGTGTCCATGCATGACAAGGAAGGTGGTAATCCTCGGAGGATCCTTAGCAGGTATTTTTTATGAGCGGTTGCATTAAATTTAATTTTATAATAATCCATTTTATTACTTTTTAATTTTCTATCGTATTATCTTGTGTCAATGTCATTTGGAAAAGTAAGGTTAGGGTACAAAAAGGCGTGTCAGAGAAACGTCAAACTTTTGATAAAATTTATTTCATTTTACGAAAATCACTCTCCACGTAAAACTTCTACAGAATGTAACACTTTATTCAATCTTTTCCCAATTAGTTTCGGATATTTGTTATTTTTAATCAAAAACTCCTTACTCTGATGTGACACTGCACCATTTTTTAATTGAAACTCACACAAGGTTTTCAAAGGGGCTAACAACTTCCTATACCCCTCATCATGTTCAAGTAAACTCAACGCTTCAGTCGCTGTCTCAAGTGTACTCAAACACCCGTCAGTAGGCTGAGTCCTTATAATATAACTACTCACACCTTTAGTCAACAACTTAACTTGTTTAATTTTATGTAAAATTGGGTTACTCGCGTATATCGCCTTCGCTTGTGGCCATGTCCCGTCAATTATCACTAAATTAAAACTAGTATTGTTGTTGTTTTGCATCAAAGTTTTCAAATCAACTGCTGTTGGGCTAGGATACAATAAAATCGTGTTGTGGTCCACTAACAGCTCCTCCAAGTCTTGGTGTCTGCCAGGAAATCGTTTTCCTTTATAAACCAAACATTTTCCGTCACTTAATCCAAAGTGAAGCATGGGGGCTGTTCGCAAACATCGTTTTTCCTCTGCAGGGTGTTGGAGGAGAACTATGCGACTTTTGGGGCACAAACGCGGTTTGGGGAGGGAAGCACACCAACAAACGCTCGTGGGACGTCTAAAAACATTTTTAAATGCGCTAAAACCTTAAATGAGGGTGAAAATTACTCGCATTTGGGGCAAGTGCTTCGCACTTCGGGTGGCTCGTTAAGGATGTTAGCTAAGTCAGAGAAAACTTCGTCCATCATGAAAAAACGCTTTTATTGGTACATACTACTAAATATCTAAATAAAAGTTTTCGTGATTTCTAAGGTTAGATTACATAACCTTAAATGTCATTCATTAGAGATTTGACGTGCATGTTTACACGTTTACAGATTTCTGTAAATAAAATAAGTGACTTCAACTGGTTGCATAATTGTGACTTATTCTACAGATCTCATGTCATAATTTTTTAAATATTGGCTTTAGTGTTATAAAAATGAAAAATAAGATTAAAAAAATACAAAAAAGGTCGTTTTTGGTTTAAATTTTTATTTTTGTAGTATGTTTCAAAATTAATAGTTTAACAAAAAACTGTTTTTTTTTCAAAATTTTAAAATAAGAAATGGATTTTTTTTTCAAATTATTGCTGATAAATATTCTATTAACGCACACTGGATTAGTCGTGTGTTTGTAGATAGTTTAAATATGTTTTGTTGTTTTAATAATAAAATATAGGTATTAATGAGTTTAATGTTGATCGTATATATAATTCGAGCTGCAATGTTTGCCTGTGATATTTTCCAAAGTTGTGCACGACAGACAATGCAAAACCACAATAACGTGGAGTCGGTATACGATTCTGGTATTAATTTTAGTGAATAGAAGGGCTTTGCAGCATATATCGAAGTGGCACTTTGGAAATGGACACGTACTGTGTAATCTTGTTATATATCATTCCTCGATTGTTTAACTGACAATGAACTAATGTGTCACGACTCAGATTCCAATCATCGCATACACGTTCCTGTATAACCGCTGTGTTCGCAGGAATACATTTCCAAATTACAAATTGATTTTTTTTTTCAATTATCACGCCAACAATAGCACGTCCCCCAGATAAAAGTGCACGATATTCGTTAAATATTCGTTGTCCAGTCCACTTGTATTTGTAGATAACAGTACACATAAATTAAATTTTCCCCCTGCAGTTTAGCAATTAATTTGTGTTTTTTCCGATGCAACAAACCGATGCATGTTTTTCTAATTAGTCGTTATATGCAGATGAGGTTTTCAGCGTTTTGTCGCGAATTGTCCAACATCATGAATATTTATATAATTGCAATCATCGAATATTAGGAGACACGGTATTTCACTTGTAAACAGGTAATATACGGTTAGTGATTTAGTGACTAGTGGTGATGGGGGCTGTTGCTTGATTTATAGTGAACGCAGCGAACAACATGTGACACGTCATCAGGATGGACCGCAAATCGTCCGCGCTCGTTTTATGCTGTAGTCCTTTTGTTAGATGGGGTGGAATGCTAATTTACGGCACTGTGCTTGTCGCTTGAATAATGCACATAATTGAACGCGTATGTGGCCCGTAGAACCATTCTGGGACGCTAGGACAGTCGTGTTGCCGATATTTCAGACTATTGTTACACGGAGAATGGAAATATGTACAATGAACTGTTTTGCTATGTTTAACAAACAATTTTTACAATATTAACCCGGAATATGCAGCCAATAAATAACTCATCTATAAGATGGGGATGTCCCGCAGATAAGCAACAAATTTTAATAAAATCATAAATAAAAAAATTGAATTACTCAAACAACAAAAAATGTAAAAAATAAAATAATGAACATAATTTAAAACAAAGTACACCACAATATGCGGAGGAATTCATCATACTGGAGGCCGGATATCCGGAAAAAATATTGAAAGATTTTGGGGGCAGGTTTCCTACGTCAAAAAAAGAAAAAAAAATCCCAAAAACCTATATTCAGAAATTATTTCTAAGGGACCTAAAAAAAGCTAAAAGATCTTTTTTTTAATTACTCATTAACCGGTTGACATAAATTTACAAAAGATTACATCTGAAGAATTTTTTTGGCGCTGAATATTGGTGATATTACAAATTGTGTACTCTAATTAAGGGGGCGGAGGCCAATGACAAGTACTAAAGTTTCCTATGAAACTATATCACTTTTTCAAATTATTTCAAGAATTTTAATTTTTTTCTAGCAGAATAGATGCGTTAAACAATTGCGGTGTCATACCTGTAGACATTTTGATACTCTGATGAAAACATTTGAAGATGATTCTTCGGGGAATATTGCTACTACCTATAAAACTCCTTTACATACCTTTTTACAAAATCGTATTAGTAGTTTTAACGCAATTTGAGTTGATATTTTAAACAAAATAAATTATGCGGAGTTTTAAAAGTGTGAATTTTCTTCAGTATTTAATATTTCATTTTACAAAATATTATTCAAATAAAAGCTTAAAAATAAAAAAATTCTTTGTTCCGCTTTAACCGAATTTTTATTTCGCAGCCTTGGTTCTCTCCTCGGTCTTATCAAATTCGATTAAACGGGACTGTAGGTAGTTTGAAATTTAGAAAAGTACAGTTTTTTTAAGTAAAATTTTGAATGTAAAGTTTATTTGGTTATTGACAACTAGAAAACAATATTTTAAATACCTTTTAATTAATATTTCTTTACTTTGATTTATTGACACTTCTTGATAACCAAATTTAATAAAAATTCTCTTTACTTTTTAATCTTAACAAAATTCTGTAAATATATTTTTTATACGTACAAAGGAATACCCATACTTTATTAACAAAAAAAGGGGGCTCCAAATTCAAATTTGCACGCAGGCGTTGAAACCTCTTACGGCGGTCCTGATGCCCTGCAATCGCACACATAGTTGCAAATGCTTTGGGGGTTGGTTAAATTTTTTTAATAAATGTCAGGTTGCAAATTTCTTTTGGAAAACCGTTTGTTTTTGATAAATCTAATATTGTGGTAACTGATAAATGTGTTTAATTTTGGTAAATTAAATGTAATTCTGCACATTTCATACTTTCGGGGTTGGAATAAAAATTGTGATAAATAAAATAAAGAACAGGGCAAGACTTCTTACAAAGTGAGAAAAAGTGAAAAATGTGTAGGAGAGAAAAGACGCGCTTAAATAAGAAAATTTATTATTAAGGGTGAGCAAAGTAAACAGTTTCGTACCATGATTTACATATATTTGCGTACATTTATCCTATATTATTTTGATTTGGCACCATTCGAATACATAATACCTATGAATACTAATTTCGATCTTTAGGAATCTAATGATTTTACAAATGCGAGTTATGAATTATACACAAAACTAATAAATTACAATTTTTATATCAAATAAGTTCCTATCACCTTGATTATTTACAATATGATACAAAATTTTACGAAATGATAATCCTACACCGATAGTATTTACAATATGTTACAATTGATTTAAAAAAATAGAACTTTTAAAATGGGACTGTGAGTTCTAATTTTATAAATTGACTCAAGTACTTTTCAAAGAAGTACAAATTTGTATTTTGCCTTCTTCAAAACGGAACATTTCAAGACAAAAATCATATAAATTTTTTCCTACAAACATTCAAAGATGAACAAAAAGTATAGGCAGTGTGGACACTCCATCACATGCAACAAAAATTGATTGGGTCAAAAAACCGTGTTGTAAGTGATGGAACATTGTTATTTAATTGTTAACAAGGTAATTAATTAATTGGTTAGTTGGTAACATTCACGTTTCTTGCGTTCGAAGCCGAGGGTAAATGTGACAAACAACAAAAACATCATTTGATCACACTGATTAATTAAATTTGACAAGTATAAGCCTCTTGCACGCGATTTTTGCCAACATTTGTTGTATTTTTTGTCTCAAAATGTTGCACAACAATAGTGCTCACGCTGCAATAAGATCGGAAGGAAAGAGTTCGCGGTATGATTGATCCATATTGAAAAGCGCCATTCGTATTAGGAAGCCTGAAAGGTTTTTCCAGGCAAGTTTTTCGAATGATGGATGGATAAAATGTTATGATAATGCACTAAAACACTGAATTTAGGTGCGTCACCGCAAAGACATTGAACTTAGGAGTGAAGTGGCCGTTAGGGCTACTAGAAGTGGACGTGTCAAAACGGCTGAAGAGAAGGCGTCGTTGCCCCTGGAACGGTGACCTCGAGCTGGTTCGGCCAAACCTGCCAAAAGAGACACTTTTAATTAGAATTTAGTGCCAACTGTGGAAAGTTATCGAATTACGACATCACTTAACATCCATTTGTTTCAATTACCGCAAATAATTTAATATTATTGTTGATGGCATGTTGGGTAATTGACTGTAACTTGAGGATTAAAGGGCAAAAATAAATTAATTCAAAGAAAATTCGCGTTTGACGCTAGATGAAAAGGAGCTTTGTACAAAACTCTTTCGCTATAGTTTACGTTGCAGCACAGGAAATGAAATAGGTGTTATTTGTCCTAACAAGAGTTAAAATGTTCGATTTGTACTTACCACCAACTATGCTCACGTGGTTGTCGTGGGGCAAGCCTGGTCCCACTTTAATTTCTGTAAAATAAAATTGTGTCATTTTTGGCAATTCCTTGACAATCATTTCAAACATCATGAATAGGAGACACAAAGATGAGACTTTGGAGGCATCTTTGAAAGAAAGTTTAGTTGTGAATCCACTTGGTAAAAATGTTCGTCAAGCAACAAGTTCGCACGCTGATAAACTACAAAAACCAAAAACTGCAAAATTAATCAAAGCTTCACAAAGTTTGCACAAAGGAAGACCAGGTCAAGTCCAGTTTCCTGTAAAAAACGTTTTGTTTGGAGTCGAACAGAACTTTGCAGTGAAAACTCACAAGAAGCCTTCTTCAACTTTAGATTTTATCGAAAAGTTGAAGAAAATTGAGACGAAAACCGAAAAGTCCGATTTTTTGGAACAAGCAAATGACGAAATTGATATCGCATCAAAACAGTTGGAAGCACTGCGAAAAATGATAACACAAAAGCTTCAAAGTGAAGCTGAACTCAAAGCCGAACAAGAGAAAAATGAGCTTCGCAATAGACAAAAAATCTTAATGGATAATTGTAACCGACAGTTTGAAAAAATGCAAAAAAAATATTTAAACAAGACAAAAATACGTTTCAAATCGTTGCAAGACGTTGAAAATATGACATTATCGAGGGCACAAGACACAAAACAAGCAAAAAATGTTAAAACGATTTATAAGAGTGCGATTTTGGATACTACCAGTAGCGAAAATTTTGATTTTGGTGATTTTGATAAAAACAAAGATTTAGAAAAAGCCGGGTCTTTGCTTAAGACACATGTCACTTCTGTGGCTTCACAAAGCGAGATTTTGGCAAAACCAAACTCCACAGACAAACCTGTAACTAAAAAAGTCTCGAATTTTGAGGCAACTAAACCCAAGGCACCACAAAAAGTTAGATTTCACGAATCAATTCTAAATTCGACCTACTTTTCGCCACCGGGGTCAAATTTGCCAAGTCCTGAAAGAAGCGATAGTCTCGACGTTGCAAATATTAAGCGACTTTTGTCACTCCAAGCTGAGGAAGACAGTGACTTGGCTATTTCCAGATTTAGAAGAAACCGTCCAAAACTTGAAAAAATTGACGAGTCTAGTCTGACTACTGAACACTTTTCTACGGAAAAGTATCAAGAAGGTCGTCGTAAACTCAATTTGCTTCTCCATGGGAATGAAAAATTAGACAGCGTGCAATTCGATGATGCTAAGCTCGAGGAGTCTGTTTTAAAATCGGCTTACTTAACTAAGGAATTTTGTAAAAAGGAAAATGAAGCGTCGCGAAGAAATAGGCAAATGGTGGAGAGTGTCATGTACAAGTTGCAAGAAAATCAGTCCTGCCCGAAACGCCAAGACCGGAAATTGTCCGCAGTGTTGAACACCGTCTTGCAAAATACCTTATTCTCCGAAATGAAAAAGTAAAATTTTGTATTTAATTGCAATTAAAAAATATTGATCCGAATTCAATTATCTCGCGAGACGAGCGTTCGGAAACAATTGGAATTCCTCTTTTAAACGATCTATCACTCTGTACAAACATCAAGCAATAATTTCAATAAGGACAAGTGAATGAACAAAGACGGAAACGGAAAATTGCTTTTTTTACTGACCGTAGAGTCTGAGGGTGCCTTCGGCTCGTCCCAGCGAATTCGTTGAAACGCAATTGTAGGTCCCAATGTCAGGTACTGTGAAATTATGAATGAAGAGTTGCATAGAGACTTTGTAGCCACGCCGGGTTTCAGATATAGTGTATTTGCTCCTACAACAGAATGGATTAAAAGTTGGAGAAACTAATTAGCCCTATTTACGAGCGTAACGTCTTAAAAGACTAAAGTTTTATTATAAAGTAATTTTTCAGATAGTTTCTTTAATTATATTGCGAATCTCTGATCCTTCTGCTTCCACTTGACTGTCAAATCGCCTTTTCCATTATCCTCGTCCTCTTTTCACTGACATTCAAAATAATGAATTTGGGATTAAATAACGGAAGAGAATTTGAAATTGCAACAATTAAACCAAAGGCGATCGATGAAAGGGAAGTTGTTCTAAAGTGCGTGTATTTACTGTTACTGCATCTCGAATAACGAGAGAATGTTAGGTATTACATTACAAAGCACATCCTTAACGGTGTTTAGACTTTACGTTTGAGTTAATGCCATTGTATCACTCTTGATGATGTTTTAAGAATTGCGAAACAAGATCTCTTGTGCAGTAATAAAGGCTTTAAAGTGCGTTTAAAGTGACATTCATTTAAAAGAAAATATTGCTGCCATTACAAGAGATTTAATAACTGTCTACCGTAATTTCTCAATTTCCAAAAATAGACAAACTCGCCAAACTCAAATTTAATTAAATTGAATAAATATTCACTTTTTAGCAAGCCGAATTTTAAATGAAAAGAGTGTAATTTCACGACAAACCAAATCACAAGCGGAGCAAAAAATTGTCTTAAAGTTGAGAAATATTTTTCGACAAAACTGACATAAGTAAAGAAGGGAGCCGCCAATTTAATTGTTCACAGGTAGGAGAAAAATTTAGAGAGGGCCGAGAAAAAAAAGAATAAGTTATTAAGGCTAAGTTTTTTGAAAGATTCCTTTGGTTTTTTAATTAAAAATAATTTGTTTTATCCATAGCACAGCTTATTGAAAATTATTATTACTCGTAGTTCTAGGATATAATTTATGTTTTGTATAGAGCTTGAATTCATTGTTTGGGGGTTTTATTCGATTTCTAAGTGGAAATCTGGATTTCAATTGCCATTCATGTACATCTGTTCAACACAAACAATTAAATAATGGGAGGTAATATCGCGTTCTGTCTTAAATCCGTTGAATGCTTCTATTTATCCGTTTAATAGTTTGAAAAACCGTATTTTTCGAGTAGGTGCTTTAGTGAATGCAAATATCTAGGGTGTGAAAGGCGTATATATGTGGTTTAGCCCACGTGTGCGTCTACATTTCAGCGGTGTGAAGAGTTAAATATGTATTTAGTGTATGCGACTCAACCCCGCCTCATTTGTTTGTTAAATTTTGCACGAAGCACCTGCTAATTGAAGTCGGTTGCGCTTTGTATCGAATTTAAACATGTATAAAAGGAGCTTTTAATGAGAAGTCGTGGGCTTCTTTTGTAAACGAACTATGGATGAAAAGCGGGGATTTTTGACTGGAAATGTGTATGTTAATTTAGTGTCGTGAAAAATGATTTTAGGATTTGATTTATGGAATGAAATCTGTTGAATCAACAACAGAAAGACAAACTGCGATATTAATTATGGAAGTTGAGAGTTGTATATGCATGCACTGATTAAAAAGCGAAGATTTTCAGTGATTTCTCACTGTCACTTGATGTAATTAACTCAAGTTTATCACAAAGTAATTCATTATGATCAACGGGAAAATTCAATTAATTACCATTGTCGAAATTTAATCATTTCGTGACATCAATATTTTCTTAAAGAAAATTTCATTTTTAACTTTGCATAATTCGCTTCGTTTGCATGTGCTTAAAATAATCCAATTCTCTAATATGACAGATAGGGTAACTTGTAATTAGGTTTCCTGTTACAATATTTGAAGCCATTTAACACAATTACACGCAAATATTGATGTTTTTTCAACTCAAAGCGCAAAAACAAACAGGTTTAATGACACCATAAATTACGATTAGGACAAAGCAAATTTGCAGGCTTGGAGGGGAAGTCCACTAGGATTTCAGTTTTGATAAAGCCAGCCAAATTAAGATTAATTTTGATAAAGGATTAGACTTTTCAAAAATGCAAATACACCTCGCGGCTCGCCCCTTTGTGCATACTAAGACAGTCTGAACTCCACCGAGGGACACACACATGACAAATAAATGCTTAAACAGCCACTGCTTGTGTGGGCTCCCTTTGCAACTATTCCGGCTTACAGAAACATAAAACTTTTCCCAAAATAGTTATATAGATTGCTACCCCAATAAAACTTATCAAGATTTTGAAAATATTTTTGACAAAGAGCATGTCGTTTGTCGTCCCAAGTGATTTGGAAAATGCAAAATTATTCATTCATTCAATCTCTGATTTAGTTTATCAAGCATCCTACGTGTTTCATCTTAATGAAGTAATTTATTGAAAGGAAAATCTCTTCAGTGTAAACACTATTCTCCTCGATCGGATCGATTCTTAATAAATTGAAAACGGTAAATTTTGGGAATTAACTAGTTGTGGCGGCAGTTTGTTTAACAGCAGGCGGATGATTAATTAAGCATTTGTCAAATATCAGATTTATGAGACTCTATTCTTATTTGTTCAAAACAAAATTTATGATATAAATTGGGTATAAATTTGCTCCTTGGAGCGCTACAAAAGCTGTTTTCTCAATCCATTTTTGTCGTGTCGTTGCTAAAATATAACCCGTTAGTAAATTGCCGAACTCTATAGAGACTGGTTCTTCGACATTTTTGTCAAATAAATTTTTACTCTTGCACAATAAAGGTTCCAAAAGGGCAAACTTTCTATTGTTGGGCTGTATTAACGATCTTTACTCTCGTAAACTTCTAACACCTGTTAGTTCCAACACTAGATTAAATGTAATAATGCCAAAAATTTTGTTTACAGTCCTTGGGGAACTTTATTGAAATTCTCGGTTTTAATTAGGCGTCTACGCAAAACGTCCCACTTGTAAAAAACATTATTCAATTAAAATATGTGAACATGAGACGAAGCGCGATAATCGCGTTAAATATTCTCTTTATTTCATATTTTGTAAACAATCAATTGTGTACTTACCCGTTTAATAACATTTCTCCCCTATTTTTTACCCAATAGTTGATTGTGTTAGGAAAAGCTTCGACATAACATTCAAGATGAACGTCGGTGCTAAGAGGTGCGCCGAGGAGCTGATTTGGCACTTTTATGGAGGGCGCAACTGAAACGAATTAAAGTAAGGTCAAAAATGAGATTTTTGCGATTTCTGGAAACTATTTCGAGCACAATTATAGCAAGACAAGTTTGTTGAGTTTCGAGAACTCTCGAGGGAAACTAAATGCCCATCGTTCTCAACTATTTATCGTCAAAGTTCAGATTTCAGCTGTGTTTATTATTGTTATTGCCCAACTGCTTTATCTTTCAATATGTCAGATCTTTTCAAATATGTAAACTAATTTCGACTATATTTCACCCTGACATGATGTAATGTCAGACCCTTGACCTCCTCCATGATTGGAAAACTTTGTTTAGTTTCAAACTACCATTTGTCCAAGCTTTGCTATATAGGGTGTTTCATTTTTATTTTTTAAAGAAAAAGTTTATGTTTAGTCGAATGTCTAGTTAGTGTCTTCGGATTTTAGTAATCCGGGCCGCTCTTGAAGTTGCTTCAACTCGTTATCGAAAGGGTGTGCGTAAGGGCAGCTTTGCTACCCACCACGCATCAACTAACTTCTGTTTCAGATAACTTCCTAATTAGTTTATGGCCATGTGTTAATTCCCATGTCCGAACATGTGTACTTATGGCCGAGTCAGTCATGGCAGCAAACTAATCGCATTACGTCAAATAATAAGTTGGTGTCGATAATGGGGATCAGCTGAATCATTACAGATGAGGAATTTATCTAAACTGACTGATAATAATCACTACCAACGTGCCTTCAATGTAATTTCTCATAAAAGTCGCATAAAATTTAGAAATCATATTAAATATGAAAAAGAAACAAAAAACAAATAACAGAAAAAAAACAAATTTAAAACTATTTCATATTGGAATGTCCAAACAAGACAACGGTTTTAATAAAGTTTTTAGAAAAAATGAAGTACAGTTGGTAGTTTGATCGTCAAAGTCACTTGAGTGAGATAAAGTTGTAAAACAAGCACTGTCAATCATTGCATATTTTGGGCAAGTCAAAAGAGAAAAAAGTCTTAACGTGATTTTTTTAAGTGACAGAAAAATGATGACAAGGTATTTTGTCTTCAATGATTCAATAAAACGATGAATATAAAGATAATTAATGTATTAAAAAATGAGATATGAAAATAAAAGGGAATGGTAATAAAATAATATTCATAAATAAATAAAACAGAGTTCATAGATTTTTATACATCGTTGCATTTTTTTAAACTTTAATTTGAATTCGTTTAATTTGAATAACATGTTGCTTTTTCAACAAAAATAGTTTTGGTTAATTTTAAATTAATTATGCACTTCAGTTGAATTCAGAATATTTTTTGTTGTTTTATTTGTAATCAAATCACTAATTAGTCATAACAGGAATGGCTAATTTTAATAAATTGCTATGATTTCCATTTTTTGTTTCAAAACAATTTTATGTGATTTGTTTAATATTCTGTTTGCCTAAAAATGAAATTGGAATGATATGCTTCGAAATAAAGTGATTTGAGTTAATAACATACAATAAATTATTCATATCAATTTAATTTCATATTACGAGTAGTTTACTTAATTAGCATATCAGGTTTCATAAATTTAAATATAAAATATAAAATAACTTTTGGAACAATATATATTTTAGTTATTTCGAATTTGTTTTAAATGCTGGAGCAGTCTGCATTAAAATACAGATTGGTTTGAAATTATTAGCAAAATTTTACAGAGTGTTACGATTAGATCATGACAAACAGAACAAAACAGAACGTTTCAAATTAACTTTTTCGTACCTCGCATCGCAGTTGAGAAACAATTTTGCGTATTATTTTAAAAGCGGTTTAAATATTGTATTTTTGTTTGCAGTAATTTAATATGTAGTGGAAAAATGTGTTTGGTTGGTAAATATGAAAATGGCAACTGGGATAAAATATAAATTTCTATTTGAAATGAAAAAACTTTTGAAATAAATAAATGGAATTAACTTTCTAGTTCACTGATTTAATCTGCAAATAACATAAATTGAGGCGGACACTAAGTGCCCATTATGTAAAGCAAACATCGTTTTATGTTCAATGATTTGACATATTTGTTAATAATGTAAATTTACTTACAATTTACGTTGAGTGCGATTCTTTTACTGACTGCTGGTGGCACATCGTTACTTGCGATACACAGATAAGCGCCCATTTGTTTCCTATCCAGCCTCCAAAAATGTAGATTCGTTCCATTGTAAGTCTCCACTGAAATAAAACGTTGCATTAATTTCTGTGTTTTAAAGTAAAAAATCGATATACGTTTATCAGACTCCCTGCGGGCTTGACGTCTAGCAAGTTAGGAAATCACATGAAAAGTTTTAATGATGTATAAAAATAACTCTGAAAAGAGCTCAAACAAAACGGAACATGTAGACAGTCAAAGGCAAATGCAAAAAATAAGGCCGTTTTATGTTAATCGAAATTGCCAAGATAAAACTCCACGAATGCGTAAAATTTAATTAACCGCTTACTGTAGTTAACAGTTGTTCATTATTCTTGTACCGCCCTTATGAATAAATATTAAAGTTAGTTGATTTATTCCTGTGTTACGTGTACACCTAACTTTGCTGTTTATTACTCCTTATTTACCTGGATGGGACAACGTCGCAGATGCTAGTAATGGCAGCCTCAGTTTAATCTAAACTTTCAACATTTAACAATTTTTGTTGCCAATCGATTTTTTTCACCACATTGAGGTTAATTGTTTGAGCGCTTAAAATGCTTTCGTGTCACTCTGGTAAGCCTCATTAACACCAATAATGACCCAACAAAACGCGGAAATTCGATTATCTGGCGTGAAGTCTAAATTACAAGGGACAAAAATGGTAGATGCACCAGGCACACGTTATTGACCAGTAGGACTTTATTCTTGATGAAATTGTAATAGCATTGGGGGTTTGATGGGTCCATATGGGAAAATTATAAACATTAGTGACTTCACTTTGAGTAAATTGGCTTCAGAATGGCGAGAGAATCCCAAGTAAAAACCGAGATAATCTCAATAGTATTGTCGAGTCAGTGGTAATAATCCTTGAGATTACCATCACCTTATCGTGGCCAGAAAATAGAAAACATATTGAGTTTTTTTCTACTCAACGTGTTTGATTTTAATAAAAATAAAGTGTCTTAAGGGAATCGCGTCTGGATTATTAAGAACTACCTGTCTTGCCTCGTTTCAACAACCAAACTGATCCCAGTGGGCGAACTGAACAGATAAATTCATTCACACTACGACTGTATTGTTGCTTTAACCCACATTTGTGTAATTATATTCGAAATGATGTTTTTTACCTCTTTCTTCTTGTCTCGGGCCTTTGCGGAGAATAATAGGTTTGGAATCTTCTCGCTTCCAAGCGATTCGAGGTGTTGGATGACCAGTTGCTCGACACCAAAGGGTTGCGTTCTCACCTTCAGACACAGACAAGTCCCCACTTGTGTCGTCATTGATTATGTCGGGAGGAACTGGAAGCAAATTGAAATTTATCACACAATTGGAATTTCAAACACGCGCCAAAAATACGAATACGTGATAAGAGATGAAGCGGAAACAAAGCACATAATATTGCAGCAGAAAATGGTGGATGCGCAGGGAAAATTTTAAAAACAAAACATTAAGTACACTCAAAAAAGTTGAAAATGACGTATCTATAAACCGACACTCATTATTTAGGTCCTCCTACTTAACCGCAGTTATAAACCATCTGCGAGGAGAAAGTAATAAAATTGCTTTTGCATTTAGCCTCAACATTTTTTTTAAGAAATCTTGTCAGGTGATATTATTTCATTAATGATAGTTATTATAATTAAACGTGTGTAAAGTGTGTTATACGGTGTGTTATACTGAAACGAGCAAATTTGTAATTTTAAAACGTCATTATTCTGTCTCAGTGGAAAGAAAAGTAATTTTTTTTTTTGATTTTGGGATTCTTCTCTGCTTTTTAAGTCCCACCATAATGGCGGTTTTATTTTTTTGACAGAATTGTAACTTTGACAATTAATTAATTAATTATTATAATTGGTATTATCGACAAAACAATAACATTCTGAAAAGATTTGTTGCTCTTATTCATGAAAAATAATAAAACTTCAAAGCATGAGATATTATTTTATAAATAATTATTATAATTAAAGACAAAAATTGTTTTAAATTTAAATAATTAATTTAGGCAAAAATTAAATATTTTATTCATCATAATTACTGATTAATATTAGTAATGTGTATGATATCTATTGTTGGCTAAACATTCATGAAGTCCATGCATACTATCCACCAAATTTTGGCAAATTTGTGAGTAGCGGAAATGGTCCTAAACGTTATTAACGTTCTGCGCCAATTTTTTTATTTTAAATTTGTTCGCGAACTTTGGGTTGAAAATTTCGCCAGTCGCGAACTATATTGCCCTATAAATTTTCTATTGGATTTAGATGAGGCGAGTGAGGAACACATCGTATAATTTCGAATTCCTCATTTCATTTCTCACCTGATCGTCCAGTTGAAATGAAGGATTGCTTTGAAGCTTTATTATTTTTCACAGAAATACCTACTAATGTTTAGGTTCGATATTGTAAGAACCAAAATGAAAACAACCAAAATATTGAATAAAGTGTCACAAATTATATCAACAATTTACTCTGCCACAGTTCTATTCATTATCAACTTTTATAAATGAACGGGAAGTAGGATTATCAAAACTAATTTACGATTCGTAGAAGTAGTGAATCCCAATTAAAAGTGTTGAAAAACAATTAATATTCAGTTAAAATGAGAGCAATAAATCTTTGCAGCATTTTATTGTTTTGTCGCTAATACCGGTTACAATAATTAATTAATTAATTGTCAAAGTTACATTTTTGTCGAAAAAATAAAACCGCTATTGTGATGAAACTTAAAAAAAGCAGAAAAAAATCTCAAAAGCAAGAGAAAATTTACTTTTCTTTCTATTGAGACAAAATAATGACGTTTTAAAGTTACAAATTTGCTCGTTTCAGTATGACATATTTTACTCACTCTTAATTATAATAATTATTATTATTAGGTAGGAGGACCCAAGTAATAAGGGGCGGTTTATGGTCACGTCATTTTCAACTTTTCTGAGTGTACTTGTTAATATTGTTACTTGTAGAAAAAATCTTAGAGTGCTCATAACACAAACGATGAAAAAAAGGATGGATGCGCTGGGCAAATTTTCAGCATATTGTTTTTAAACAGTTTGTTTTCAATGTAGTCAAAATTTGCTTACAAGTTTTCGACAAATATATTCGTCGTAAGGCGGCACACTGATTGTGTGAATAAGTAATCGGATATCGAAAGGTTGAAGGAGGGTTCGTGAGTGCATAACTGTGTTCGCATTAACTTTAAAATCTCAACTTTGCTCGTGTTAGTGTTCGTTTAGATTTCCATATAGCTAATGCGTGTGTGTTTAGTTGGTTTAATTCGTCGAGAGAAACTTTGAGCACTTGAGATGTTTTCAGTGAGTTGGGTAAGTGCATTATTTGTTGCATATTTCGTGTCATGGGAGATATCGTTGGGGATTGTTTACCTGAACAGCAGTTCAATGTTCCGTTTGTGATTTTGATTATCAGGTTACAGCGCAGAGCTAAAGTGATTTGAGAGGACTACAATGTAACTATTAGACGAATTAGTCGCTGGGTAAATACAACAGTTAACAAATTAATTTTGTGTTTTCATTACGTTTGAATTGTTCTGGCTTTTCTAATTAAAAAGTTTCCGTTTTATTGGATTATTATTTATGTTTTGCGCCGGTTTTGTTAGTTTTAGTCGCTGTTAAGCCAAAATGTAATAATCAAACACAACTGATACCGTTTTGAAATTGGTTGTCGACAAGGTATCTACTGTAACTAATTAGTATTTGTTGTGTAAACAGCAACAAAGTTATAATTTGAATAGCTTTGAGTAGTGTTTCGTATCTTCTAAAACAAATATTGTGTTACACAATTCGAAACAAAAATACGAAAAGAACAAACTTGAATCAAACATTTAGAAAAACTTACGACTGATAGAATATAAAGTGTTGGATCCTTTATAAAACTTTTATCGTGAACTTTTCAAATTCAACTACTTTATCCAAGATTTGTACAACTGTTTCAAGTCGTTTATTTTTCAGAAAATTTCCGTAACACTGAGGTCAATTAGAATTATCTAGTGTTGATAGTGGGTCCTCCTGGACTGTTGCGGTCTGCCGGTCCCTCTAACCTAATTGCTCCTTGGCTTCGGTGTTTCTCCAGCAGGCACCTCCGAGGCCGCGGCGCTCCCAACAAATCCCACATCGGCCCACTTACGACCATTATGTGCGTCGACAATTGCTAGGGGGTTTTTACACGGACCGCTCGTATATCTTTCCAACAAATTAGACCAATATACAATGTGCTGATCCCACGAGATGCTGCTTAAACCCGCACAAGTTATAAACACATCAACGTGTCGTGACGCATTTAAATATGGGTGGTTTTGGTTGAAAAAAGCGCAAATAAGACCAGACATAAACATAGAATGTCACACCTGAGGCGGCATTGACTATTCTTATACAAATAGTTAATAAATTAAATGGTTATTACTCTTAAACAATCATACTTTAGCTGCCTTAAAGAGTATTGTTACAGTGATTTTTTAGGTTTGAATAATTCTTAGGCTAGTGCAGTGGCGCAGCCAGAGTTTAAGGGGGGTTTACTTATGTAAAAAAAATCGGGTCCTCATTTAAACGTCATTTCAAAAAAAAACGTCATGGTATGGGCTTAATTAACGAATGTTTTTAATAACAAATCAGCATGAATATGTCTGCAGTTATAAAGGACATTTCACACGTAATTTTAAAGGCGCCCGAAAAAAAATTGAACAGCAATGCCATTCGGTTGACAATTTCATGGATAACCATTTAGATAATAAAAATATTAACACATGTTAATTTAAATTTGACGTCAAAGTTGGCGGTGATATGAGTGTGTCGTAAAAGGCCCACAATTTTTAATAACCCCGGCGAGGTGTCAAATCTCAAATAACTAGGGCTCGGATTATATGCACGAAAAATTCGTAAAATATGTTCATATACTATATGCTCGTATTTTCACAAAAATATGCACAAGATATTAAGAAATATGTTACAATGTGCATCGATATGCAAAACTTTTAACAATAAACAATCAAATTTGGAATAAATTTTTATCCTTGAGTATACTAAACTTTGTATTTTTGGCATCTTGAACTGCACACGATGAACGAATGAGAATAAATAAATTAGTTTTTCCTCAGACAAGCTATTTTAATAACCTAGTAATTAAACATTTCTGAAAAATATGTACTTTTCATATCACATCAATTTAAACAATTTCGCTAAAATTCATTTGCAGGCAACTATTTATCCGAATGGAAGAATTATAGCTATACCAGGTGAAAAAAAGTATAGAATCTAACGTTTTTTGCATAAACTATTTTTGGAAAAGCTAATTGATGAATGATAAAGTACTATACAAATGTAATGTTTTATCAAGAATAAAATTTTTCGAAATTTTTGTTTTGTTTTTGAGTTCTATAAAAATATCTATTTATTTTTTTAAATAACACCCCACTAAAAAACATTTTTGTCATAAAGGTTTGGATCTAAGGATTACAACTACTTACTTTATTTAATTTTTTTTTAATTTTGACATAAATTGCAATTTTGACAAAAAATCGCATAACATAAAAACAAAACAAAATTTTGTTTTCAAAATACGATCACATTTTTTATATTACTTTAATTTATATTGATTATCATTTTCTTGAGATGAATGATTTAAAAAGACCGCTTAGTTTCATACTTTATATTCACCCTGTGAAAAACGAATTTAAAAAGGAAACACTCAGCAGGATACTAAATCTTTGAGTCCGGCTTACTAATTACCGATTGTTTTTTCTTTAACATTATTTTGTAATAGGATCATTTTTCTTAAACTGTCCAATTTTAAATTGAACTGAAATTTTTATTCGGAAATTTGTGATTTGAAGAAAATATGCAATATTTCGTAAAATATGCACGAAGTTGCCAAAATATGCATTTTTTATTTGGCTTATTTTAATAAAAAAACATTAGTTATGCATAGATAACTTACAATTTTCTTGATATACCTCTTAATAACAAATATGCATTTTGCATATAATACGAGCCTTACAAATACCTTTAAATATATAATTGTACCTTTATGGACAACTTTGAAGCCAAATTAAAAAAAAACACACACATAATATTAAAAAATAAGTAATGCAAATACTTTCATTTAAATTAAATTTATTATTATATTTTACATTTGAAATTTTTGATGTATTCGGACTCAAATTGCTTGAAAATAACTCAAATTGCTCAAATTCTATGAAATACCTTGATTTACAACAATTTCTAGAAAAATGTAGCATAAAGTGTTTCTAAAAACAGTGTCGCAAAGAGCCTTTTGTGTAACAGAAAACAGTC